ATCATCATCACCACGGTGGCTAGGAGATGTTAACTACCTCGCCTGGTATACATGAGGTCGTGGGTCCGATTCCGATCCTGACGCCTGCTGCTATATATTCGGAGTTTGCGTGTTTCTCTCATCATCATCATCACGGTGGCTAGGAGATGTTAACTACCTCGCCTGGTATACATGATGTCGTGGGTTCGATCCCGACCCCTGACGCCTGCTGTGTATTTGGAGTTTGCGTGTCTCTCTCTGTCCCAGTGGTCATGTGGATTTTTCTCTGGGTCCTCCGGTTTTTCCCCTCAACATTTAGAATCAACATCACACGTTTAGAGTATTTGGCTGCTGTACATTTCCAAATGATAAGCCACTTCGTTAAGTGACCATTTTGTGGCCACGTCGCTTCTGTAAAGCGGCGATATCGCTCGAGTTGGCCTTGTCTGGTCAAATAAAATTAAAGAGTTAAGTTTAGACTGCTCAGGGTCGTCAACAGTGCAGCCACCCAGCCCAGCTACCATCCACGTGAGCCAGAAGGGGGCGCATCGGCGTGAATTTGAGGGCTTGCATTTTTGACAACGGATAAGAAGACTTATTTTGAAACAATTGACCCAGAGCAAGACAGTGCCGGATTATGCAAGTAGCACAAGTAGCTACATATGCTACAGGCCCCGCACTTTCAAGGGACCCGCGCTAAATGCTATCAATTCCGGTTCAATGATTCTGCGCTTGCTATATTACTATAGTACTATACCGCCTTTAACTTCTATGCACGACTGGGTGTTTAAGGTTCGTGATTTGTCGTTTTATCGGCTGTATAGCAAATGAAAAAATACAATTACTTTACTATGCAAGTAAATGCATTCGTGTTTTAATATTTATGGGATTTTTTTATTTTATTTAGTGCCCCTCTAACATATGCTACAGGCCCCGCACTAGCTTAATCCGGCACTAGAAAGACAATCAATATTTAAATACACGGCACCCGATGATGTGAGGCTCCTCCGGTTGCAACGAATTTACGCGAGCGATGTGTGCTTCCAAGCAACCTAGTCCAGACATCCACGTATTGCGACGGGTTCAATGGTGACACACAGCGGCTGCTTAGTCTTGTAAAGAAAAGGGTAAAATTGCAGCCCTGCAATTGCTTGCACACACCACTGGTGGTGGGATAAGCCTCCACTCGACAGCAGTGGTTCTCAACGGTTTTTTTTGGCTTTTGGACAACACATTGTTTACAATCAATATACTTTAGAAAGGTGTTTTTTTACATCGTTATAGGTGACCATATGTATTAACATTTTATCGTAGTTATTTTATATTGGCAGATTCATACATGATTATTCACCAATGACTCTCGTGGTGCATGATATGATTTCACACATTTATAAGTGACCTCACGTGCCCCCAAGGATCCGGTTTGAAAAAACCGCCACTTTTTAAAAATGTTCTTGCTGTGGTTTTCACACCTGATGATGATTGCTTGTGTTGCAATCGAAACGTGATGAGAATTGTATTGTTTTATTTTAATGTTTATTATTTTATTATTTCCCTTCTACGTGACTTTACCGAAAGGACCAAGAATATGAATCCCTGCAGTCACGAAAGCTTTAAATAGAGATGTATTTGTTTATATTATTACTCAAAAGACAGGATTGACAGCGCTGAAATGTGTAATCTTCCACTACCTGCATATAGAAGTAATTTATCCGCCGTCTAATTGGAAATCCATTGCCATACACCAGAATTGTCTCGATTCGCCTTCGCGGTCTACATTTATTTTGTCCAATTAGATATGGGGAGACAACCCCCACCCGCCCGATGAATTTAGACAAGCCTTAAATCATCAGCCACCTACCAAACCGCTCGCTGCTGTGCAAATGCATCATGGCGTTGGCACGCGTGACATGGGCTCACATCACGAGACTCAAAATTTACACATCGCAACGTGAAAGTGTTGTCGCACAAAATTCACAGTTTTCATTTGGATCGCATCGGCATGCGACTGCATCTCAAGACTGTGCACGTGAAGAGCGGGCGAATTTATTGCTCCAGAGAGTGAGACGGTAACCCCACCGGCAGAGGGAAACACAGCAAGGTCTTGAGCTTGGACTTTAGCTGCGGTGGGTCGTTGACAGCACGGATTTGCTGGGGGTACAGGAACATTGCCAGACTAAGGCAGAGGGCAATGAACGACCGCTCACTGAGACACGGTTTACTGGAGGCTTTGACAGAAGGCTTCAGTTGCTGGAGGACAGAGTGCCGAGGAGGAGGACTTCTTCACATCTGCCAACGCTGAGCACCAATCCACGAAGGGACCACGTGAAGGGGGGATGTGAGTGTACAGCGACGTTGTATTTGGGGCGTTCGTGACGATGTAGAGCTGGGTGTATTTAACGTGGATATGACGATCAGCATTAAATCCGGTCACGATTTTGCCAACCTGCAGGGGATATACTGAGATGAGGGAGCCGAGCACGGAATCCTTGTGGGATAGAAGGGAAATAATAAAATAATAAAAATATAAAACAATAAAATGCTCAAATTGTCTTGCTGTGGATTTCACACCTGATGCTGATTGCTTGTGTTGCAGTCGAAACGTCGTGAGAATTTTATTGTTTGATATTTTTATTATTTTATTATTTTCCTTCTACGTGACTTTACCGAACGAACCAAGAATATGAATCCCTGCAGTCACGAAAGCTTTAAATCAAAACACAAAGCTTGTTTAGTAAAAAAACAAAACAAGTTTATTAACATTATTAAACGCTTACTACACAATCTAACATGCACACACAATCTGTTTTACCCGCCACGCTCTTGTGTACACAACACAAATATGAGATGGTTCAGACAGCTTAACGGTGATGGCGTCACACACACAAACACACTGTTTCGATTTAAAGCTTTCGTGACTGCAGGGATTCATCTTCTTGGTTCTTTCGGTAAAAACTTTACCGAAAGAACCAAGAAGATAAACACACTGTTGTGACGAAGGCAAGGAACCACCGGGTAAAAAAAAGTCTTGGGGTTTATTAGTAATAAATCGGCATTTTGAGACTCCCACTGCCATTGTGTAGTATATTATTACGTGCCAGGGACTCGATGAGATGATAGGACAATAGTCTGAGTCCATAATTGGCAAAAAGTAACGGCAAAGCAGTTATAAGTGACTCAGAATTGTGCGCAGTTGCGTATACAGTACACGACTTCTTTGAAGGCATTCACCTTCAGCGAGCGCGATGCCGATCACACAACGCGGTTCGAATTCGACCCCCGATCGATTGCTGCGCCATCGCCGCACACGCGTCGAATAAAAAGCAAGGGACAAGTCCTTACTTACTCACTAACTCCTCTATCATTTTTCATTGCTGGAGGGGTTGCCCCCCCCCCCCTCCTGCAGTTACACGAGACACCCGTTTGAAAATTCACCCCATCCATATTGTACTCTGCCTATTGACATGTGTCAGGAATAAGTCAGTCTGCACTATTATTGGCCGTGTCGGGTGGTGGAGGGTTACGACACATTCATAAATAACGCGATCTAACCCAAAAACATTGATTATAAATAATATTGGTTGCGAAAGGCTACGTGTTAAATTCTTTCGAACTGTAGGTTAGTCAGCCGTGTTTATCGGAGGTGCGGACTTGATGATTTTTTTTCCATACTCAATTGGAGCAAATCTACTATAGGGGTCTATATTAAAGGATTTTTGTCCTTTTTTCCAGTATTAAAATAAAGGCCATAACCCTCGACGACTCCACAGATCACGTCAGCGCAGCTAGCCTGTGCCGGTGCATGACCATTTGTCAAATTTAGCAAAAACACGTTCCTTCGGAGTGGGCAGGTAGGAACTTGGTTGGACAGCGCATTCGTGCACGACAAATATGCACGACAGACAAATAATCCCTGGTGGGCAGTGTGGAACCTGTTGTTCCTACCTGTAGACAAGATAACTTGACTTGAGGTAGCCAGGCAGCCAGCCAGGTAGCCAGCCCCCTTAACTATCGGCCCCTCCCCCTTGCTTAGGCCCCTCCCCTTACCCCCCCCCCCTCCCTCAAGCCCCTCCGCTGACCCCCCCCCCCTCCCTTAGGAACCTCCCCTCTCCGTACCCGGCAGTAGGTCTCCACCAATCAAAGAGCTGTTTATATTATATATATATTTATGCACGACAGACAAATAATCCCTGGTGGGCAGTGTGGAACATTGTTCCTACCTGTATAAAGATTCCACATCACCGACCTTCCTACTTGCAGCACCGCCTTTCACTGTGCAGCTTCAATTTCGATTTAAAGCTTTCGTGACTGCAGGGATTCATCTTCTTGGTTCGTTCGGTAAAGTCACGTAGAAGGGAAGTAATAAAATAATAAAAATAAAACATAATAAAATAATTCTCACGACGTTTCGGCCACAACGCAAGCAGCCGTCCTCAGGTGAAGACCAGGTTTGTCGGGGAGACAGCGTCTGCAGCTTCACTTCGCCCCTCTGTGCGACCTTTTGACTACGTGGAGCGCTGCGTTTGCTCATCTGCAGATGCGCATTTCTCTGCACTTCAGAGCGCACCTTGAGAATAACTCACGGGCGTATTATGCAGTAAAACATTTTAAATTATAATTACAATAGAATAATAAGATAATAAATTACAATTATTCCGAGGATGCCTGCAACACGCTGTGACTCGTATTATGGGAGGAGTGATCTTCTCGCGGAAGAGATTCAATACCCCGTGGACTGCGGAGGGAGTTGCGAGCCAGAGGTAATCCGTGAGTCACAGGGACTTTCGCAGATTATGCAGCTTGCCGTACGTATTCTTCTGCCGTTGCTACCATTATGTCGATATTGTATTTCAATTATTTTGTACAATACTTTCAGTGTTATTTCAGACGTATATGGAAATACACACAGACAACAGGCCAGATAACTCGTAGATCCGTTAAATACAATTAAATACTGCTGACATTTGAACTCCATTATATCTACAACTAGATTCTCACGTCTGATATATAATTTTTTTAAAAATCCATTAAGCTCCTGAAAAACTAATCATTATATGTACCTATCTTACACTCATCAAGTTCATGCTCATTTGAGTAATGTTTGACGTGTTAATACAAATCAAGGAACTAGCTTATATCTTGATTTGAAGCTTTCGTGACTGCAGGGATCCATACTCTTTGGTTCTTTCGGTAAAGTCTCGTAGCTAGAAAAATAATAGATCACGACGTTTGCAACACAAGCAATCGTCATCAGGTGCCGAAACTGTGGTTGTCTCACCTGATGACGATTGCTTGTATTGCGATCGAAACGTCGTGATCTATTCTTTTTCTACCTACGTGACTTTACCGAAAGAACCAGAGTATAGCTTATATCTGCCTGGTGGGAGGGGACAAGACTGCTCAACACAACCGCATTGCTTGCATCCTGGCCCAGCGCCTGATTCGAACCACGCCGAGGTCTCTGTATGGCTGAGGCAGTGTTTTGGTGGCGAACGTTGCATCACACACAGTTAGTTGCCCCTGAGCGGGCAAGCTAAAATAAAAAAACATTGCCCAGCGCTGCTATTAGCAATCGCAAAGTTTGTGTAAAACGCCGAGACTGCAAACGTCTCATCATGTCCCAATCAAGTCCCGACGAAATCGCTGTGACCTAACAATGGAAAGAGTGAGGTATCTATCATTGGCGAGTCTAAAATGGTGACACAAAGTCACGTTAAAGAGTAAAAAAACGGGCACGTCTGTACGAGATCCCAGATGTTTTCGGGTTGTATGCCACACGTGGGTCGGTGTGACGTCCAACACCGTCCAAGCCGCAACATGCGTTGGGAGAGATATACTGCGCAACTATGAAATACCACGCCGTAGTGGACTTGTTTTACAAGTTGGCAGTACGGGTGGTGCATCGGAGTCACTCTGTGAGTTGAGAGGGGGGGGTTTAGTGTGACAAACCTACCAGCTGAGACCAGTTACAGAGGGAAACCCAGTCTGGGCGGATTGGGGACTCCCTAAAAAAGGGAACTCAGTCGGGCGAGGAGGCAGAAAGCACCAACTCTATGGCCCTCCAGTCATTTTGTAAAAATTAACCCGTAAAAACAAAGTTTTTCACTACAAATCCTTTATATGCGTGTTCAATGGGCCACAACCCAGCCCACATTGGTCTTTGAAACGGGCGGCTAGAGTCCTCTCGTCGTCTGGCTTGAGATGGCTGCCACCTATGGGTCAGATGATTGCCTGCCACCATTAAGCAATTGGTAATTAAATATAAAAAAACATTTACCTAAAAAGGTGTAAAATTTTGGAAAAAAATTTTCACGAAAATAAATTGTCACGCACAACGAGTATGTGTGCAAAATGTCAGCTCGATTGGATCACGGGAAGTGGGTTAAAAAACGACCGAAAGATTTGCACGGTCGTAAGCAAGCAAGCAAGCACGCAAGCAAGTGAACTTAATATAACGGATTTAAAAAGCAGCAGCAGCACCACCACAGCAGCAGTACCAGCAGCACCAGCGAGACGGAAAGTGAGCAGGGATAGGTCTAACTCCCAGCTGTGTGGAATGCACACATTCACTGGGGTCACACTTTGCCTAAAACGTGTAGTGCAAACTTGCACACCGAGCCTTAACATGGGGCTTTCCCCTCCACCTTGCCTCATGCGGTCTGCAGCGGCCCCGTGGTGGGAGAGGGTGCAGAGGCAGCAGGTTTGCAAGGGGGGGCACAAGACCTGGAGATGTTTCTCCGGGATGAAAGAGTTGCAAAAAGATGGTGAGAGATGGAGAAGGAGGCCGTGATGATTTCTTTAGAAAGGGAGAACGTTCAGGAGAAACAGACGACAGAGCTCGAAAAGCTCAAAATGGAAATGTAAAATGGGGAGAGAGAGGAAACGGCACGGGAATGTAAAGCCTTAGAAAGGGGTGATTGCTTAGAGAGGGAAGCTGTTGAAGGCGAAAGAATTAAAATGGAACAGATTGAGTTGGAACTCAAGAAACTTGAGTGTGGGTGCAACCATTTCAATGGGGCCAGCTCCAGGGAATAGCACTGTACCAAAGCTCCCAAAGTTCGATGGAGACAAAGGATCAGATTGACTATTTTTGTTTTAGGTTTGAAAGGTACGCATAGAGCCATGGTTGGCCTGTATCTGATTTGACAATTAATTTGAGTGCCTTGCTGAGTGGTAAACCTCTCCTGGTGTATCACCAACTCGGTAGGGAAGAGGCCTCCGATTACGAACATTTTAAAGCGGCTTTGTTCGAGAGGTATGCTTTCACTGAGGACGGCTTCAGAACTACATTTCCACAAAGTTAGGCCAGAGAAGGGTAAAAGTTTTGGCCAATTCATGGTGAGACTTCGTGACCATCTAGATCAGGGGTCGGGAACCTTTTTGACTGGGAGAGCCATAAAAGCCAAATATTTATAAATATATTGCATTGAGAGCCATATAGTATTTGTAACGTATAATAAATAAAATATGTATTACTTTTAATGCGACTTCTGGTGCTGCATGGTTTTGCTGATGACCTTGTAGTCTGGTTCGTACGTGGTGAGGTTGAGCTTCATGCAGGCGTTGAGGCCCCGTGACCCGTGAAATTTATCTTCAAAACTAATTTCTATTTACTTTAAAATGACACAGTATTATTAAGCAATATCACAAGTATTTTAAAATCAGTTCCAAACTGATTTTTGTATTTTTTTTTCAGCTCAAAATTGTCTGGGAGCCATATGCCGTCACCAGAAGAGCCATATATGGCTCGCGAGCCATAGGTTCCCGACCGCTGATCTAGATCGATGGGGAGAATTGGGGGGAGGAAGTGTCAACGTCCTATGGGGGGCTGTTGCGTGAGCAGGTTTTGTGAGCATCTCCACGGGATCTGGTGGTATGCCTTAGGGCAGGGGTGGGGAACGTTCGGCCCGCGGGCCGTATAAGGCCCGCAAAATCATTTGGTGTGGCCCTGCCAAGGCAACCGCAGGCGGAACTCGAAATTCAATACATCTAGGAGCAAACCTGGAAAAGCAGTTGCGAGTAGCAACACCATCAATACCAGCTAACATCACACGCCTCGCCAAAGAGAAGCAGTTCCAGCCATCACATTAGGGGTGGGTTAATTAAATATTTGGCAAAATATAACAGGCTAATTTTGAAGTTGATAAGTTTGTATGGCCCGCGAATGATGTTATAAATATCCAAATGGCTCTTGTCAGAAAAAAGGTTCTCCACCCCTGCCTTAGGGAGAGAATCCAAGAGTCTTGGCACTGTAGCCGCACCAGCAGAACAGTTTCTAACAGCACAGAACCGCACGTGAAGTTTGGCTGCAGGATAAAAGTTTGGGTCCCAGGAAGTACATCAGGGAGTAGGAAGACAACTGAGTTGAAGGTCCCTGTAAAACCCCTGATACGCCTTGAAGGGGGACAGCAGTTCAATCCTGGAAAGTGTTTCTTGTGGGAAAACCAGGACATCTTGCATGCATGTGTGATCAGCACGGGAAGATCAGCCCTGCTGGAAAAGACTCCAGGTTACACACAGGATTGGTGGGACAGCTATTAGACAGAAAAGGGCCAGTATGCAACACTGGAGGATGGGTCAAACTTACCAGTCCTTGGGGATGTGGGCGGTTAAAAGGTATCCAACACAACCAGGTTATGTTCAGATTGGGCAAGGATGACAGTATGACTGTTGAGAGAGACAGGGTGTAGTGGTGTTTTGATTGACAGGCACCTATTAAAAGATGACTTTACAGCGGGAAATAGCATTGTCCTTTGATGGAATGGCAAGATGATGTCCCACACCAGAGGTGGAAATCGACTCGCCATATCTACGTGGTAGAGTACGGGTTATCTGCATGGAACACTCTCTATTTGAGGTTGTAGTGGGCCATGTGAAGGGCGTGTGACACCCCAAGGATCCAGATTCTCACTGGCTTCAGGGTGGTAAGGTAGAGACAGAAATCACGCAAGCCGCCAGTACACGTGCACAAGTTAGGAGGGTGAAGGGCAGCAAGAAAACCTTTGAAGGTGCCTCGTGGCATGGGTCCAGAAGTGACGGCTGAGGTCTTCAGAAACTGGACATCAGCCCAAAATGGTTGTGGGAACATGCACGACAGGGTAAAACCTGGTTATCTGAAAAGGACACTACATCTAGGATGGTCATTCGCAATGGACTTCTCTCCAGAGAGTTCGAGAATCCGAGTGTAGAGAACTGCAGATTGACAGGTCACAAAAGCAAAGTTTGTGGGAATAGCCATTTCCTATACTTTTGAGGCATAAACAATTAGAAAATAACACTTACTACCCAGGAACAGAAATCGTGTTACATAATAATCATTAAGGTCACGTCCTACAGATTGGACACCCACCCTATTCATAATAATTAGCGGCTGACGTCACTCCACATGGGGGGCCTAGGCTCCTCCTCCCCCCTCCTCGGCGTCAACTCACAACCCTCCCGACAAAGGCAGAAGCCTCATGTCACGCAATCTCCGTCACGCTATTGAGACATCAAAGTAAAAAGGACGTCATGATCAACAAGGGATTATAACCTTAAAGTGAAATAAGTCTGTGTCACCGCACCCTTACAAATTGCGCACGCATTGATGCAATGAATATAACGTCGTGTGTCTGCTTTTTGCTTGCAAGTTTCAGATTTACTGCAATACGCCCGTCCTTGGACGGGCAAAAGGCTCGTAATTAAAGGTGAGCTAAAACCCATAAATCTGAGAGCCTAGGTTGGTGCTCTCACCTCCCAACAATCAGCACCCTCCACACACCATACTTCCTCTCCTGTTAAACTTAATTACATTTGTGACGCCAGAATTGGTGACCCACCGTCACAGGAGAGCTAGACAGTGCAACTGCGAAATATCACACAGTAATACTGTACGAGGTAAAATAAAAAAAAAAGTCTACTCAAGAGGGGGCATGGAGCTGGAGCGAGCCACTCTATTGGCCTCGTCCACACCATGGGGACCGTCCCCCCTGGCACTCGCTTTCCACAGAGTCGGGAGGCAGGTGCCCCTCTTCTGGTGCTGCTGCAGCAGGCACTGCATGGCGAAACGCTTCTCGCAAACGGGGCACGCGAACAGGAAGACGCCCACGTGCAGCAGCGCGTGCTTGATGAGGTTGCTCGAGCAGGTGAGCTTCAGGCCGCACACCATGCACAGGAGGTGCTCCAGGTCCACGTGGGAACGAGCGTGACTGCGCAGGTACGCCATCTTCTGGTGCACGGGCAGCCCGCAGATCTGACACGGGGCGTAGCTGGACGCGTGGTGTTCGCCGGCGTCGTCGGGCGGCCGGTACTCGAGGGGCCGCACGAATGGCACGCTAGGCAGCGGCGGAGGCGGGCGCTTCTTGCGGCAATGGTTGAGGTAGTGTAGGGTGAGGCGCGTGAGCGAGAGGAAGGTCTTGCCGCAGTCGTGGCAGGCGAGCACGGTGACTCCGCAGTGCTTGTACACGTGCTGCACCGCGTTGTTGAAGGTGGTGAAGCCGCGTCCGCACACGCGGCACTTGAGCGTCTCGCGGTCCACGTGGATGGCCGCGTGCTCCCTTAGCGACGAGATGTTCTCATCCATGGTGTCGCCGCACACCTGGCACTGCACGTGGTCGGCTGCGATTTGCGCCACACCAATCTCGTGCTGCGCTGCTCCCGCCGCGCTCTGCCCCGCGAGAGAATCGCTCGCGCCGGGCTCCGCGCACCCGTCTAGGTCTTCACGAGAGCAACCGCCGAGCGCGGCAATGTCCGTCACCCTGAAGCCTCCCGTCTCCTGAGTTCGCCCATCAACCGCAGCGAGGCCGGAAACCTGACCGCCATTGGCTCTGGTGCTTTCGGTCCTGGCCACCTTGCAAGGCGGCTCCTCATTCGGTTCAGTCTTCACCTGGCAAAGGAACAGTTGCTCCGTGGCGGTGTTTTCTGCTCGGCCACTATCGCTCTCGGAGCAGCGCTTGTCCTCCATCCCCCTGGAGGCCGAGTGAATCCCAGACTCGTCGTCCACGCTGCTTGCGTCCAGCCCATCGTCCGGCTTGTGCCCGCTGCCGGAGACGCCCGCCACGCTGACACCTTCCATTTCGGCAAAGCGGTTCCTCCACAGTGCCCCCGTGCCATCCTCCAGGAACCCGCGGTCAAATAAATCTGGCGCCAGCCCCTCGGACACCAGCTCGGGGGAGGCTCGTAGGTTGGCCTCGACTCCGCGAGGCCTCCCGTCGTAGTCGAAGGTGGCGGACGACGACGCGTTGACGATCGGGGTCGTTCTCTCATCCGTAAGCAGCGGCCGACACAGCTCCTCCAACGGTGCGATGCCCAGCGTCCTGGCAGCGTCGTGCAGAGGCCGCAGCTCGTGCGCCCGCACCCGCGCCGCACCTTTGTACACGAAGTCCAGCACCAGCTCGAACGTTGCAACGCTCAGGAAGTCGAGGGCGAAGGGGCCCAGGTTGCTGCAAGGGGCTCGGCAGAAGAGGCTGGCAAAGTAAGGGCTGTTGCTGCTCAGCACGGCCTTGTGCGCCAGGTAGCGGCGGCTCTGCACCTCCACAACGGCGTCGCAGAAGGAGCCGGTGTGCCGCATGGCGCTCAGCCGATGGGTCACGCTGGGCAGCGCGCTGGCGCTGCGCAAGTAAAACGCCTCGCCGCCTCTGTCACTGGCCATTGCTACAGTCTGCTCCCGATTTGTACCGATTGCCGTTATTGATATTGGCTGTAATTTTTAGTTGGTATATACATATAGATTTTTAGTAATTGTATTCGTCACCACTTCACGATTCAGTCTTCTAAATTAGAAGCGAGCATTAATGTATTTGGAGCCGCAACAAGTTTTACATGCCGCTTAATAACGTAACACAGGATTAACAGTACAACGAGGTGCTATCACTAGTGGCTCATGTAATATACGTTTTGGTATGATTTAATGGAATTGTTGTCAGTCCTCACTCCACCGCCAAACAAGTGCCTGTAAAAGAGAAAAAAGAATCGGACGAGTTAAAATACATTGTTTATGAAAAATAACAATTTTAACGTATAAAGCGCCCGTAAACAATCGTTCTCGGGGCACTAAAACAATATACCTTACCACTGCTCCCTCAAGATTTGCAAATGGACATTGCGCAAGTTGTGAGCGTGATTAGTGCTGGCGTGAGACCAAGGTGGGTGTGGGGGTGCCACGTTATGTGTCCACGTGCAGTTTTGAAGTCCAGTTCTGAACGGTGGTAGTGTGTCCGTTATGGCCAGACGTGGTGGCTCACACAGATGTTGTGGTGGTCTGGTGATGACAATAGAGCATGTGGGCCCTGACCAGTGACACACACTGTCAACGTTGGAGTGTCATCCCTTGGAACACGTCGTGGGTTTTCTCTTGGCACCCAAATCCCAAACTTACTTGGCGTGAAAGGCGAAATTGACAGAATGCGTGAGACTCGCACACAATGCGTCAGATTCGTACACAATGCGTAAGACAATGATAACAAAGATCCCCCGTATAGCCTTAACAGACTGTAGGGGCAAGTGCTGTTAGCGAGCACCTATGAAGGCCGCAACGGTACACGATGGGGTGGGTGGCCAGCACCACGCCCGACCGCCTTTGTCTCCCGAGTGGCGATCTTCACACACCGTACCAGGTACTCATTTAAGGCTGAGTCGACCTAAGGGAGGCCCAGAACCGCTAACCGCTACACCACCGCTCCCCACTACAGCAGCACACACAGACACACAATGTGAGACTCGTAGGGATTCTCGACTCGCACACAATGCGAGTCTGAATGCGTGAGACGCACACACAATGTGCGTGCCTCACAGAATGCGTCAGATTCCTACACAATGCGTTCATTTAAACACGTACGCTTTCGCGACCAATATTATTCATAATATGTGCTGAAGAGAGAATCTCTTCAGCACATATTGTTGATTCTCTCTTCAGCACACCGGTGGGCTAAAGAAGTCAATTAATTTGTCCTTTGAAAACGTGACACATTTTTTTTACTGTTTGGCCGTATCTGGTGGTGGAGGGTTACGACACATTTATAAATAACGCGATCTGACCCACAAACCTTGATTATGAACAATGCGTTAGACACACACACACACACAGTTACAATGCACGAGAGCGTGAGACGTTGACACTGCAGCAGTGGAGGTTTCCTGGCCTAACGAAACCCAGTTCACACGCGAGACATCTCCCACCACCATCACAGCAGCAGCATCAGCAGCAGCAGCATCAGCAGCAGCAGCATCACCACCATCACAGCAGCAGCATCAGCAGCAGCATCAGCAGCAGCATCAGCAGCAGCATCAGCAGCAGCATCAGCAGCAGCATCAGCAGCATCACCACCATCACAGCAGCAGCATCAGCATCAGCAGCATCAGCAGCAGCATCAGCAGCAGCATCAGCAGCAGCATCACCACCATCACAGCAGCAGCAGCATCAGCAGCAGCAGCATCAGAGACGAAATTTGCGTCCCCACTTCAACAAAGAAGGCCCAGGCGCTTGTGTTGCGGGCTGACATCTGCACGAGGAAGGGGAAAACGAGCGCGCGGATCCGATGAAAGCCGAACCGTTAAACAGAAACAATTAAAGGCGGCTTCGGTACGGCAACAACAACAACAAACAACAACAACGACGACGACTTCACTCACCGACCCGCAATTTTCCTGCCTCTTGGCTGGTGACGTCACGGGCCACCTACGGCAAGTCGCGCGCCTTTAAATGACAACAACAACAAAGAGAAACCGCGTTTTTTAAATGCGCCCCCCCTCCACCCCTTTAAAGTTGCCAGCAATGCAACTCCCCCTAGCTGATGCCACGTGTCTTGCGAACCCTTAATTGATTCCTAATTTTTTTTAATATTGTTTGGTTATTTCAGGAAAAGTCACGTAGATAGAAAAATTTTAATAAAGCGAATACAAATTAGAAAAATAAAATAATAATAATAAAAACAAATTTTTTCAGTAAAAAAAATAAAGAGAAAAATCTAAATAAAAAACTAAAACCACGACGTTAAGATCACAACACAAGCGATCGTCTTCTTTCGGTAAAGTCACATACAACGATAAAATAATAAATTAAATAATAGCATACTACGACGTTTCGATTCCAACACAAGCAATCATCATCAGGTATAAAAGAAATAGCAACAAAAATCTAACCAGAAAACTATAGACAGACATATAAGCAGACAGACATCATGAAGATACACAGAGAGAGAACACGTATCGGCACAAAGAGAGAGGGATCGTCTCTGTGACGAGGCCTTAAATATAGAGAGGGGGCGGAGAGAGGGAGGGGGCAGAGAAAAAATTAGCATGTCAATGAGTGGACAACGACGTGGTACGGTACGCAATGGATTAGCAGTCCATCGCCTTAACCACTCGGCCACCTCGTCTCACGCACTCACACACGCAAGCACATACAACCAGAACCAGGATGAAGACTTGCACGCACATACATACAAACAGACCCCCCCCACACACACACACAGTCATACCATTATTTTTTCCTAAAAAGTGTAAAATTTTGGAAAAAATTTTCACGAAAATAAATTGTCACGCACAACGAGTCTGTGTGGGAAATATCAGCTCGATTGAATCACGGGAAGTGGGTTAAAAAACGACCGAAAGATTTGCACGGTCGTAAGCGCGCAAGCAAGCAAGCAAGTGAACTTAATATAAAGGATTTTAAAAAATTAACTCGTAAAAACAAAGTTTTTCACTATAAATCCTTTATATGCGTGGCGGCTAGAGTCCTCTCGTCTTCTGGCTTGAGATGGTTGCCACCTATGGGTCAGATGATTGTCTGCCACCATTAAGCAATTGGTAATTAAATATTTTAAGAAAATTCCCTAAACAGTGTAAATTTTGAAAAACATTTTCACGAAAATTAATTGTCACGCACAACGAGTCTGTGTGCAAAATGTCAGCTCGATTGGATCACGGGAAGTGGGTTAAAAAACGACCGAAAGATTTGCACGGTCGTAAGCAAGCCAAGCAAGCACGCAAGCACGCAAGCAAGTGAACTTAATATAAAGGATTTAATAACCCGTAACAAGTAAACCCGTAAAAACAAAGTTTTTCACTCTAAATCCTTTATAGGCGTGGCGGCTAGAGTCCTCTCGTCCTCTGGCTTGAGATGGCTGCAATCTATGGGTCAGATGATTGTCTGCCAGTATTAAGCAATTGGTAATTAAATATTTAATTTGTTTTCCCTAAACAGTGTAAAATTTTGGGAAAAAAAATTCACGAAAATTAATTGTCACACACAACGAGTCTGTGTGGAAAATGTCAGCTCGATTAGATCACGGGAAGTGGGTTAAAAAACGAGCGAAAGATTTGCACGGTCCTAAGCAAGCAAGCGAACTTAATATAAAGGATTTAAAAATATATTCGTCTGTGGAGGACACGGGGATCGATCCCGCGACCTTTGGCATGGGAAGCGAGGGCGCTACCAACTGCGCTACTCCACCACAGCCTGTGGAGGGGTTACGCTCTGGGCTCTTACACTCTGACGTTCAGCCAAAGCCATGAATGCGTTCTATTTGAATATATGTAAAATAAATTTTTTTTGCCTAAACAGTGTAAAATTTTGGGAATTTTTTTTCACGAACAATAATTGTCTGGCACAACGAGTCTGTGTGGAAAATGTCAGCTCGATTGGATCACGGGAAGTGGGTTAAAAAACGACCGAAAGATTTGCACGGTCCTAAGCAAGCAAGCAAGCACGCAAGCAAGCAAGCAAGCACGCAAGCGAACTTAATATAAAGGATTTAAAAACAAAGTTTTTAAATCCTCTATATGCGTGTTCAATGGGCCACAACCCAGCCCACATTGGTCTTTGAAACGGGCGGCTAGAGTCCTCTCGTCCTCTGGCTTGAGATGGCTGCCACCTATGGGTCAGATGATTGTCTGCCAGTATTAAGCAATTGGTAATTAAATATTTAATTTGTTTTCCCTAAACAGTGTAAAATTTAGGAAAATTTTTTTCACGAACATTAATTGTCTCACACAACGAGTCTGTGTGCAAAATGTCAGCTCGATTGGATCACGGGAAGTGGGTTAAAAAACGACCGAAAGATTTGCACGGTCGTAAGCAAGCAAGCAAGCACGCAAGTGAACTTAATATAAAGGATTTAATAAAAGATTTAAAAAAGAGGAGCAAGTGGATCAGGGTACGCGCAGATATATATTAACAACAATTGGGAACGTACTTCCCACTGGTGTAAGGACCAAATGTCGCTTGAAGGGATCTCAGAGGTAGCTCTGTGGTATCCACGTCCATGGGCCGTTCTCGAACATGAAGGGAGGTCGCTTTCGAAAGATCCCAATGAGATTCGTCATCTCTTGACGTGTCACTGATAACACAATCGGGATATAATTCAGGAAAGAGACAAAACATGAAAACAACGATGTCTTCTTGTTAGCCAGGTGAAATTCTTTCTAGATTTGAAGTTTTCGTGACTGCAAGGGTCCATACTCTTTGGTTTTTTCTGTAAAGTCACGTAGGTAAAAAATAAAATGAAAATAAATTAAATCACGACGTTTCGGAGGCAACACAAGCTTCCGTCTTCAGGTGGCACCGTCACAGCAAAATTACTGTGTTAAATAGAGAGAACTATAAGACACACGAGACTATATACAGAAGGTTAGCGTCTCGATGAGCTGTGACTTCTTGTCTCGTTGTCTGTTAAAAACTCTATCAGATAAGTGAAATTCCTCCCCGTAGAGGACATTAATTCTAGATTTTAAGTTTTCGTGACTGCAAGGGTCCATACTCTTTGGTTTTTTCGGTAAAGTCACGTAGGTAAAAAAGAAAAGAAAAATAAATTAAATCACGACGTTTTTGAGGCAACACCAGCTTCCAATTTCACTGGAGCGGTTACACCTGAAGACGGAAGCTTGTGTTGCCTCCGAAACGTCGTGATTTAATTTATTTTGATTTTCTTTTTTACCTACGTGACTTTACCGAAAAAAACAGAGTATAGGTGAAACTCAATCAGAAACCCATTCAACCACATGTAGAGTAAAAAAAAATCCAGTTTTATTATGAATACCACAGTTTCTTAATCACAACAAACATTTCTATGCTGGAAAACGTTAACACAGATGTGATTGTGCATGGTTTGAGAATGGTTGTATTCTGCAAGATGTGGGCATTGGTTATATACAACAGCCGCAGTGTGTGGACGAGATGTCAATGCCAAACGCCCTCTTGTGTTCCCATAAATGGAGGATTTACAATCAATGCCACCATTCATTATATTCGACGGTACAGACAAAACCACAACCAAATTGTACGCGTTTTATATATATAAAAACACCACAGACCAATGCGCTTGTGCATCAATAACAATTTGAACACAAGGGCATTTTGTACATTTTGCAGTGCAACAATTTTTCTCGTGTCAAGCGTTCTCGTGTTCGCTGTTTATAGGCATCAACGTGTGTGCTTTGGGTAAATTTATAAATAGCCATAATGGAGACCGCTCGACCACAACACTGCAAGTAAATACGAATGAACTCGTTAATTAACTCAACGCTTCTTAGCTGCTCTGCAACTCAACTTTATACATCAAGTACTGAATACCGTATTATTTTTGTCAAATGTCTATCCCACAGCTATGCCAATAAACTTAGAAAAAACTCGTTTGGTCAGAAACAACACTCCGTTTTAAATACGATACAGTATTCCATAAACGTATGCTATGCATGTACTCAACTTCATTTAAATTACGTCAACATTAAAACTGAGCAATCATAAACTACAGTATTCCTATGATTTCACCTATGGACGATTCCGACGGGAAGTGATTGTTTAACGCGAGCTTCCCATGAAAAACAATCTCCGTTAAATGTTGAATGGGATTCTAACAGGGAATAATTCTGCAATGGAAGAATCATTCAAATAGAAAGGAATCCGACTGCAAATCTAGCTTGGCTAAGATTTGGCTATGCTTAGCCTAGCCAAGGCTGGTATCACCATTGAAACATTCAGCCATAAGGGAAATACTAAAATAATAAAAATAAACATAATAAAATAATTCTCGCGACGTTTCAGCCACAACGGCTGCTTGCGTTGTGGCCGAAACGTCGTGAGAATTATTTTATTATGTTTTATTTTTATTATTTTATTATTTCCCTTCTACGTGACTTTACCGAAAGAACCAAGAAGATGAATCCCTGCAGTCACGAAAGCTTTAAATCGAAATTCAGCCATAAGTTTCAATGGTGAGCCATGAGGCCAGCCAAGCCAAGGCTTTGCACAACACGACTCAACAATTCCATTCTTCCCACAATCCAGTAGGAATCTGATCCGAGGTTCTTTAGATAAATAAAAACGATTTCAGGCTAGGAATTATGAGAATCGTCCAGTTCTAGTTGACATAAAAGTTTCTTGTCTAAGTTGCTTTCACTTCAATGTTATAATTTAAAACGTACGTTACGCATTGTCAAAAATATATTTTTGTTACATACAAACACACATATATATTATTTCAATAAGTGTACCCATAACAGTTTTCAAAAGACAAAATACATATTTAAAACAATGGTATAAACAGTGAATTTATCCACCGGTGCTTCAGAAGATGAAAAATAACACTATAACAAGTTCCAATACAATGGACAAAGCTTTGTGAAATCCGTTAAATCAAAACAATTTGAAATATTTGTTACATAATCACAATTTGCACAGCGACCGGAACACATTGCTCCGTTTTGAAAGTCAAAACACGTTAAAATGTACGCCGACAGTCCTTCTATTGTGGAAAAATACTATTCAAATCGATCGATTCCACGTTTCCCTTGAACACACGCATGAAGTGTTCGGTTTTTGCAATGCATCATCGATACACCTGTCTTGGCATGGCACACAATCAGGTGGTTCAACGACAAAACCAGGTTGATGGAATGAGCATGGACCAAAGTTCCAATGCTTCGTGCTGGCGACACATTAAACGCTGCTGCTCCTGACGATGTAACGAGTGTCCGACAGGGAAACAAATACACGCATGCACAAAGAAATATACTCCGCGTCACAACATTTGTGAACGTTATCACCGAAAACTGATTAAATGAGGAAATCGCAATTCACTTAACTGATACAACTGAGCGAGCTTCTGGTACAGAAGCCAAAACAAAGCAGTGTAAGTCTACAATAAAACTACATTAATTACTTTACCAACAGCCCTTTGTCAATCTGTTGATAAATGAGGGGCTTACCACCCCATGTCAATCGTGGAGGTTGTTTGACCATACTTCACCACAGTGGTGTGTGTGCTGGATGGAGAAGGGGTTGGGGTGGGGGAGCCCAGGACCAGTTCAGATATCACTCATCACTGATGTTTCCCATCCTCAGGAGCCCCCCCCCCCCACCACAATACAGCTTTCTGCGATTACCATCAGGTACATGCCATGCGTGAGTTGCTGAATTTCCATGTGAATTGATTGGTCATCGACAAACTGCTCCACAGAATGTAGGTGCCATTTTAATTTGAGTGGGCACAATCTGCTAAATCTCGTCTTTAGCCCCTGCAAATGAACGTTGTGTTCTGACAGTCTGTGGGATCATAGCGGTCCTTGGTCATTTGGCAACTGATCAACTGAGGTTTGTCTTGTGTTTATATATCCTATGCTCTAGCACCTATGTATTATTGTTCAAGTCCATTCAGCATGGGCGTAGCGACAGCAATGATCCCTTCGCGTCGATTTTTGCCACACGTTGAACTATAGCCAAGAACAGGAAAATTGCAAAAACCCTAGTTTATCCGCAATAATGCAGTGTCCTTCATTACCTGTTCGATTCATATTGAAACCACAGTGACCGTCTCGTATAGAAATGCACATCTCACTTACGCGCGGAACATAGAAGTTCAACATTTCACGTCAGCCACTCTCTTACATTCTTGTACATGTTCTGCATTCATCCACACACAATATATACACAGATAAATTAAACACATTAACACACAACTGTTAAGAGACGCACGCTAAACATTTATACCCTGGAAGCACCCAGTGGCTAACAACATTGGGTGTTGCATCAACTCTTAGATTCTCTGAAGCTTATCACAATGTTTGTGAACATTTGGCTTCATATTATATTCTTACTCATAACAAACCAATGAGACAAACCAATGAGAGTTAATTTTATGGGCTCGGGAGGGGTAATTTCTCATTATAAAACATGTCTTGCCCCTACAAAGAGTTGGTACTCCATGGTTAATGTACAACAATGAGCTGCAGGGTGAACCATTGCCCGAAAAGCGGTGGCGATACCCTGTGTCTGCCGTGGATGATCGTCCGTCACACTACAATCACTTTTCGTGCTCAAAAATCAGACGATAGCGAAAAACAAGAGAAAATTGTAACCACCGCATTAAATAAACATTGCGCAACCTTGCGTAATATCCCGTATAAATACAATGTGTATAAAAAAATCAAAACCACCCATATTTCCAAGCATCTAACACAACAGTGTTAATGTGCAATGATCGCACCAACCAGCTATCGCCAATCAGAGAGAGATTAACAAGCGAAATATAATACATTTTTTGTGAAATTCCAGTCACTCCAAAGGCTGTCTTGGAAAAATCTACTTCTACGATTGAAGAGCCACACGGGGAGGAGCAGTGCTGCTGTCGTTTATTGCAGATCGCCATCCGACAGCCGCCGTGGTCGAAGTGTCAAACGTGAAATGGTGCCCAGAAACTCGGGCGGTCGGGTGGGTTAGGGTCTGTAGATTAGGGTTGGCGAGCCGTCCGAGGAGCAACGCGCAAGGTCGATTAGGGTCGGATCCCGAATGGTCATTGTATACTGCGGCAATTTTAGGGCAATCGTTGCTGGCAACCCTCGCTGGTAATAGTTTCTGCACCATTTTATGTTGGGAAAAAAACATTAGTTGCCCAATTATAACAACCACTGCTCCCCCTAGTGGGAAACTGGGAAGAATGACTTCAAATCAGATCACAGAGGTAACATGACCAACAAAAATTGTGTGCTTTGTAGACCAAGCACTGTTCATGAAACACACTCATCAACAAGCGTCTCGTTGTTGCTTGTGATAAATGCAATGCCAGCAACGGTTGAGCCTAAAACATGCCCCAGTTAACGTTGTCCACTCAATGCCATTATCCACTTGGGCAATTTTATGCCAATCATCGTATGCAATTGTCACCGGTGTCAGTTTTCGCAGCATTTCATATTGTAAAAATGGCGTTGCCCACGATCAGAACAAATCTGACCAGCAACTTCCAATCGGGTTGCATAAATCAAGAGACTGCCTGGCTGCAAGCCCTCCTCATTTGAGAGCTGGCGGCTTCATGTCAGCTGGCAGCTTCATGTCAGTACATCAGTGCAATGAGGATGAATGAAAGAGATGGCCTTGCGACCGATTTTCCGGTACGCAAAGCTTATGCTATCATGTTTTGTACCGAGCGATTGTAACAGTGGACTGCACGAAGCGATGGCCGAGTGGGCAGATTATTGTAATTTCCAACCGAGGTGCCACGGGCGCTCGTGGTTGACTGCGTTTGCCGGTGATGGGTCGCCGGCAAAAGATTGTTCGCAAAAGCGCCCTAGTGCATCACGCGCCGTTAAACGCAGGCGGCGTCGAGCGGCAATTGCGCGGAGGGTGAGAGCACGCCGGGCAGGGGCGGTTCTCCCTGTCCACGACAACGCTCCTTCTGGTGGCGAAGCAGCTGGTTGCGGAAGAGAAAGCGCTTGCGGCAGGCGTCACACGTGAAGAGGAAGACGCCCAGGTGGATGAGGCCGTGCTTGACGAGATTGCGCCGCGTCGATTGCAGGCCGCACACGCGGCACGACAGGAGCTCCGAATCCACGTGCAATCGCGCGTGGTTCCACAACGCAGCCATCTTCTTCTGCACGGCCACGCCGCACACCTGCCACATGTACGGTGGGGGTGGGGGGGAAGAAGTGGTGCCAGAACGGGGTTAACATTTGTCGTTTGAGTGATAACGTTGTGAAGTAATGGGAGAAAAAAATTATCGGACAGAGATAACTTTATAAATAACTTAAAAAACCGTTTGTGAAGGATAAAAAAAATCCAGCCAAACCATGACGTTTGGAAGCCAAAACACTTGCCTGGCATGGCGCGCTCTCCGTCGACTCCTGCGCATCGGGGTCTGGATGCCACGACAGTCGGCCGCCCTTGATTTGCGGCCTGCGACGGCGGCAGTGACTTTTGTAGTGCAGCGCGAGGCTCTTCTCCGACAGGAACTTTTTGCCGCAGTGCTTGCAGGCGGACAGCGCCACGCCCGTGTGCGCCAGCGTGTGCTCCACCGCCACGCTGATGTGGCTGAACATGGCGCCGCACACGCGGCACGCCAGCGTCTCCATGTCGAGGTGCCCGCACGAGTGCTCGCGCAGGCACGACACGCTCTCCTCTACGTGCTCGCCGCACGCCTGGCACCGCAGCTGCCCGTTTGAGACCAGCGCGGCGGTGGTCGGCGCTGCGTTGCCGTTGAGGAGGTCGCACTGCTGCTGCTGCTGCTGCGTACTGCCGGCCAGCGGGATCATGTTCAGCGTCTTCTCCATGGCGCGCAGGAAGTTGTTGGAGCTCTGTCCGCTCTGCAGGATCTCCAGGCTCTGGTCGTCGAGCTGCAACTCGGACTGCGGAGTGTTCTCGTCGGACAGCGCGAACGAGCACTGCTGGCCGCCGTCCGGCATCTCCGTCTTCACCAGGCAGAGGTCCGGGAACGGTTCCGTATTGCTCGCGCTCTCCTTGTCGAGCGCCGCGAACTGGGGCAGGTCCTCCTCGCTCGAGGACTGCGCGGCCTGCTTGGCAGGCGGGGGGCTCTTGCTGTCCTCCCCGTTGCACTGCCCGAAGGAGTTGTAGCTGCATCCCGGGGTGTCGTCGCCTTCCTCGACGCAGTCGTACTGCCCGCTCTCCGAGATGTACGTTGCGTCAGTGTCCTTGTCCGGGAAGCAGTCTTCCACGTCGTCCGTGACGAACACCCGGCACACCTCCTCCAGACACTCGATGCCTAAGCTCTGGGCAGCTTTGAGCAGCTCGCGGAGGTCTTCCCGTCCGACGCTCACATTGCCCTTGTAGACGAAGTCCAGGACCTGGTCGAAGGTCTTCTCCGTGAGGAAGTCCACCACGAAGGGCCCCATGTTGCTGCAGGGCGTGTCGAGGAAGATGCCGCGAAAGTAGGTGCAGGTGCTGCTCAGCACGGCCTTGTGCGCGAGGTAGCGCCGGCTCTGCACCTCTACGACGGCGTCGCAGAAGGAACCGCGCAGCCACAAGGCGCTCAGCTCACGCAGCAGGTCCGACAGCTGCTTCCCCGTCGACAGGCTGATCTGCTCGTCCGCCGGCTCCTCCATCTCCCCGGTGGACATCGCGCACGCACGCACGCAAGCGCCGCCGCTTGCGACGTGCTCCCCGGTGCGAAGGCGTACAGCTGCGGTGGGGGGTGGCCGGGAGAAAAAAACAAGGAATGATTTTCGTCGGCAGTGGAGCCGTTGGCTATGCCTGTTGCTTAACTGTCAAAGGGTGGTTGTACGAAAGTGAAGTCAAAACTCAATTATCTAAGGTAATAAGGGGAAGGAGTAGCCGGGATGAAACAAAAACAAAGGTTTTCTTTCCGATGGCCACTGATCCTCTGACCTACAACAAGTGAGGAGCAGCTAATAATTAAACCAGTTCATGATTGTGTACGATATTTCATATATATTTTTTACAAGCACCGTTAATCTGCAACTCAGATAAAATGGCAACAGATAATACAGAGTTAACTATAATCTGAAAACAGGGTACAAACTGGGTCCTGGTGACCAAAGAACAAAAAGATTACAAGCATGCAAAACAGCAATGAAAAGGAGGATTTTTTTTGTAAAACAAAAGGAAAATAATTTGAAATGACGATTACAGAATTAAAACTAGGATAAATAGATGTCATATACAATAAAAAAAAAATCTTAAACGGAGTTGAGTAGGCCATCTAGCTCAGACATCAATATATGGCCAAGATTATCAAAAGAATAGAGACGGATAGAGGGAAAGAGAAAAAATAAACCCTTAAAAACTAAGTTTTTCACTATAAATCCTTTATATGCGTGGCGGCTAGAGTCCTCTCGTCCTCTGGCTTGAGATGGCTTCCACCTTTGGGTCAGATGATTGCCTGCCACCATTAAGCAATTGGTAATTAAATATAAAAAAAAAAATTCCTAAAAAGTGTAAAGTTATGGAAAAAAATTTTCACGAAAATAAATTGTCACGCACAACGAGTTTGTGTGCAAAATGTCAGCTCGATAGGATCACGGGAAGTGAGTTAAAAAACGACCGAAAGATTTGCACGGTCGTAAGCGCGCAAGCAAGCAAGTGAACTTAATATAAAGGATTTAAAAAGAGATGGACAGACGGGATGACAGTATGAGATTAGCAGATTTGGAAGAGTGCACTGGATGAAGGCTGCAAGAGATGATGCAGAGACATCGATGGGGACCTTTGCCCAACAGTGAAATGTTAATGGGAAAAAAATAATGTATAACTGTAGAGTTATCCTCGTAATAAACGCAGTTAACATAATTTCTAATGGCAGAGAAGGCTCCTGGCCTGCGCTGGGTTGGCATCAGAAGGTGGATGGATGTTGATATTAGCTGTCTAGGCAGTGACCGTCTCGTATGGAGAAAAAAACAATACTCTGTCTTGGGCTGCGACAAAACTGTAACCACTGGAGAGCACCCCTGTGTATAGCTTAAGAAATTTAAACAAGTTAAGCTTCAATTACACCTAACGATAAATCATAAGGCTGAGAGCGATATACAAGTGGCAGATTTTGGCTATGTCACAATGCCCTGTAGAAATTTCCATGCCGACAAAATACAAGATTTAGAACTTAATGGGAAGGAATTTTTAAAAAGGCAAACGTTAGCAGCGTTGTGTTGCTACAGCGTGTGATGTGTATTTGATCATGCTCGCACATTTTCTGACAGGGTTACACTTGCTCGCGCACCTAAACGTGGCATTTGTCCAGCAACTTTCATTTGCACACTGTATGTAGAATAAAAGCGTTTCACATTTTATCAACACAGCCTAAAGAAATGTGTTGAATCAGTCTGATAAAATAAACCGCACATGCACAAGAGCTGTGGCCACTGGCCAGAAAAAAATATGTTCTTCTGTAAATTACGCTTTGACCACATTACTCTGAATGATTATCACTTTGATGGGTGACCACAAGGGCTTGCAAGCTGTTATAGGCATTGGGGCTCTGAGATGTGGCCATGAGATGGCAGTGATAAATGTGACCTCCTCAATGTGTGATGGGTGTCCCCTCCGGATCCTCCGGTTTCATCTAAAATGATGAAGCCCCTCTCTAAGTGGGATTGGCCAAACATGCAAGTGCAGAATCGTTCTAAATATTTCAAGACTGAGCGAGGCTTTACTGGGTGAAATAATTGAGATAATTTTTCATCAAGAGGTTTTTGGGTTAGATCGCTTAAATATAAATGTCGTTAAAACCGGAAATGTGTCGAGTTTTAACGACACATTCATACTTACGCGAGCAAACCAAAAAAACTCTTGTGGATGTTGGTCATGAAAAGCATACGTGTTAAACTGAATACTCTTCCTATTATAAATCTGTGTAAATGAAGTGAAATGTCCACTTTTAGTAGGTACAACCTACTACTTGCCTTAATCTAAGGTACAAGCAGACACGTTTTGTGGTCATGAAGCCTATTTTACGTGGCACAAAAACAGAGGCATGTTTATCAGATTCACAATGTACAGCCTTTTTGTCAATCCACTCCAGGATGAGGGCCTTACCCCCCATGCCGTACGGTCAGGTGAAGAGCACAGATGATGGAATCACAGTAAAGTTAAATAATGTGTTATGCTACACTACCCTCTGCTGCCCACCGCATAAGCACACAGCCTATATCACAGGTTATGCATCGAAATCACCCACACAACTAATTTCAGGCTAAATCCAGCTTAGCTTATATCTCACTAGATCGGGCACATTAAAGGTGATTTGGTCATAGAAATGAATGGTACAGTCTAGTATTTGTGTTTAATATAACTGCATGCATGTGCTTTACCTAAGCAATGCTCGTACCACTGAAGCAGTAATACAATTCCACATTTATTTACGTCACAACTTAATTAATTGGCTCTCTGCTGGCTGGAGGAGGGTACACGACACGTTTTATTTAGGCAATCTGACCCAAACAGAACAATTTATGAATCAGCTGCTGCCTCTAACGTGGACACGAATACCACAGTAATGTGACTTGACACGTTTCAAATGCATGACACGTGCAGGGGAACAGAGCGATTTAGCGACTCAAAAACACGTGCGTTTTGATTACCAATGAGAGAGTAAAAGAGTTTACCCGTGTCGGCCTTTGCAAAATAAACGTTGCGTTTCAAGGTATTCCGCTCCCGCTACATTAACCCCGCCAAAATGCCACATTCATGTTCACGTGACCTCTTGTCCCAACGCATTAACCACCCCATTACATTTGCAGTGGAAGGACAGACAAGGCTTGTAAATTTGGACCTGTGACAAACAAGGCAATCATTTCACGCTCCTGTTTGTCAATTCGTCATTTCAGGTGACGGTCTATGGGCGAACAGCGAACAGCTGACCACCCAAAACAATCGCATCACCTACAGTGTAGTAGATAGAGCGGCCTAACCAGCAGAGATCAATCATTGAAACTCGCCGAATCGATTCTTAATGTCACCCGATTGCAGAATATTCTTAGTTGCGTGGTCTAATTCGTTTTTTTTTTATCTCGTTCCTTTAATTAGCCGAACGAAAACATGGACATACTTTATTTATTGGCGCGTGATTAATGGTGGTTGTGGACACCCCATTCACCAACCCGCACTGACCAGCGTGGTGAAGTATGGCGAAACAACCATCACGATTGACAACGGGAGGTGTGTGTGTGGGGGGCTTCATCCAGCAGTGGATTGACAAAGGGTTAACAAGCTCAGCTTATTGGAGAGTATATTGAGTACATTGATTATATTGATGTATATTCTTGGTTCCGAAATAACCAAGAATATGAATCCCTGCAGTCACGAAAGCTTTAAATCAAAATTTATATTGATGTAGTTTATATTTCGTTTTTTCACTTCGGTGTATTCAATGGTAGTAGGTAGGGTATTTGTAGTTCTTTAGAAACTCCTTTTTTGTTGTCCACATAATGCACGAGCTTGATACGCGGTGGTTTGGCTGCTGCAGCTCTTAACTATTAAAATTTACCTCCCTTTATCACTGCTAATCCTACATAATACACGAGCATAATATGACTTTGAGACCCCCCACCACCTACACATTCCACAAGGAGTGACTAATCCCATATCTGCATTTGTCATCAATATGCTAAATTCCTCTGTTGATATGTAAACTCCTTTGTCAAGGCGCTCTCCTCCTCTAACCCAGCTTAAATATACGCTGCCAAGCTTGGCGGTGTTCATTAGGACGCTGTCTTTCCGACAGCTGTTCTTCACCTGAGGACGGCTGCTTGCGTTGTGGCCGAAACGTCGTGAGAATTTAATTATTTGTAATTTTTATTATTTTATTATTTCCCTTCTACGTGACTTTACCGAGAGAACCAAGAAGATGAATCCCTGCAGTCACGAAAGCTTTACATCGAAATTTGACAAAAGGTTGTTTCTCATCATCATCACCATCATCACCATTATCCACTCGTTTCTGGGAAGAGGACCGCCTCTCAAGCCACCGTGACCCTGGAGAGCAAAAAACACAATTTCCACCACCCAGCACATTGCACGCAAGCCGATTACATCTCTCAATCTCCTCGGTATGCGTCCGCTCTGAGACATCAATTGGTAAACAATCGCCTCGCGCACGGACGAATCTAGGAAATCGATACTCGCCTGTTCGACTGAAGCCAAATAATAAAACCTAGGGACCACCACCACCACCGCCGCCACGAGGCAAACGAACAACAACAACACAACAACAACAACACACCACACACACACACGCGCGCAAAGGGATAGCAAATTCTACCGGCCCCATTTGAACGCCGCGACAAAGCGAATTGGACGAAGAGGTTTTAGATGGGCAGTGGTGGTCAGGAGAACACCCCCGGGGGCTCGTTACAAACTCGATTTGTTTTTATCTTAATGAACATTACATGAAGAACGCCCTGTCTCCCTCCCGACACCCCGAGGGACTCACGTTCACATCCCCGCGCTGCCGGAGGTGAGGTACTTCCTCTTCACCACCACCACCTCTTGAAGCCTTGACCGTAGCTACGGTGGCCCGCGCGCTATCACAGGGGGTCGTGGGGGGTTAAAAGCGTAATTAAAAAAACGCGTTTTGGGAGCCTCCGTGCCGCCATGTTACGTAGGGGTCGAGTGCGAGGGACGTTGATTTCATTGGTCAACGCACTTTGTCTGGCATAAGGTATTCCAACGGGGTTAATGTAATTTGGGGTGCTGATTCCAAATCTGGCATCAGTTTTTTGTCTAGCACATCAGGTTGCTGAGATATTATATTGCATTTTCAATAAAAACTGCAGAAGCAAAAGATTAAATAAATGTGGATATCTACATAAAATGATATTATAAAACATAATATTATTTTATTATTTTCCTTCTACGTGACTTTACCGAAAGAACCAAGAAGATGAATCCCTGCAGTCACGAAAGCTTTAAATCGAAAAAAAATATATATTATAAACACACTATCCTAAAAATACAGCACCATATTTTAACACTAAAGCAGTCACTAACTCGTAGCAACTTGCAATCATAAGTGACGGAGTTAATTTTGGGTAAAATCAATGAAAATGGGGTATGCCGATAGCATAAAAATGAGATGTGATAGAGCAAATCTGAGATCACATTTGGAATCAGCACCCTGAAATTAGTCTAAAACAGCTGCAAAAGTCCAGGCCAGAAAAAAAAAAAAATTTGTTGACCAGTGTATTCGATAGGGCGGTGGTGGTGGTGGAGTGTTCGTGAAGGACCCTCCAGCAACAACGGAGTGACGCTCACAACAACGCGCCGGGCGGATAAAACACAGCGAGTTGGCACAATAGGGGGTGTTACAGCTGGTGGTGCATCTGCCGGTCATCTCAGTCGGCCCATCCATTGGCATCTGCTGGGTTCTGTCCCCGAGACCTCCTGTCAGCGAGCCATTGGACACTTCACGTGGCCTCAAAGTGCACCTAGCCTGGCACAGGCGCCGTGGTGACGCCACCGTCACTGAGTGGAGAATGGCGGGTGCTGGTGTGGTGGTGAGGAGCGGTGGTGCAGCGGTTAGCGCTACGCTGCGCTACGAACCCGGCGACCCGAGTTCCATTCCCGGTGACGATGATCAAAACCGGTTCTGGGCCTCCCCTAGGTCGACTGAGCCTCAAACGAGTACCTGGGGCGGTGTGTAAAAACATGATGTAGTTATGATTCTGAACACATTCCTGCGGAGGGGGCTGGTAGGAACGTTGGGTTGCTGGGTCAATGGCCTGCAGGGTCAACGGCGGCGTGGTGTATTCCGCAAATATGGCCGACTGTGAGGGTGGGCACAAGCCGGCGTGAGTAGGTTAAACGTTGAGTTTTATAAGGGCACCACGGGGTGACCAGCCCCCCACCCAGCCCCTCCCCACCCTCCCCACCCAGCCAGCCCCACCCTCCCCACCCAGCCCCTCCCCACCCACCCAGCCAGCCTCACCCTCCCCACCCAGCCCCTACCCACCCTCCCCACCCAGCCCCTCCCCACCCAGCCCTTCCCTCCCCACCCAGCCCCTCCCTGCACGACGCACGGACACAATAATCCCCTGTGGGCTGGTGTAACCAGGAGGTTCCTACCAGTAAAACATAGTTTTGTTTTATTTCTACATTTCTACGGTGATTTGTTTAGCTTCCGTTATACTTTACACTTTTATCGTGGTCTTTTTTTGTATTTGTTGTTGTAAGGTTCTGGCCCCGTGCCCCTACTGGACATCTGTGAAAAAAATAACTTTACAGGCTCATCGGATTCCTCCAGTACAAATAAACATGCTGGTTCTTATATCGCGATCGCAACAAGCCGAGCGATATAAACATCGCGATATCTATCGCGATATTTATCGCTATGCATCGCGATATTCCGCAATATCTATATCGCGATATAGCGGTATCTATATCGCGATATTTCTCGCGGTCGTATATCGCGAAACATCGCCGTATATCGCGATACATCGCGGTATATCGCTGTATATCGCGATATATTGCCCTATATCGCGATATATCGCCGTATATCGCGATATATCGCCGTATATCGCGATATATCGCCGTATATCGTCCTATATCGCCGTATATCGCGATATATCGCGATACAGCCGTGACGTCCCGTTCTCCACGTCACCCCGCGGGGCACGCCGGGTAGAAGTGACACGTCCCGTGGAGGAGACGGAGCCACGCAGACGGGCGGGGGTCGGTCGCGTCACCACAGACGGTCAACTCTCGCCGCACAGGCGCTCTCAGTCGGTGCTATCGATCGCTTGCTCCGGACGTAGCCATGATGAAGAAATTCGACAAGAAGGACGAGGAGTCCGGTACGAGTCGTGTTCGCGATGCGTGCTAGTTGATGCCCCCCCCCACCCCCGCCGAGCCTAGTCGAGGGCCGCATTCAGGCCGGTGTCGCTGTAGGCCCTCATTGACCACAATGTTAACTCGATAGGAATTGTTGTCGTCGTCGCTGTTGTCACGTTGGTTGTTGTCGTTGTTTGAGAGGACTTGACGTCGAGGAAGGAGACGGAGCGATGAACGCGGGTCGTGTGCGTGTTTCTCGGTGGAGTGTTATCGTGTGAGTGGTGGTGATAGCGGCGGCGGCTGGGGTGGTGGCCTTATCCAGCAGTGGACCGACGATGTCGGATAATTAAATTTTCACGTTTCGGATGAGTGCTAATTGCCGTGCACAATCACTCGTGCCGTCCCCCGCTACAAAGTCTATATTCTACGAGCACTAACCCCAACCCCTGCTGCCCAGCGTGGCGAACTTATCAATGGCCCGCCCTGACTTGCACGCAGTAGGGAGGCCGACGTGGAGCAGTGCGAGGTGGAGTGGCAGACAGACATTCGATTCGCTTTGAAAGGCCATGGTGGAGGTTAGGGACGGGGTGACACACGGAGAGAAGACGTCTTCTGTGTGCCTTGATGGTGGGAATCGAGACTGTCAGTCGACAGGATGTGGGCCCCGCTGGGTCTATGTGGTAACACGGTGTCTTGAGAGACGGCCAGCGCCGCTGATAATGTTTTGTGTATGTACGTTGAGCTTCTTTCGCACCGTACCTCGTCAACCGTGCTCATTGGAGGTGCGGGTTTTAGTCACCGGTGATTATTATTAAACTATGTTCTCATGATGCGAGTGGATAGTCTCTCATCAATGGCTGCACGAACATATTCATAATTGTTTTCTTAGTTTGGCATATTACATATGAGAAATACATTGTTTTTTCTAACTGTGCGAAAATCAACATTTAGCATGAATAACCTCTGTTATAATGACGGAAAATTGCCTCAAATCTATATGAACTGTAAAGTTCATATAGATTATAGGCAATTTTAATGACCTCAGAAGTGGTGATCATGTATGTATGTTGAACTTTCTTCGCACCGTACGTAGCCAGGCGTGCTAATTGGAGATGTGCGGGAAGGAATAAGCAACGTGTGCTAAGTTTTGATATCCAGTCAAACGAGCTTTTAGAGAGGCAGAGTGATTTTAAAAGATGATTCTTCTGAATGAGTAGCCTACAGTGGACAACTATTCACTCGGTGTTCCATTGTTTGAAGTTCACCACCTTCCACACTTGGGTCTCCATATGAGAATACGCCAACCCACAGCGTCCATGTGGTGTTCTGATGCGGTTCATGGCCGTCGGCCACTTTCGCCGAGGTGAGCGAGTGGCGAAACCAGGAGGCTCTGACAGTTGGGTCAGCTGAGGATCTTGTTTGTTCATCCTGAGCAGTCGTCCATTCATTTCACCTCAGAAAGTCCTATTACTTTGTTCAATGGAAAGCCAGCGGATGGTATACGTGCATATATGTAGATTCTTATACCAACTTTGTTTAACGTCATGCATTTTGGTTTTCAGATTCTCATACCAACTTCTTTATAACTGTCATGCATTTTTGGTTTTCAGATTCTTATACCAACTTCTTTATAACGTCATGCATTTTGGTTTTCAGGTGGTGGCTCCAACCCGTTTCAAAATCTGGAAAAAAGTGCTGTCCTTCAAGAGGTCAGTGTAGTTCATATACAAAGCAGCTGCGTGTATTTTGAACCAAATAAACCATTGTAGCATACTGATCATTATCCAATCTATATATATTATTTAAGGTGTCTGCTTTATTTTAAGGGTTTATACCTTGAGATGTGTTATTAATAATATATGTTTAATGTTTGTTGTATGGATGATAATAAGTTAATTGTATATAGCATCATTCATGCAGTTGCATCCCAAAACGCTGCACATCAATTATCCAGTTCCAAACAGATAATACAAAAACAAACTTCATCTACTTCGCAAATAAAAAAAAGTACGTAAATAACGGGAAAAAATACACAACAAGAAAAAATTATTGCAGAGAAAATAAAATAAATGATGTGGTGCAAGAAAAGAAAGTGATATGGAGGCAGTGATTTGAGATTGGTAAACGTCTCATTGTACCTTTTTGCAGACTCGGCTTTTCAATGAAACTCCAATCAACCCAAGGAAATGTCTTCACATTCTCACCAAGGTGGTTTACCTCATCAACCGGGTGAGTTAATTCATATGCTATTCAAACCAACATCTCATACATGTTGTATGTCAGTTTAACACGTAGGCTTTCGCGACCAATATTATTCATAATCAACGTTTTTGGGTTAGATCGCGTTATAACGTCATCTAACCCAAAAACGCGATCTAACCCAAAAACGTTGATTATGAATGTTGTATGTGCTGACACTGCAACCAAATATGACGTTCAGTCCATTGTGTCAATAAGTTTGCCTTGACTTTATAATGCCTTGGAAGAACCATAACATGGGCATTGATAACTAGTTCAGCTGTGAAAGTATGCAGTGAAAAATTAGAACTTGAATTGGGAAAGCGACATTCATCAGCCCGTCCCTTTGGGGTGACACTGCTCTTGCTGTGCCTTTGACGGATGCTCCAATGTGATGGGCGGCATTGTTTTGACCAGGGAGAGCACCTGGGAACCACTGAAGCGACAGAGGCGTTCTTCGCCATGACCAAGCTCTTCCAGTCCAATGACGTGAGTGAACGAGGGAGTGCTTGCGCTATTATTATAAACCCCTTCTCGTGTAATTTTGGGCAAATAAAGCAAAGTGTATCTTTAAATTAAGTCATTATGCACTGTCGTGCCTGTTTCATAAAACTAACAGGCCTCATCCTGCCAACATTTTAACTGATATTGGATTTACTTACTTAAAATGCGACTGTAAAGCACATCTAGAAGGCCTTTTGCCTTATAGGGTTGACTATGAAACACGGTTGTCAATTATGTAGTATTGTATGGGCCTTGCCATACAGATTAGAAGTGTGAATGTCCTACGTAATATTTACTGGTTTTGTTTTTTTGATATTTGCATGAAAGTTATTTTCTTTGTCTTCACTAGCCAACACTAAGAAGGATGTGCTACCTCACTATTAAAGAGATGGCCAACATTTCGGAGGACGTCATAATCGTGACCAGCAGGTAATGTTCAGCTCAAACAATAGAAAATAAATTATGTTATTTGATGAATATGTTATGTTTGTTGCAGTTAATGAAAACAATGTTTGAAACTAAGTGTCACAATTATAACTCGATAACAACTTAGCATACCTGAGGCTATACAGGGTGCTTCAAAAAAATGTTACACTTCCGAGAATTTGCAACAATACCACGAGAAATGTGCCTCCGGGCTCTGGAGACCACCTGGAGAAAATTCCAGGCACGTGTTGACAATGATGGCGAACAAGTGGAGACGCTTTGACGCTATTAACATACATTTGTTATCATGTTGCAGTGTACTGTCCGTTCTTTTTCCATTAAAAACGATAGTCCAATATAAGTGTTAACAATTTTGAAGCACCTTGTATTGTATGTTCTCCCCGTGGGACTTATTTCTCCGGGTCCTCCAGTTTTTCCCTCCACATTTAGAAACATGTGTTTAGAGTATTTGGCCGCTCTACGTTTCCACATGATCAGCCAATTCGTTGAGCTGTCATTTGTGGCCAGATCACCTGTGAAAAAGAGCTGTATAGCTCAGTGGGCCTTACCTGGTAAAATACAAATTGTTCAGTTTATATAAGCTATCTGTTATCAACATTGATACTATCTGTAATCATTATTTCCTAAATAAGGCCAGTCAGCTGAAATGGATATTTTCCTTTTCTTTTAGTGGCAGTTAGAGAAAACCTGTTATTTTATTAAAGATGTCAATTTTACGTATCGGTTCACTGAAGCACCAATGTGTTAACTGACCATTATCAAAAGTTTTTTTTTTACAAATGGTTATAGATTTTCTTGAGAAACATGCGTTCTCTTATTTTGTAGTTTGACTAAAGATATGACTGGTAAAGAAGACCTCTACAGAGGGCCGGCCATCCGCGCGCTTTGCAAGATCACTGACGTGAGTACACTGTTATCACAATAAAAAATAGTACAGGTAGTCCCCGACTTACGATGGTCCGACTTACGATATTTTGATCTTACAAAATTGTAAAATATTTGACATTTCGCGCGGCAGGCAAACGCAGCAGCGTACGAGGTACGATACATGTACGTTGGGACGCTGCCGGGATGTACTGTACGCATATAGTTTATACAGTACGGTACTGTAAATTGCTCTGTTTTTATAAATTATCACCATTCTTTAAGACTCCTGGGTAGGCTAGGCCATTTTCGACTTACGATATTTTCGTCTTACGATGGGGTCGTCGTAACGCATCTCCATCGTAAGTCGGGGACTACCTGTATTACATTGTTGCTGAACTGTGCTGAATGATCCCCGCGCTGTTCATTGAGGCCCTCTTGCCTATAACCTCAGAAAACTGCCAATGTAATTTATAAAATGTAAACTTGTACATATGCTGCTGGAAAACATTGGTCCTAAAGGCTCGTGAATCTAAATGTGTATTTTAAAAGTTTAAAATTGTTTTTTAATAGCCGTAGAAAGGGCTTAACTCTTTCATGTGCAGTTTACATTGAAAAAGCTCAGTTTTTGTCTGCTGTGAATTCTATTTGTGCGGCTATCCTAGTTCCTTTTCAATTTGTAAACTTGTAGTTTCATATGTGTACATAGGGATGCATCTCTGCTTCCTTGCTGTTTGATGACGACAAATTGTAATTGTGTTCTTGAACAGACAACCATGCTGCAAGGGATTGAACGGTACATGAAACAGGCCATTGTGGACAAGGTACCAAGTGTATCCAGCTCTGCGCTGGTGTCATCGCTGGTACGTTAGTGCACATTAATGCTTGTTCTAATTTATCTAAATCGGAGCATCTTTTTATTTTTTACTCCAGATCAAAATGTCAATGCATACTACGTGGCACACACAAACGGAGCTACAAAACCATCTTTTCTCTAATCCTCTACTGGCTCCCATTCCAACTCTGTATCAATTTCAAGATCGTACTTCACATTCTCAAGATTCTCCATGGATTCACTCTTCTCGCCTCTCATCTCAGTTTACTCACATACACGCACTCTCCGCTCCAGCAACCAAGACTTGCATTGTGGGAGGTTACTCTTTCTCTGATGCTGCCCTCAGTATGGGAAAGTCTTTCCCAGACATCTGTGCTGTTGACTGACGTTCTCTATAAAATAAATATGCCTACTGTTGCTGTGCAATGTCTTCAGATGCGTTTGCTCCATTGAGACACATAAAATGTAGTTATTAATCTCAAGTGTGGCATATGTATTCCAGCATTAAATTAAGCAATAAAACGTTCTACTTAGAATGTGCAGAGATGGCCAGACAGAGGTGGGCTTGGAAAATCACACTCAAGTGATGTGTCCGAGATACCCACTACCAGGGTCAATAAGGTGCCTTCAGGAGACAGGACTGCAAATAGGGTGCTGACTGGCTATTGATAATGGAGTTTATCGTGTTCTTCCTGTATACGTGCGAGTTTTATAAGGCACTCCAATTGACTTACTCTCAGAAACTAATTGGCAATCCTCGACAGAGAGACTTGTTTCAGTCATTATTATTATCAGCATTGATTTATCCACTCACTGCAGGATTAAGTGCTTCCCCAAGTTGTCGCCAACTAGTGATGTAAATACTTCATCTTGCACCTTTGCATGATAACATTTTATCGCTACGTAATTGTGGTGGATGTTCTCTCAGTCATGTTTCAGTAATTATTGTTAGAAACTATTGCAGTGTTTGTGACTAGTGTTGGTGAAAAGGCAGATACGTTCCCAAATACCCCGATTAACTCTTGTATATACTTTATCGACAATGACATTTTGTGGGTTTTCAAGGTTCTCTCAGGTCACACATCAATTGCATGCCCGCGCTCTCTCTGTCCGCACAGCACCTGATGAAGGGCAGCTTCGACGTGGTGAAGCGCTGGGTGAATGAAGCGCAGGAGGCGGCATCGAGCGACAACGTCATGGTGCAGTATCACGCGCTCGGTCTCCTCTACCACATCCGCCGCAATGACCCCAACGCCGTTTCCAAGATGGTCGCCAAGTTCACCAAGCAGGGCATGAAGTCCCCCTTCGCCTACTGCCTGCTCATCCGCATCGCCAGCAAGCTGCTGGAGGAGGAGGATGGCGGGTGAGGAGGCTTTCGGCTGTGGCCTGGAGCAAGAGGAGTTGTGAATATGTCGTAACATCATAGTGTTGTATAACGGTCGCAAGCAAGCATGCCGTCTGGATTTATGATATTAAGTGTTGCCTGCTGAGTGCTTCTTTGCAGGAAATCTGTCGTGTTATAAGGATAGACCGGTCCCTGCTGTGTGCATACTTGGTACATATTCCACACGGTGTCTCAGACACAGAGCTACCCAATGCGTCGACTTGTCACAATCATGTACCATCAGTCAGAGCTTTTCTTTTGTCACTCCTATGGATGCTAAATCCTTCAATGTTTAGTTCCAGTTCATCGGCGGTAGTCCCTGTCTTTGTTTACCATTTTATGGGACTCACGTGAAGGCCTGCTGCTCCATCCTTCTCTGATGTCGTGTGGTATCCGTCGCCCAGCCAGGTCAGGCGGCGTTCTCTCACGACTGATGAGATTAATGGCTTATTGGTGCGTTGACGAACCGTCTTGCTTGTCCCGATAAAAAACATGGAATTGCCAATCATTTTCCAAAAGCAGATATAAAAGCCACCCAGCTCGAAACATGTTATAGCGACGCTTAAGTAAAAAATGTTCGTCTATTGTCTGAACGAGCTGATGTTTTTTCAATACACTTGCCCAGTTGATGTGAAATGATGACAACATTTTTATATTGGGTACAGTGAGTGAAGCATCTTACTTTGTGATTGCTTCAAAGCTCTGGGATCTCTGCCTACCACAACCTGACACTGCTCACTCAATTAATCCAGCAATTAACATGATTTAAAACGTTCACAGAGCTTATATTGGGCAAATGAACTGTGAGCTTAACATGTCGGCTTTCGCGACCAATATTCACAATAAAGGTTTTTTGGTTAGATCGCGTTATTTATAAATGTGTCGCAACCCTCCACCACCCGACACGGGCATTCAGTAAAAAATGTGTCACATTGACAAAAGACAAATAGTTCTCTACTTTAGCCCACCGGTGTGTTGAAGAGTGAATCCACAACATTTACAAGTTTTGAGTACGACGTTTCGCTGGTGATTACATCCGGCATCATCGGGCAATTTGCCAGAAAAAACTGAGAGCGTTTTTTTTCTTTCAGTTTGCTGGGGTACTACAGTGAGAATGTCACCGTAATGTTGCCCACCCGGCTTTTGGTAACCGAAGTTCACGTGCTGCACGCTTGTGTGTCTTTCTGACGACAGGCATGACAGCCCTCTCTTCGACTTCATCGAAGGCTGCCTGCGGAACAAGCACGAGATGGTCGTGTATGAAGCAGCTTCGGCCATCGTGCACCTGCCCAAGTGCACGGCCAAGGAGCTGGCTCCAGCTGTCTCCGGTGCGGATTTGGTGCACCTTCTCCTGTTGATGTAGATGTACATATGTGTGCACGTGTGTCTAAATGTACTAGCCCATTTGGATGAGGGCCTACCCATCCTGTGTGGATCGAAGGGGTTATTTGATAATGCTTCAAGCATGCTGGTCAGCGCGGGTTGTGGTGTGCGGAAGTAGTAACTAATTGGCACGTTTTGTTTACGTAACAAAACTTACTCGTTGACTGTTGGCTGATAGCGGGTTTAATGACATTTATATTTACATGATCTAACCCAAAACAGATTTATTATGGATATGCTGCCCTTTTCTGCTCAACGTGTAGCCCTGTAGCCCAATTACAACTTGGTTGTGAAGGATCGTCAACCATCCAGGCTCTATTCAGGCCCCCCACCCTTGCTTAACTTCAGAGATCTCATGAGGCCCGGGAGCATTTTGGTTGATTTTGTCATTGGCCATCTTATTTACAGCAATGCATAAATTGAGTGCGTGTCAACGCAAATGTACTTGATGCTCCGTACCACTGAGGAATATAAGGGCTGCGAATTGATGGTGAAAGAAATACAAACTCTCACATGCCATGCGGTGATGCGTACTGGCAGAGGTGAGATCTGAGCTGGTGCTGTATCAGTCACAAGCTGTGCCTGTGATGGTCAGTGACACCTCTTGATTATATGATTGCACCATGTAATCATTGCTGCGAGCCATGCACAGTACTCTTTTCAACGTTTTGCTTGGACAAGGTACCTTAACATGTTATGTCGTATTCGCAGTAGGATTTTGCTCAAAATAAAACATGTAATGCGTTTTTTGAAGAATGAGCCATTATTGTTTAATTGCACTACATCTTGTCCAATTAAAAGATGTAGTGGAAGCATTGTGGATTCATATTTAAATGAGCTCTGACATTACGTGATGACATTCATGACAACCTTTAGGCATCAATTTAATAATAAAAATGTATTATTTAACAGTGCAAGCATACAATTTCATGAATAGATTCACTTTACAAATTGGTGTCATTGTGTTGTCTAATGAAATGAAAGAGATGGACAATACAAACAAGAGAAAAAAAAATTGAATTTTAGATGTTATGACCCAGAGTTGTGAAAATCCATCATAAATCTGGATCAGGGGTGATGTTCAATCATCACAGGCCTTCTCTCCAGTGGGTAAGGAGTCGATATTTGGGTGTGTATATGTAAAGTCAGCAATGTGTTTGAAAGATACAATTTAGTGTTGACAAAAGGTTCAAGACTTTATGTTTTTTCCTGCACTGTGCGTTGACTTGCGTTTCCTTTGTGTCCCCGTCTCCAGTGCTGCAGCTGTTCTGCAGCTCCCCGAAGCCGGCGCTGCGCTACGCAGCTGTGCGCACGCTCAATAAGGTATCGCGCTTCGCTCACCGGCTTTGAAAATAAATGTTCCCGATCCGGCAGGAACGCTCGTAATGAAGGCCCCTGTTAATCAACAACATCGATGCTATTTCAATTAGAAACAGCATGGAGTTGATACAATTTAAAGTTGAATGTACAAGGTATTCATTTAGACATTTAGCAATTACAAATGTAATGCTTTGTTGAATAAAATCAATATGCTTGTGATACATTCTGCATGTAAGAATTGGATTTCTTTTCATTCATATGTGCAATATGTGATTATTTCATGGATAGCCAGAATTGTCTCGGAAACTCTGCGGGCAAGACTGATTCCACAAGCAATGCAAGGACAGAAGTAGTTGATTCTTGAACAATAACCTTGAGCCGTGACAATTCAGTAAATTGTAGCAGAAGAAAATTGCGCCAGGCCTAAATAACCTGTCTCTAGTACTCAATTAGTACAGCTAAAATTCAGTGTTGAGTCAACATTTATCGCAGGTCACTCTTGTGAAACGAAGTCATGGGCTGTATAGTCTGCACAGCTTATACGGTGAACCTTTGTGCACGCGCACCATGCAGGTCGCCATGAAGCACCCGTCAGCAGTGACCGCGTGTAACCTGGACCTGGAGAACCTAATCACGGACTCAAACCGCAGCATCGCCACGCTGGCCATCACCACGCTGCTGAAGACCGGCAGCGAGAGTAGCATTGATCGCCTAATGAAGCAGATCTCTTCCTTATGTCCGAGATCTCCGATGAATTCAAGGTGCGTGCGCGCCCACGCCGGAAGGCACGGAAGGGCTCCCACACCGCCTGTCGCACACATTCATATCTAGAAGTCATAACCGACCCATTAAGTAATCCGTTACTTTACTGCTCGTAATTAAACTGGAACTCAGGATCACAGCAGTGCCAACTCTGTTTTCGAACACTATTTGCATACCTTAGCCACCGTGCCGCTCTTCCTTTTAAGAGCATTACTGCAAAGTGTAAGCCCTTCTCAGTGCATGCTTTACTGATGAAATGCAGTTGGGAAAATTCTACTTTCGGTTTGCAATCATGTCCGAAAGCTTGAGGGATATTGAAGTGTTTGTCAGATATTGATGACTCAGTCTGTGGACCTGCTGCATGCTGAGATCAAACCACCCCTTCTTTTGAAGCCGTAAAGCCTGGCACTGATGTCAGATCACCAATCTGGCGAAGGCCTCATTGGCAATTGGTTGTTTACCCTTCTATCTGGCAACAAAACTGACACCTTTTTACAAGGAGTCATGTTTGCATAGACCGCAATACCTGCAGTCATAATACAAACAAAAGACATAACTCTGATAATGTGCACTGTCCTTGAAGTTGATTGGTCCACACCCGAGACAGCTTTCCTTAGAGCCTAGTCTCACATGGGTTGGACCAGATGACGCCAAAAGGCGCACAACTCAAAGACAATGCACCATCAGAGTATGAGAGCTCGGGGCAAGCATCTACACTATGGGAACCTCATTTGGCACTCGACCCTATCCTGGATCCATAAACAGGTCCAATGTCTTTTCGATTTAAAGCTTTCGTGACTGCAGGGATTCATCTTCTTGGTTCTTTCGGTAAAGTCACGTAGAAGGGAAATAATAAAATAAATAAATTTAAACATAATACGTTTATTTTATATGAATATATTTTATTATTTAAAAGTATTTAATGAAGTTTTATTTTTATTATTTTATTATTTCCATTCTACGTGACTTTACCGAAAGAACCAAGAAGAAGGTCCAATGTCTCTTTGTCTCTTGCTGTCAAATGAGGCTTGGAATGAGACTATGCACAGAGGTCATCCGAATAAATGCAGCAGACCCTAGTTGTCCAAGCAAATGAACTGACTGAGTCTGTAATCATTATGGAGTTAGCATTAGTTCCACTTTGTGGTCAGATGATAGATTAGCTCATTGCACTGTCTTGCATATCCTTTACGTTTTTAATGATTTATCAGTATATGTTAATATACAGATCTTACACAATCAAGCAAGCTGACATATAATGTTTACACATTCCATGTTCCTATTCCTGTTGTGGGCATACAGATGATCTTTACAGTTGCTTGTGATGCTGTAAACATTGTTGTCGAAATAATTTCTCATTTCAGAACCAAATTTTTCAACATCAATGATCCCTAGAACTGTTTGTGGTAAACGGTTGGCTGCTGATACTCGTTTGTGTCTCTTTCTAGGTAGTGGTGGTTCAGGCTATCAGCGCCCTCTGCCAGAAATACCCACGCAAACACTCCGTCATGATGAACTTCCTCTCGTCCATGCTGCGGGATGAGGTGAGCACAAGTTACCGCTCTGTGTTCCGCGCACTGGGTTGGGTTAAATTATTGATGCGTTTTTACCTTTGCGCTATTATTGCCAAACATGTTCTGCAGTTTCCATCACCAACAATAGGGAAAATATTCAAGGTCATGTTTTGGTCGATGTCAATCTGGCCTTTTTTATTTACTCAATATCCTATATTTAAAACCACGTGCGAGCCAGTTGCGACAAAAATTGTCTCCATTTCCAGGGAGATTTGGGTCATGAAAGCAGGTGATAAAAGGGCACAATTACGTTGTATATAGTCAGTTCATTGAGTATTAACAGATACAAATTGGGCTGCTGTATGCATACGTATTTGTTGAAATAATAAATTCGATGTGCTTTCCGACCTCAGGGCGGGTTTGAGTACAAGCGGGCAATCGTGGACTGCATCATCAGCATCATTGAGGAGGGCGTGGAGAGCAAGGAGACGGGCCTGTCACACCTCTGCGAGTTCATCGAGGATTGCGAGCACACGGTTCTGGCCACGCGCATCCTGCACCTGCTGGGCCGCGAGGGCCCGCGCACCGCCACGCCCTCCAAGTACATCCGCTTCATCTACAACCGCGTCATCCTGGAGAACGAGGCTGTCCGCGCCGGTCCGTGCATCCATCGTTTTGTCTCTCCGCTGAGCCCGTTACGGAACGTTTGTTACCGGAAAAGTGGGAGGGCTGGCGGTGTTTCAACAGCCCCTGTTAAAAAAAAAAAGTTTACGTATGGAATTGTGCAATGCTTTTGAAGTGTTGAGTTATTTAATTCTCAGTATGGACGCCGACGGATGGGTAACTGTCGGAGTAAAATGTGGTTACATGTTTGCAAATAGTCGTTTATACTCTGGTTTGTGTCTCCCAAGTTTTTGGCAACCCTTTGATACATTTTTCCAGTTTTCAATAGAAAGACATATAATACAAATAACAAAAAACTCAACACATCCGTCAATAGCATACAAAGATAAGCATGTAATGGGCTTTATACTAGAGGTTGGTTCATATTTGATCACCTTGACGAGAGTTCTAGTGCCGCCCCCTTCCCCCATTACGGACCAATACATGGATGGACAAGCTCCTGTATAAGCGAGTTCAACCTTTGCTGGAAATAATTAAAATGATGATGTCCTCCTTGTGCAGCTGCCGTCAGTGCCCTTGCAAAGTTTGGTGCTCAGAATGATGACCTGCTGCCCAGCATTCTCGTTCTTCTGCAGAGGTAACCGACTCCTTTGTTTAACCCCATTTACACCGCTGTCACAGTATGCAACGTTATTTACCCACAGCATGTTTGCCAAAGCCTCCCATTATTTCACTGCAACCATACCACTCACAAACGCCCCCTAACTTTTGGACAGCTCGTAGGCCACGCTCGTCACGGCCACTTTTATTTAATCATTCACATTCCGATTGTTTTGGATGTACGACGCTTTTTGTCAATCTACTTCTGGATGAGTCTCCCCTGCACCATGTGGGTCATGGAAGATATTTGAGCATACTTCGACACACTGGTCAGTGCGGGTATGTCAAAGCAGGGAGCATAGTGAATTCAAGCTTTCGTGACTGCAGGAATTCATATTCTTGGGTCTTTAGGTAAAGTCACAGATATTTTCAAAGAAAATAACAAAAAACTACGACATTTCGATCGCAACGCAAACGGTCTTTTTTTTCTTTTTTTGTTCTTTTCTTTGAACCTATCTACGTGACTTTACCGAAAGACCTAGGAATAGGGAGCATAGTGTGTGAGCATAGTACAGTAAAAATAGTTAAATTTTGTATGCACTGCACTCTGCTTCTGACAGCATGTCCCCTGGTTAACAGGCACAGGCAATTAAAGAGTTAAGGTTTCGTTATGTTTGTCAGAGAGTTGGAGTTTTGCTTTTGCGTGGCAGGTGCATGATGGACGGTGATGATGAGGTCCGAGATCGCTCCACCTTCTACCTCAACATCCTCCAGCAGAAACAAAAGGCCCTCAACGCTGTCTACATCCTCAACGGTGGGCCCCACCTCACACGACAGACTGATGGCGGTGGTGAAAATGGCCTTGGCTGCGCCAACGGCGTACGAGTGCGGTGCTGGGATTTTGAGACCTGCTCGTGTATCGTTTAGGTCTTGCCGTGTCCGTGCCCGGTCTGGAGAAGGCTCTGCACCAGTACACGCTGGAGCCGTCGGAAAAGCCTTTCGACATGAAGTCGGTGCCTTTGGCGACTGCCCCACTGGCCGAACAGAGAACAACCGGTGAGTGCTTGTGACGGGAGGAGCGGGGACATTAGGGCTGTGTAGGTTTTCACGGTTGTGCTTTATATAGGAGATGCCACGCATATTTTTGGCATACCTTCAAGCAACATGCGGTACCACTCGAAAACATATCTATGGGTTGGTGTGCACATTCTATTAATCACAGTTATTGAAGGCAGTCCCTATGGCCTACAACACAGAGCCCAAAATGTGGCAGATACGATTTTTTGGAATTGAGTAAGGCCTTAGGAACCTGAGAGAAGAGATGATGGGAGGGAGTTTCATTGTGAATAACAGGCAGCATTTATAGTACAGCAGATAAGAAGTACAGCAGATAAGAAAAATGTGTTTCTTGAATTGAAAGGAATTATAGGGAGTTAAAATAACTGCGCAATACGTGAATAGAAAGATAAATATTGCTTACTACATTGATGGGTAGATACAATCTGATTGAAGGGGTCCTTAACATGGGTGGGCCTATCAAGGTATGACATTTTCTGCTGTGAAATCATATTTGCATATTCTATTCATTTGACTTTGTTCGACAGGTACAATGTCATTGCTGATGTGGTAATGGCACCATACCACGAGCTGATGAAAGATGTATGCTGCAATGGTTGTCTGTCTGTCTCTTTTTTTATCATTCTGTACACAGAAACGGGTCCGATCATCACACACAAGCAGCCTGATAAGGTGGTGGCCTCTCGCCAAGAGATCTTTCAAGGTGTGCCTACACAGTCATGTACCGCAACTTTTTGATGCATAATATGTATCATAGCATTAATCATCATCAGCAGCAATAATTAATTCACTGCTGTCACCATCTCTAACAGTCCTGCGACATAACGCTTTAGCACCATCTCTTTTGTGAACGTACTATCAGACACATTTTCACCTTTGACTCCATCGTTAGTCTCAACCACCGGCCATCATCCCTTCTTCCAGTGATGTGTCTTGCGCATTCCCACTTGATAGGGAAGCCATCTCGTAGCCTTGTCCGAGGTAAACATGCATCGCTTTCATTGTACTTCATGAAATGTGATTATTGCGATGGTACTACTGCATATGTTTTCACTGTTGTGCTGTATAGCTTTATAATGTGTTTTCTTGTCATACTGCATGTTGTTCTGCATGATGTATAACATATCAACTTCACTTGCTGGGAGCTTCATCAGGAACTTCTCAGCATGTGGATCGGAGGTGTTGGACATGAAGTCGAACAACACGCGGTACAAACCTGAAATTACATCGGAGAGAAGCTGCGCCGGCAAAGATTTGAGGTGTTTGCGACGCGTGTGTTTGCGATGTAACAGAGCAACTTTCCGCCATCCCCGAGTTCAAGAACCTGGGCCCATTGTTCAAGTCATCGCCACCGACGCAGCTCACAGAGTCGGAGACGGAGTACGTGGTGCGCTGCATCAAGCACACTTTCCGCAAGCACATTGTCTTTCAGGTGAGTCACTCGACAAACATAAAAAAAAATGTGTACAACATTTACCACCCTGCAACTATTTCTCAGGCTTGAGAGGATATGCATCTGTGCTGAGTTAGTGTGAGCCTATGGATGTTCAGTACATATGCAGTCTGTTTTGTGAATGCCCTGCTGATTGAGGGCCTCCCCCATACCTTGTGGCCAATGAGGGGATATTTGACCCATACCTCACCATGCTGATTATTCCAGCTGGTGAAGGTGGAGAGAGTGCATTGCAACAGTGGTATTTAGCCACGCAGTCTTTTGGCATTGTCATCGACCCAAGTGCACTGTGCAAGCTAAAACCTGCTTAGCTTCTCACGTATGATGACATTGGGTGCTTTTCTGTGTGATTTGGTCATAAGCAAAAATTTATTAAATTAAATATTAAACAATAATCAAGCTAATATCAGTGGTGTTACATACCACGGACAAGCTGTCTCAGTCACCGCAACCCCCATGCCAGTGTGCAAGGTTACTGCCGTGTATATTAATAGAAGCCACAACTAGGGGAATAGAGAAGTTGGTGATAATTTGGATGTGGGTGGAAGTACGGAGAAGTGGGAGAATTGTTAATTTTCTTGAGAACAAATATCCTTTATCTGTTTAGGCTGGTGGGGTAAATGTTGTGTTACCAAGCACCTTTCAAAGCCAGCATGGCACACGGTGGAGTGAAGCTTTGTCTACTCATTCCTGATATTCACATGACTGCACCGGTAATTAATTGTCTTCTGAGTCCACCTTGGAGAGGTGAAGACCAGGTTTAGATACCGATTGCCAATGGTGTTCACGGCCAGGAATGGAAGCACAGGTGTAAAACCTTTCATGGATTTAACGTCACACACTTGCCATTGTATCCACAGACACACAATGGACTTCACATAGACATTTACCTAGGGCTTAGTTAGGTATCTCCCTTATAACCAACTGTGGAGAAATGACTTTGTGCTTAGCGCATTGCACTAGGAACCCGGCGCCAAGGATTAAATTCTTGGTCACGGCTTAATATCAGCGTTGAGTCTTGGTTTACGTGCCCATCCGCCCGTCCGGCTCCCTTCACCAACCCAGACTGACCTGCGTGAAGTATAACCAAAGAACAAACATGATGCCAGGAGGCCTTCATCTATCATTGAATTGACAGAGTGGGGAAGTGAACCAAACTTATAACCAAATAATTTACCGTCTTGGCACGTGTCTGAATAACCATGTAATTCGCGTACACAGGCTGTGCCAATGTCTTAGGCTCATCTTCATTTACTCATCATCATTTTCACCTTCATATATTACTTGTGAACGTGCATCTTTTACGACTATAAAACAAGTCCCAAAGTGCCAACAGAAATAAAACACAATTGAACAGATCACTTCACATAGCGCACTTGAATTTAGAATCACGAAACGTTTTCAAGACGACCAATAACAGTGTACACTGTTGTGAGTGATGAACTAGCAGATAAAACAATTTACTTATATTTTGAGTTAAAGCTTTCGTGACTGCAGGGATTCATATTCTTGGTTCTTTTGGTAAAGTCACATAGAAGGGAAATAATAAAATAATAATAATTAAACTATAAAAAATATCACTGATGATTGCTTGTGTTGCAATCGAAACGTCGTGATAATTTGATTGTTTTATTATTATTTTATTATTTCCCGTCTACGTGACTTTACCGAAAGAACCAAGAATATAATTTACTTTTCGTGACATTGTATCCTTAAGATGTATTCTTGCTCCCTCTAAATTACTTGGTTGAACTAACGTGCACTACTCGCATGTTTTGTATTGTTATTGTAACGTTCTGACCCGCCCCTACTGAACATCTGTCAAAAAGAGCTTTATAGCTCATCGGATTCCTCCAATATAAATAAATATTCATATTTCTGGGTTTGATATGAATACAATTAAAAACATTCTTTATTATCCCCTCCGCAACGCTGCAGTTCGACTGCACGAACACGCTCAACGACCAGGTTCTGGAGAAGGTGACCGTGCAAATGGAGCCCTCGGAGGGTTACGAAGTCCTGACGTGCATCCCGGCCACCAGCCTGCCCTACAACCAGCCCGGCACCACATACACGCTCGTCGGCCTGCCGCAAGACGACCCCGCCGCCGGTGAGGCCTCTCACTGCGGTCTTTGACCTTAACTAGGAATGGTGGCCAGGGGGCACACACGCACCCCTTGTCCTTGGGGCGCCACAGTGGCGAGATGTTAGCTACCTCGCCTGGTATACAGAATGTCGTGAATTCGATCTTGCCCTTGACGCCTGTATATTTGGAGTTTGCATGTTCTCCCAGTGGTTGCGTGGATCTTTTTTTCCGGATCCTCCAGTTTTCCCTCCACATTTAGAAACGTGCTTTTAGATTCTTTGGCTGCTATAAATTTTCACATGATGAGCCACTTCGTTGAGTTATCAATTGGCGGCCCGGTCACTTCTGAAAAACAATTAATATTGCTCGGTGGGCCTTACCTGGTAAAATAAAAATAGATTTTTTGTTTCGTTTGGTACTTTAGTTTGGTGCTGCAGTCTGACCATGCTGTGTCTCCCTCCCCTGCCACCAGTTGCGTGCACGTTCAGCTGCACCATGAAGTTCATGGTGAAAGACTGCGACCCCAACACTGGTGTGGCTGAAGAAGATGGTTACGATGACGAGTATGTGGTAAGTGGGTCCACCGCCCCCCCCCCCCCCGCTGGCAGCATTTCGCAATTGAATGCAATTTGCGCCGTTGAGAAATACAAGTACCACAAACTGCTGGTGCTGCCGTGCCGGTCGCAGCGCAGGTTTTGTTAACTTGCGCCGTCGGTCGTGACACAGCTGGAGGACGTGGAGGTGGTGTTGGGTGACCACATCCAGAAGGTGCTCAAGCCCAACTTCTCAGCGGCGTGGGACGAGGTGGGCGAAGAGTTCGAGAAGGAGGACACCTTTGCGCTCACCGCCACCAAGACCATCGAAGGTATGTGCTTGTCGTCATCATCATACATTTATCCCTTCTTTGAGATTGTTTTACTATATATCACTATGTTGCTTGGTGTGGGTTGGTGAAGGGAACAATTTTTTTTTTTATCCGAGTGCCTGATTGGTATGGGTGCTGCTATCCAGTATAGCTCCTTCGATTTTAAATGCCCTTAAGATTTTCTGGCACGCAAGGCCACGCTGCACTGAAAGAATATAGTATATCCACTCTGAATAAAGGCCTCCCTAGGTTGTCGCCATCTTATTACATTCCTACGATCTAACAGTCCGTCGAGCACCTGAACATGAGCTCATCTTAGAGCTCCATTTCCTCTTTGGACATCTCGTTGGGTTTTTTTCTATCATTTGGCTGCCGCTCTGTCCTTACACTCGACAACCAGCCATCATGCCTTTCAGAAACGTTTTCTGCCCAAGTCCCCACATACTTTTCCAAACGGTCAACATGATGTCTGTAAATTGCATTTGTTCTCTCATCCATGTGCTACCCTTTTCTGCCTTGCAATGTAATTCCAAGCAATCACCTTTCCGCATTTATTTCCATTTCCCTCATCACTGTGCTTGTTTCTGATCCATGTCGTAGCACTTCACCAGAGCACCACAAATCGCCAGGCAGGATTGCCCGTTCTCCCTTGAATAATTTAAGCTCCGTAAGATGAAAGGCAGTAACACCAATGTATCGTTCAGACATCTATTGAATCGCTGAGTCTATTGAATCGCTGAGTATTTTTGGAGATGGCTTTGAAGGGCCTGCCAAGCGGATGCGCATGTGCAAATCAAACAATCGAACGTGTGAGCCGTTTATTTAACCTGTTTTTCCCTTACAGCATGACAACTCAAAATGGTGCGAATACCTTAAAGTGGTGTCGTTTGGTAAAGGTTTACCAATCATTGCGGTCGACGTAGAAATATATTTGTGGTCGTATTACGTGCTGTTATCTTCTGTGTTGATTTTATCTTCTGATCACAACCTTCTTTGCCACTATTCTGGTCCTTACTCTGCCCACAACCCACACTCAATCATGAACATACAATTACTTTTTTATTGATAAAATGCTTAGGTTTATTAAAATAAAATAAAATAAACTTTACCACAGCAATAAATGGCCATTTAAATGTTATCAGTCATTGATAGGGTAAACATGGTGTATGTATATTGAACTTCTTTTGCACTGTACGTTGTCAACCGGGCTAATCGGATGTGCGGGGAAGGACAACAAACTGAACACAAGAAGCAGTTGTGATGGGCACACAACACGTGTTTTTGAGGCCTTGCCATTCTTCACATGGTAGCTCTTCTCTGTAGCTGAGAGGCTGACAATTTATTTTTATATTTGTGACGGTAGCTTTACATGTGGGTGTTGTACTGTGTGTATGTGTCTAGCAAATCTTTCAAGGTGTAAGCGCTGTGCTGGATCACACTGTGAAATACTACTTCTGCTTCCACAGTTTGTACACTGTATATTCACTTACAGAGGCATTCTGGCACTTGACAACCACTTAACTCCAACCATCAAAAACTTATTTAATTACTATTTTCATTTAAATTGGCTGTTTACGTAACCTCCATAAGAGGCATGTAAATGTCTGTATTTATCATTCTACGTAACATAACCAATTGTTTAATGTTCTACGTTGAGCTTTAATCTTTTTTGAAACAAAACATTATTGTCAACTGGTAGCTAGAACAGAGGTCTTTATTGTTTAATTACTATCTCTTCCACATGTATTGTCCCGAGGCAGTGTATCCGAAATGGAATGCTTGGGCCAGTGCTTGACAGGATACTCCAATGCGGAGCTGTAGTGGGTCCCTGTGGGCCAAGCATTTAAAAGACATGACTTGGCCAGTGCACGATGGTAATGAGGATGATGGTGATCAGTGGCGTAGCTATTTATTGTACTGACGGAGCGACTGCCCCTAGGCCTGGGAGCCAGGCAAACAGAGAAGTGGGAATGCATGCAAACATTGCCCATGCCAACCGCTGCTGCTGATGATGATGACGACGGTGATGATATTGTACACGTGATATGACATCACTGCAGCGCTTTGGCAGTGAGTGGCACGGCCGGGCTAGCGGGAGTGGGCGGTCGTGTCGGTAGCTCGATCCGTTATACTGGCCGCGTGTCGCGTTTACAGAGACCGTGAAGAACATTGTGAGCTTCCTGGGCATGCAGCCTTGTGAGCGTTCCGAGAAGGTGCCGGAGAACAAAAGCTCACACACGCTCTACTTGGCAGGTGCGTTCTGGACTGTTCCCAGGATTTGTGTTGTTGGGGTTTTTGTTTTTCTCTGACCCCCCCCGAAGTACATTTTCTCTCGGCGTTATGTCACGGTAAACATTTACAGCATGGGAGAGACAGGCCGGCAGCTTTGCTTAGCATTGGCCGCACTAAACGCCCTCATTTTACGTGCTGTGCTGCCCCTCGTAAAGAGACTGTCAACGCTTGCCCCAGACGGTAAAAAGGTACCGCATTTCTGGGAGGCCTAATGAGGAGGCCTGCTGAGGAGGCCGGTTCTCCCAGTGTCGGCTCCACCCACTTAAGTAGTCATGCCCCTGCAACCGCTCGCTCCACTCACACAGTGAGGGGCCTAGCCTTTTTCTCACCGTTACCCCCACCTGCTGCCCGAATACTCCACACGCACTGCCAAGGTGTAACCCTGCCTTTTTGAGTCGAGCTTGAGTGCAGAACATTTTAAACTGGTTGCAAACATCCTAATTTACTCAAATGCTTCAGGACACCTGGTAAAACGCTGTGACTGTTTCAGCCAATCCAGGACATTGGTAGCTTTCAAAGGGATAATGGGTTGATTTTTATACTTGCTTATACCTTGAATATTCCTCCTTCCACCCCCCACTGCATTGCTGTACATAGACATTCTGATCAGTTATACTCTGCAGTCAATGAACGTTAAAACAGGAATTGGGGGGGGATGTTTTGTCGTCTTGATACCGCAGGTGTGTACCGCGGCGGACACGACGTGCTGGTGCGAGCTCGGCTGGCCTTGGCGGACGGCGTTACCATGCAGGTGACCGTGCGCAGCCAGGATGCGGTGGTCAGCGACGTCATCATCTCATCCGTGGGTTAGGGGTGGTCACTCAAACCTGCCTAGCGCCCCCCACCTCCTCCCACACCCATCTGCAACCACACTCCTCTCCCCCAGCTCCCAACCTATTGCATCATCAGACGAAGAACACCAACAAGATTCAAGCCGTGAGACCATAGGGTAGTGTTTGCAATTTGTCAGAGGGACGTTCTGTTGAAGCCTCCAAATTTTCTTAGCCCATACTTCCAAAGCAATGCCACATCGTGTCATCATGTACATTACTTTTCTGAAATTGTTTATAAAAGAGAAATTAAATACCTGTGTCAGCGATCTGTACCCCAGCCTCCTTTTATCCACTCTTAAGAATGCTGACAGCTTGTGTGGAGCAGAAGTTTTGCTATCATGAGCTACTGTGGAAACTAGGCGTGGGCTACGGTGTAGTGTGGTATTGATGGAGTTCGTTGTTGATGTTCAGACAGGCCCATGCAGTCCATATCCGATTCACAAGGTAAGCTAGCACGGCCTGGCATTCGTATTTAGTCTAAATTGTTGAGGCCGTTGGCTTTTAATAAGGGATGATGTGTATCACTTGAAGAGTTTTGTGACTGTTCCCCGCAGCAGCCTATTTTCATTTTATTTCTTGCTTTTGGTCAAGCTTTATCCTTGCAGTTGTCACGAACATGATACGTCATTGCCGCATGAGGAACACCAGAACTGAGTTCCAAGGTTTGCTGGGGTCACGATAACCTCGTTTTCCACATTCGCCGGAGTATTTACCACATCCACCGTTGTCGTTCTTCTATTTCCACAAACTGGATTATTGCCTTAAATATTTCACACTTAAACAGAAATAAAGTCGACATGAAAAGAGTACCGTTTGTTGCATAGCGTGAACAAAGACTTTCATTGACTTGATGGGAAAGTACCTTGCTGCTCGTTGGCCTGACCCAGTTGTCAAGGGCAACTTGTCAGCATAAAAAGGACACGTGTTCTATAATCAAGCCCTGTATGGTGCCCAGTGATGTCACCAAACCACGGAGCGCTTTTGCAGTGAGTGCCGAGCAAAAATTGAGCCATCGCTTTAACAGCATTGTGCAATTGGCTTCAACAGCATTGTGCAATTGGCTTCAAAGGGGCACTTTAATTTCCGCAACCCAGTCAGAATCTCACAAGCAGTTGAGCCCTCTCGTACACAGGTTCGTCTAAGAGGAGATACATCTCTGCACCCCCACACAGCATGGGACGGTCCAAATATAAACGCTTCCTGAGTGTGTGACTTCAACTGTCGATGCTCATACGCTGTTTTCTTTGGAGTGTTCCATTATCGCAGAGGGGTATGATGGCGATTAGTGACGAGGGCAGGTGATGCATCGTGTCATATATATTTTTTAAACGGTGTAAATGAAAGCCTGCTGTTTCGTAGAAAGCTGCAATTCCGAGTGCCACGCATGTTGGCCCGAGAAGATCTTAAAATGTTAAGTGTTGGGAAGAGTATAGCGTGTTCTTTATTGTAAAACTATCATTCCTTATAATCTTAAGCTCTTAGAAATCCGGTGTCGGGGCTGGCGTTTGATTACAGGAACAGTGAAGTCCAATTCATCCGCTAAGGTGGGGGTTCGTGTGATTGCATCGCCCCATAAATAAACGTAACATCCTCAGCACGCGGTCTGTAAATACTTAGCAAGTGTCCAGATTTTTATTGCATAGATTTTCTTTTTTTTCTCTGATTACTTATACAAAAAGTGATAATCAGGATTATTGGTGTCTTTTCATAATTTTCTCTTGAGTGTGCAAGGTTTGTTTTTTTTGGAAAAAGCAAAAAAAAACATGCACATTCTGTAAGATCCATTGATACTGTAATGACATATATGACTTTGAAATAAAGTAAAATAAATACTAAAAGTGTCTGGGTTCATGGCCGATTTTTATTGATTACACATATTGTACATATTGTTATACGTTCAGTCTTATCTATTGCAACTGTAACAGTGTTGTGTGCTATTGGGGTTTTATTACATAATTTGGCCTGTGCTTGGCAACTGCTTTTTAAAAAAATACAAGGATTAAAAAGTCTTAAATATGTTTCTACGTACAACCTTATGGATACAATATAATTTACGATAATCGATACAATATAATCGACGATAAAATAATGTCTGTTTGCTGTTAAGTGACATCACAATATTTGAGCTTGTGATTGTTTTGATGATATCCATCGTTTACAAATTGCTCTAACAATTGTGATTGATGAGTTCGCGTTGCGAGGATGAGACCGTGGCTGCGACACAGACCCTGTATATGTCACCTGTAGGGAATAAGAAAATATTAACTCGTCTGGTCTCTGACATTGTAATCCAGAGTGACTTCATGAAACTGATAGCTGTCCGATGCGTGTTCAGATTCTCCCTCCACGTGCAAGGGAGCTTCTTCAGGAATTGAAGCTTCCCAGTTCCTGAACCCGAATATCAGTTCTGAAAATAAGTTCTAGATTTGAAGCTTTCGTGACTGCAATGATTCATATTCTTAGGTTTTTTAGGTAAAGTCACGTAGGTAAAAAATGTAAATTAATAAAAGTAAAATAAAACAATAAAAAATCACAACGTTTTGGAAGCAACACAAGCCTCCGTTTTGGAAGCAACACAAGCCTCCGTCTTCAGGTGGAACCGTCACAGCCACGACAGCTGTATCATTTTTTACCTACGTGACTTTACCGAAAAAACCTAAGAATATGAAAATAAGTTGCCAGCACTTGGAGTGACATGGCATGCCCTAGCAACACAAGGGCACCGTGTGGCTTTACAGATTTACGATGTCCTTTGTTAGGTCGTGCCACGTGTTCGACATTTTTTGACCTTTCGCTCTCAGTTCGTGAACCGAATTTAGTAGTATTCGCGAAAACGCAGGAGCGCTAACTATATGGCACAACCGCAAGACACCTGGGCAGTAAAACTACTTCAAAGACGACAATAGCCCTCCCTTTATGCCCTCCGTGATGGGATTCGTTTTTGTTGAAACTTGCTGACCCGCCCATACTGGAAATCTGTGAAAAGAAGATTCATAGATCATCAGATTCCTCCTCTCGTCTAGGTTTAAATAATGATTCTGATTTCAACTTGCTTGGCAAATATATCACTTGATTCATTGACAGCTGACATTACCGTCCTTTGATGAGTAGAATGCTTGCATTGGTGGCTGGAGCAGAGCTTTGAGCCCAGTTATCTGCTGCCAATTTGTTTTTCAGGCCAATAAATAACCACACATGAAAATGATTCCCTCAACAATGTGTTATGCAGTGGCACATTCTAAAGTTCTCCGTTTTTAATGGAAGTATGCAGTAGAAGGATGTTCTTTATTTCGTTATGTTACACAATGACTATTGAGTATTACATATTCAAGTACTATATACAGATTGGGGTCAGACTAGGTCCAATTTCTTACAAAATAAATATTCGTGTAGCGTTTTTTTTTTTTAAATCACCGCACTTTCTAAAATCGTGCTTTATTTATGCCTGGGTTTGCGAGAGTCAAGCGGCAGTGGATTGAACATGGCTTGCAAAATCGTTTGGTAGCTTGAGGAGGGACTTCAGGAAGAGCGGATGGAGGAATCCGATGCGCTATACAGATTTTTTCCCACAGATATCCATCACCACCATCAACCCCTAGCTGCGTGTTTGTTTTTATATATGCAAACCATTGCGTCTCCTGGCCGGTATGTCCGTGCTCAGCAGCTATTATTAGCACTCGCAGAGGTACAAACTGGCCCCGCAGGGGATTTCCCACGACGTCATCACGTACAGACCCATCGATTGAAATCGATTACTGTATTCCGTAGGTAAAAATAAATAATAAAAATAATAGAAATACAATAATTGTATTATAAAATAATAGAAATAAATAATTTTATTTCTATTATAATTTTTTAGTATTTATTTTTACCTACGTGACTTTACCGAAAAAAGCCTAAGAGCATGAATCCTTGCATTCACGAAAGCTTCAAATCTAGAATTACTATATTCCGATGTGAGCATCGATTGACTGCGGGGTACCTCAAGACGAATCCCACACAGCACCCCCCCTTCCTGCTGTCAACCTCTCCAGGTCTGCCTCGTCAACCTCCAGCGATGGAGGCAGAATAGCAAGCCCCGTCATGTGCCTCTGGGCTGGAGCACCCCCCACGCAAAACCACATCCCTCGAAGTCTGCCCAATCCACAAACTCAGTGGAGGGGGCCTCCCCACCCTCAACACAGCAGGATCGGAAGCAACCGCTCGGCTTAGGGACTTTGCACTCAATAAAGACTGCTCTGAATTGGAAACGTTGTCGTGGGTTTACTCTCCGGCACACTCGGGTGTGCTGAACGAGTAATTGAATTGGCATGTTTTTGTTACTAATTGGCTGTGTCGGGTGGTGGCGGGTTTAACGACACATATCTACGCGATCTAAGGGGTCGTCCATAAATGACGTCACGCACCTAGGGGGGGGGGAGGGTCAGACATTTGTGACGATGTGTGACGAGGGGGGGGGGGGTGAGAAATGTGACGTCACATCAAAATGCGCAATTTTAAATAAATATAGACAACACGTTCTACTTAATTAAATAGATTAAATAGACGTTTTTAATACATGTTTTCTCCTACAACATCAGAGTGCAGCGCCACATTAAATACACACCTGAAGACGGCTGCTTGCGTTGTAGCCGAAACGTCGTGAGAATAATTTTATTATGTTTTTATTTTTTTTTAATTATTTTATTACTTCCCTTCTACGTGACTTTACCGAAAGAACCAAGAAAATGACAATAGTTTAAAGCGATTTGAAGCATTTTGGGGGGGGGGGGGGGGGGCAGAGCTTTGTGACGTTATATTCGAGGGGGGGTCTGACTTTTTGTGACGCCGTGTGACGAAGGGGTGGGGGGAGGTCAAAAATCGTCCAAAATCGCGTGACGTCATTTATGGACGGCCCCTTAGCCCGCAATGGATTGACAGCCGCTATGCGACACAGACGCAGCAAATTCAGGCGGAGCACGCAGGCGAGACGCGGATAAACATCAGCGACAAACAACACGAACGAGGAGGCAGACGATACAGACGAGCTGGCACACGCACTTTACAAGCGAAACAAAGAACTGCCCTTGATTCTAACCTTGAATGGTCGTGAGACGGAGTCGTTACCCCCCCACCCACCACCCCACCACTGCGAATGCGGTCAGCGCTTCGCTGCGCTACGAACCCGGCGACCCGAGTTCGATCCCCTCCCCTCCCCGCGCGCTCACGGCCACCAACACCGATAACGATCATTTCCGAACCGGTTCCGGGCGTCGCCTAGGTCGACTCAGCCTCAAACGTACACTTGGTGTGATGCGTAAATATCGCCACTGGGGAGACAAAGGCGGCCGGGCGTGGTTGGTGGTGGTGTTGTTGGTGGTGGTGTCAGCCACCCCACTCTCTTAGTGTGCCCGTGCCGGTCTTCGCAAACAGCGCTTGCGCCGACAGTCAGCGGAGGCTATACGGGCGATCTTTGTCTTTGCCCCCCCCCCCCCCGTATAAGGAAGTCACTTCCCATTCAAATGAAGTGGGCTTGGCGGAGAGTTCGTAACTCTGCTGCCAGCTCTGCGCAACAACTCTCGACGCGCGCCGGGAACGAGGAGTCGAACTCGGTACCTCTGGGCATCGACCGGGCCCCCCCCCAATCGAAACCCCCTCCACCGCCCCCCACGTGTTCGTCTCTCGCTGGGCATCACCAATACCCGCAAGGTACCGTGTTGGTGTACGGTGATTCTTCTGCAATATTTTGCGGTCTTTTCCTTGGATTTTCTGTTTGCACATAGTCACTTTAAGATATTTTCTTGTTTTTTGTTTGTTGCGGTTGCACCCGATTCAAGAGCCGAATGGCTCACAGGGCTATACCTAATAAATGAACTTGAACTTGAAGGTACGACTCTTCCGACCCGCGGTCATTGTGGAAGTGCGCGTGGCACATTGACATTGGTTCGAGGGGTTGGTTCCCGTTGTGTTCCGATATTGGTGTTGCGAGAGGAATTTCAGGTAGATGGGGTAGGGGGGGGGGGCAACCCCTCCAGCAATGAAACATCATAGGAGTTGTTATTCGACGCGTTTGCGACGATGGCGAGGGTCGGATTCGAATCGCGTTGTGTGATCAGGGAAGTCGTGGACTGTGTACGCAAATGCGCACAATTCTGAGTCACTCATCACAACTCTTAGGTTTTTTCGGTAAAGTCACGTAGGTAAAAAATGAAATTAATAGAAACGAAATAAAATAAAAATCAATAAAATAATAAATCCCAAAACGTCGTCTCGTTCTTTTTTTTATTTTCGTCCCCTGTGTTACTCGAGGAATGTGTTGGGAGTGGTTATTTTTTGTGATATATTATTTTATTTTGTTTCTATTAATTTTATTTTTTACCTACGTGACTTTACCAAAAAAACCTAAGAGTATGAATCCTTTCAGTCACGAAAGCTTCAAATCTAGAATCACTTATCACTGCTTTGCCAGTACTTATTGCCAATTATGGACTCCGATTATTGTCCTATCATCTCATAGAGTCCCTGACACGTAGTAATATACTACACAGTGGCAGTGGGGGTCGCAAAATGCCGATTTATTACGAATAAACCCCAATGATCCGATCGAATTTAGGGATTTTGATCGGATCATTGGGGGAGCGGGGGAGGGGGCACGTGCCACCCCACCCCCCAGTGAGACCATGCGTCCGTAACTTGCACCTGACTACAGCCTTTCATGTTCATTTCCTGGTGAACACTGGAGACAAAAAAAATAACCACTCCCAACACATTCCTCGTGTAGCACAGGGGACGGAAATAAAAAAGAACGAGACGACGTTTTGGTTCAAAGGCCCTTCTTCACAGTGCCGTGAGCAAGCGTCGTCGCCCGAAACGTCGCCGATTGCTTACTCGCTTAACTCCAACACGTTAGTCATTCAGACCGTGGCCTTAAAAAAGGGCATACGGTGTAATGGACTGTCTGTGCTGTGCTGTGAAAAAGGTGTAATTGCACGAAACGTGGCATATATTCTTAAAGGCCGCAGTGTTATTTGACAACTTGTTTCGTAAGTTTTTCGTGTTTGTTCACCACTGTCAAGTTGCCAGCAGCCAGTAATCTGCTTTGCCACTGATCGTCACTCTACAAAGACTGCACGCGTCTTTCTTTGATAAACAAACAACAGCAATAATGATTCTAATGGTCTCTGTGTGTGTGTGTTTTTTTTGTGTAAAAAAGATTTAACTACACACATTTTTACCATCTTATTTGACAGGTACTATTCTACTTTACCGAGTGTTGACATGCCCAGCGTTTAATAGTATTGCTTCCTTTCATGTTTATTATCAGCTAACACCGGCCACAACCCTGAGTCGATGTGCACCATTGTTCTCTTTTAGCCCCGCTCCCCCCGCAACACGTTCCATTCATTGGCTACCACATTCAGATAAACCCCTCCCCCCCTCCCCCTTAACTTGTATTTAAGAGCTGGTCTCTTGGATTTTTGCCTCACTTGATACAGTAAATCTAGCTGTGACGGTTCCACCTGAAGACGGAAGCTTGTGTTGCCTCCGAAACGTCGTGATTTATTATTTTATTTCTATTATTATTGCTATTATTTTAATTTATTCCAAGAAAACAGCGTGCTTCAGCCGCACCGAACCTCACAAAAATAATATTCAGAGCCTACCTTGGCTCCTCCCACCCTCAACCAGTATATATACAAGGACTGTGTTCTTGGAATTTCTCTCACTTGATACAGCTATCGTGCTGTGACGGTTCCACCTGAAGACGGAAGCTTGTGTTGCCTCCGAAACGTCGTGATTTTTATTTTATTTTTAGTAATTTTTATTTTTTACCTACGTGACTTTACCGAAAAAACCTAAGAACATGAATCCTTGCAGTCACGAAAGCTTCAAATCTAGAATTATATTGACATTGGTGGGAGACTTGTGGAGGCTTTGAAATCTCATGTTGTGCTCTTTATGAGTTATCCCAATTATCTTTGCGGGATATCTCTAAAACTGCATGGATTTCCCCGTGTATATAAACATTTAACACGGTAACAATTCCAACAGCAATCAGAAACCTCATACACGTGAAGCAGCAAAACAACAGATCACTTCTGCTGCTCAACGCTACGCACTCCTCCCCCAACCACCCAAAACCAAACACACAACCAATGGGGGTTGGACAGATCTTTCTCATTTGCAGCACCACACCTCTGGAACACCCTCCCAGAGGCAATCCGCACACTCGACTCCATCACTGCGTTCACAGTCGCACCTCAACAAGACAGCTCTGTACGCTTGTGATTATTTGAGCATTTTCCACGTAACACTTTGTGGAAGCTGCCTGGTCTATCACTCCACATGTAGCCCCAGGTTTCTTAGACCACCCTTATGCCTTTCATTCTCCTGCGCTTCAGAAATGTAGACCCATTTATAGAAACACCTACATCGCTGGCATGAAAATTTTCAGATGAACTGCCTACGATCCATTCTGGCTTTAACCAGGCTGCATCGTGTGAGGATCTCACAGTCCTGCAAATAGTTGAGAATAGTCCCATCAGAAAGCTCCTCTGGCAGGTGAGGTCGCATTGGCTGGGTCACGTAGCCTGCATACTCAGGCACCGCTTGCTTCAAGCTTCTTCTGTTTGGTTCACATGGTTGGGCTAGAGCAGAGATAGACTGATATGACGCAATAGCTGACGATGTGTCGACTTGCTGATGACTGGTACCAGTGTTATCAAGATTGGCCTCGCTGGAGGAGGCTCATGAAGGGCGCTACTGGGCCACGTTAAGCAGAACATCTCTATTCTGTACGTATTGTGCTTGCAGTTGTGTCCACCAAGCCATCGTCTCGGCACCACTTGGACTCCGGCAAGATGAACGCCAGATTCGACGATCGTTTCTCCACCGTACAGACAATCGGCGTGGAGTTCGTGCTGCCTTTCAAGGTGAGCGGGCAGCAGAGCATCACCAGGAACGTGCAGGGCACGCTGAGCGTCGACCAGGTCTGGGACTCGTTCTGGTCCGACGTCACGAAGTGCGCCATGGACGGCGAGTGCTACGTGATCATCACCGCCCCGCCGGACTCGTACGCCTTGTACTACGAGGCGGAGGGGCGCGCGTACGAGATCTACGACCGGCAGCAGATCTTCCAGACGCTCGACTGCGTGCGCCGCTGGGCCACGCGCGGCATCTCGCCCGGCCGGATCCTCGTCCGCGAGCGGCCCAAGCCCACGCCGCGCGGCCAGAGGTTCCAGGAGGAGCTGGACTACCTGATCGGCGTCAAGGTGGAGGCGCTGTGCCTCGCCGGCGACGACGAGCTCGAGTTCACGCGCCGGAAGCTGGCGGCGGTGCGCGCCGCCGAGCTGGAGCTGCGCGACCCCTTCGCGTACGCGCTCGAGCCGTGGGTCGCCTCGCAGCCGCTGCCCGCCTACCTGGAGGAGCGCGTCGCCAAGAAAGGCGGCCTCCTCGAAGTCACGCTGCACTTGGCCGCCCGCAAGCAGAGCATCCGAGTGTCGCCCAAGGACTCGCCCCGCGACATCGCCCTGAGGTTCTTCGGCGGCGGCTACGGCCCCAACGAGCTGGTGCGGCACAGCGAGCGCGAGCACGCCGAGTGCTTCGTGTTCAAGGTGTGCGGGCGCGACGAGTACATCCAGGGCCCGTACCCCATCGTCGACTTCGTCTGGGTCCGCCGCTGCGTCAAGAAGAACGAGGAGATCCACCTGGCGGTGTCGCAGCTGCCGGACGTGGCGGCCGAGGAGACGGAGGACGACTGGCCGCTGCTGGACGACTGCTGACGGGGCGACGGGCACCGCGGAGGAGCTGAGCCTGCGGAGGAGCGACGCGGGGCAGCTGTGCACGCTCTCGCTCTGGGACTGCAACCGATTCCTCCGGCTAAACATTCGGGGCATCGAGTTCCCGCCGGGCGTCGCTCCGTGCCCGCAGGGGGACGCCGAGGTGTACGTGCAGGCCGGCGTCTACCATGGCAAGGTGCAGCTGGCGTCCGTGATGACGTCCAAGCGGCCCCTGCAGGAGGAGATCGTCTGGGGCGACTGGCTCGAGTTTGGCATCCGCATGAAGGACCTGCCGCTGGGGGCGTGCCTCAACCTGTCGCTCTACAGCTTCCGCAGGTGGGCAGGGATGAGTGTGCCCTTCTCTCCGTCGCGTCGGCTCGGGCTCGTCGACGGCAGGCAGGCCGCGGAGTTTTGGTGTGCCGGCCTCTGTCTGCGGCGTTTGTTTTGCCCGTTCCGTTGAGATCTCCCGGCAACTAAAGCAGCCCAACGAGTCGTCCGCTCTTAGCTGTCAAATGTCGGTATTATCAGGTCAGCCAACCAGTTAACTCGGTAAATCTTCTCATATACTGCACATGTTAGCATGGTTGGCTACGTACGGTGCGAAAGCAGCTCTACATTAATACGCACGTATATTGAGCCAGTAACCATGTTTGCTGTTCCTCAGTGCACTGTTGCCTCAATCTGCGTTTGCATTCAGCATTCAGTCAGTCATGCTGTGATCGCCGTTGGTGAGCCGTATTCAAAAAGTCACCACTTGATGATTTCCGTCCACCGGCAAAAAGAAAAACTGACGAGATGCAATTTTCTTCCAACCCGCAGGTCGGGCGTACTGCCTTCGGGCAGCCGCAGCTTGAACGTCCGTCTGCTGCACTACGTGAACATGACGCTGATCGACCACCGCTCGCTGCTTCGCCAGGGCGAGTTCGTGCTGCACATGTGGCCCCTCCAGCAGGGTCAAAGGGCGCCCGACCCCAGCGCCCTGCCGTCAGGCGCTAACCCCGAGCAGGAGCGCGCGGCCGTCGTGAGCGTCCTCCTCGACACGTACGACTGCCCCGTGGCGCTGCCGCGCTCCCAGGCCGGCGTCTTCCACATGCCCGAGCGGGCCAAGCGGTTCTTCGCGGAGGGCAGCGTCCAGGACGAGTTCCTCAAGCACCTGGTGAACGTCGACCCGCTGAGCCCCATGGAGGCGTCGGAGCTGGCGCTGCTGTGGCAGATGCGGGACTCGCTGTCGCGCACGGCGCAGTCGCTGCCCCGGCTGCTCCGCGCCGTCGACTGGGGCAGCCTGGAGTGCGTGCGGGAGACGCACGGCTTCCTGCAGCGCTGGAACACAACGGACTTCGACCTGAGCATCGCCATGGAGTTGCTCGACGGCAACTTTGTGGACGGGTTCGTGCGCCGCATGGCGGTCGAACGGCTCGCCGCCTCCGGCAACGACGAGATCCTGCTCTTCTTGCTGCAGCTCGTGCAGGTGGGAGGGAGGGAGGGAGGGCGTGGGTTGGAATGTTGGACATTTAAATGTGAAGGCGTGTAAGGGTTAGCACACTGGACTTTTTGAATGTAAACTATTCACTTATTTTTGTTTGACCAGGTGAGGCCCACTGAACTATATAGCTCTCTTTTTCAGAGGCGACCTGGCCAACGAAGTTGGCTCATCACGTGGACATTTATAGCAGCCAAATTCCCCTTGAACGCACGTTTCTAAATGTGGAGGGTAAAACCGGAGGACCCGGAGAAAAATCCACACCACGATGGTGAGAACAAACTGACAGCTACTTCTCCACCCAGCAGAACATGCAAACTCGACATATTCAGGCGTCAGAGTTGCAATCGATGACCTCCTGCACACCACGGCACCCCGAATTGACATCGCTGCGCGGGATTTGAGATGACGGGGCAAGTTGATGAAATCCCGCCCAGCAGCATCCACTGCAGTTAGTCACTCGATCGGCAGATCCCGAGCGGTGGGGTAAAGTGTGGGTACTCCCAGCATCTTCCAAGACGTCTGCCCAGCGTGGACGAGTTGAGAGAGAGAGAAAACGAAACCCTCGGGAGGGGTTCTCAAAAGCTCTCTCGAGTGAACGCTCGGCAGTGGATAAAGTGCCAGGTCACTTTTATCCACCAGCACTGAGGTTCTCTCTCCTATTGGTGGGAATCCTTCCCCTGACACCCCTACACTCCCTTAGGGTACATGCTGTACATGTTTGCGTCCATGTTGTGTGTGTGTGTGTTTCCGTATCAAGTGTTAGTGTGTAGCTGTGCTGGTCAGGTCAGGTTTGACAACCGAGGTCTCATTCACAATCAATGCCCCGATACTCACTTTGAATCTCCATAAATCATCCCAATTACACAAACCCTAAAAAAACAAGTACTTCCACTGGCTACCCATTAAATAAGAATACACTTCAAAATAACCTGATTAACATTCAAAGCAATACACAACCTTGCATCAGAAACATCATTCACGTGAAGCAAAACAACAGATCACTTCTGCTGAAATACAGCAGCCACCCACGCTTTCAAACCGTGGGTTTCTCGGGCGTAGCGAGTTGGTGATCTCGGAACGAGTCGCCAATGACTGCACTGTTCTTCTTGGTTCTTTCGGTAAAGTCACGTAGAAGGGAAGTAATAAAATAATAAAAATAAAACATAATAAAATAATTCTCACGACGTTTCGGCCACAACGCAAGTAGCCGTCCTCAGGTGAAAACCAGGTCTGTCGGGGAGACAGCGTCTGACCTGGTTTTCACCTGAGGACGGCTGCTTGCGTTGTGGCCGAAACGTCGTGAGAATTATTTTATTATGTTTTATTTTTATTATTTTATTACTTCCCTTCTACGTGACTTTACCGAAAGAACCAAGAAGATGAATCCCTGCAGTCACGAAAGCTTTAAATCGACTGCACTGTTACTAACATTTTTTTTTCCCTTCATAAGAAGCGGACACCACAGAGCTATCTTTGACGGCGGTTCCAAGTGACCTTTGAACCTAAAAGTAGAACGGCAGCAACTTCCCACCCACTCTGCATGTTCATCGCGTGGCAGGCAAACCAATATATTTTCATTCTCAGCAGATGGAGGTAGGCGGTATCAAGTGCAGAACGAAATTTAGATATGGCAGCATTTTGATGCATTATCATCCCAGATAGTATTCGTAATATTTCAGCTGCGTATGGCCAGGGATAGTGGTGCCAAAATGCACGGAACTTAATCAAGCGGTAGGTCCAGATTGGCCGGTGTTGCCTGGGATTAAACTGGCTTCTCAAGTGCAATGAATTGATGGTCGCAGGTCACCAATAAACTGGTGAAATAAATAAAAACCCCACGATATTTAATTTTTATTATCACTTCACTCGCCGTATCATAGCAATGGGACTCCCTGCCCAGCTTATTATGCCTGCTCCCCCTCTGTGTTTCCGCTTTAAAGTCTCCCCTCAAACCTTTCCTTTTAAACCGTGATTTTAGAATCGCTAAATATCTCTCGTTCCCTTTGCTCGCTACCTCCTGTGTACCTCTGCACACATTTAAGTTGTTGCTGTTGTTTAAGTTTATTTTGATCAATTACGCAGATGATACCGTTTAGCCGGTTGTCGCACGATCACAGCAGCAGCAACAACAACAACAACAAAGCCAAAAACATCGATTCTATTGTGGAGTTTGCAGTACAGACAGGGTCCTTAATGAATATTGCTCAACTACGATGAGGATGCATTCACTGCGAATGCTCAGTTAGGATCTAGTAGGTGCCGACCACGAGACCGATCGAATTGTGGACCTCAGAAGGAGTTCCACGACGTGGTCTTCCACGGAGAAAGCGACAATCATAATCTGTATTTGCCCTGAAGCTGTTCATCACGCAGTGTCTTTTGGTGCGTGTCACTGCTGCCGAGTCGTTACTTTTGTGTCGTGCGCTCCCTTACACGCCTATTCTGCTTGGTTCTTTGTCCCCCCCAGGCACTCAAGTTTGAGCCGTACCACGACAGCCCACTCGCCCGCTTCCTCATACAGAGGGCGCTGAGGGTAGGTGCGGCACGGCACGCCTTTTTGCATGGCGCTGTGTGTTTGTGAGTGTTTGTGAATGTGTGTGTGCGTGAGCATGCTTGGGGAGCGGTAGTTCAAAGTTCAAAGTGTATTTATTAGGTATAGCCCTGTGAGCCATTCGGCTCTTGAATCGGGTGCAACCGCAACAAACAAAAAACATGAACAAGAAAACATCTTAAAGTGACTATGTGCGAACAGAAAATCCAAGAAAAGACAGCAAAATATTGCAGAAAAATCACCGTACACCAACCCTGGGCAAATATCCCAGTGGGATGCAAGTCAAACAACAACAACCACAAGACAACTTAGATTAAGGCCATCAGTCTAACTCTGTACTACAACAAACAAACATGGCCAAACCAAAAAACTTTTCGAAAATCACCAGAATAAAGCCATAAAAGCAATGAAACAGTGATCATAGGAACTGTCACCGAATTTTCACTATAAACGACGTAAACAACATGTACTACCAAACTCTGCAGCCATAGCTGGCTGCATGAGTCACTCCACAACAGCAGGAGCATCAGTCGGAGTATCAACATTTTTCAATGCACCTTTAAGATCAGCACACTAAATCAAAACACAGAAGATACTTTGCATACTTTGCGTACTTTGCAGCGATCATCCGGAGCGAAACATTGTATTTTAGGCCAATACATTGCAGTGGCAGCTAGGGGTGTACAACTCCTCTAGAGCAATTTTGAGTGAAGATCTCATAGGTAGTGATTCAAGTTGCAGTTTATTGGCAATAGCATTCCAGACCCTGGGGGCATCAATAGCAAAGGCCCTTCCTCCAGTATTTGTACGGCAATAGGGAATGTGAAGCTGGTAAATGAGCGAAGACCTTAGGTCAAATTTGTTCTTTGAAACAGAGAGGAGATCCAGCAGGTAATCTGCGGATTTTTTTGTAAGTACATCATTAATAAATAAGATCTGATGCACAAGCCGTCGAACATTGAGAGATGCTAAGTTTGACCCAATGTAGATATCTCAGTGGTGAGTCCTATATGGGCAGTTCAACGCAAATCTTAAGGCCGAGTGATACATTGAGTCAAGCTTCTTCAGTACAGTACTTGGGGCTGATTTATACACGATGTCACAGTAATCAAGTAGAGGCATTATGGTAGCTTTTATCAATTCCAAACGGAACATAGGGGGGAAGCAGTACTTGTGTCGATACAGAAAACCAATTTTTATTTTTGTCTTTTTACCAATATAATCAATGTGATATTCAAATTTCAGTTTTGAATCAAGAATGACCCCAATATACTTATAGATCTTGACTTGCTCTATTTGATAATTATTTAAGGAATGTATTTGGGGAAAAATAACTTCCTGCTTTAGTCCCGCCTTTGTCCAGTTCAATTGCCGTTCACGGCCAATGCCGGTGAAGATTATCTGAACCGGTCCCGGGCCTCCCCTAGGTCGACTCAGCCTCAAATTATTACCTGATGCGGTGTGTAAAGATCGTCACTGGGGGGACAAAGGCGGCCGGGCGTGGTGCTGGCCACCTACCTCCTCGTGTGCCGTGCCAGCCTTCATAGGTGCTCGTTAACAGCACTTGCCCCGACAGTCTGTTCAGGCTATACGGGGGATCTTTGTGTGTGTGCGGGCACCTGGGTCTGCCCCATGACCTCCTGTTCAGCGAGCCTTAGACTCTTCACATGGCCTCATCGTGCACCTAGCCCGACACAAGCGCCATGGTGACATCATCGCCACTTGGTGGCCAACGGCAGCTATTTTTATTTGTAGATCCTTCAGAAAGGTCTGGACACAGTCCCAGCAGCGAGCTCCTCCGGCAGGCGAGGCTACATTGGCTAGGTCATTGAAGTCCCCATGCCCAGCCACCACATGCCCAAGCAGCTTGTATTTCGGCTAAACTGGCGCAGCACGAGCTAGAGAAAATAAGGAGTGAATGCGGTATGGGAGGATTTGGAGCTGAGTGGACTTGTCAAAGACTGAAACCGGCATTGTCTAAATCGGAGGAGGCTCGTGAAGGATGCCGCTGGGCAATCAGAGGCAGTCGGCCTTTAATCAACTACAGGGTCGGAGGGGCGACGCTCACAAACATGAGCAGAGTCTCAAAACACGACGATCTAAATCGGCAAGAACACAACTACACAAAGTCACGTTGTCCGCACGTTGATTTTTTGGTTTTCCTATTTTATAACCTGCGCCAACCCGCAGATAAGCGAAGCAAAATGGAATTGTCGGCTAAATTTTTTAACCACCACACCCTCCCTCCCTCCTTGGACGCAACTCCGTGTCCGCTGAACACGCACCACCTCCGATTACCCCGGTTGGCTAGGTACGGCGCAAAGGAAGTTCAACGTACATGCGCGCGTCTAAACCAAAGCCCTCTCATTGTCACCGACCGCCAGAGGTCGCAACCGGATACCCGATACCCATACCCTACCCGATACCTGGCTACCCGGCCGGGTACGGGTACGGGTACCCGTTTGCGACCCTGGTGCGGCCGGGTACGGGTACGGGTAGACCGTGAGTCACTGGTGAGTCACCGTTTGTCACTCATTTCCCAACGTCTTGTCTCTTCTCACAATTCAAGTTCCTAGAATCAACCCACCCGCGCCTGCAACATGGCTTCATCCCAGAGGTCGCAATCAGGTACCAGATACCCGTACCCGGGTACGGGGGTAGGGTACAGGTACGGCCGGGTACGTGTACCCGTTTGCGACCCTGGTGCGGCCGGGTACAGGTACGGGTAAGGAATCAAAACCCGTTTGCGACCTCTGCCCCCCCCCCCCTCTGCTCCCCTCCGTCTCGTCCGCCGCTAGAGCAAGCGCCTGGGCCACTTCTTCTTCTGGTTCTTGCGCAGCGAGATCGCGGTGTGCGCCCACTCGCGGGCGCGCTTCGCCGTGCTGCTCGAGGCTTACCTGCGGGGCTGCGGGAGGGCCACGCTGCACAACTTCGCGCAGCAGGTGAAGCTCATCGACAGCCTCCGCATCGTCGGCGACAAGATGCAGCTGGTGCTCGGCACCTTGTACAACGTTCCGCCCAACGGTGCGTCGATAGCGCCCTCGCCGGGACCACCCCCCACCTACCTCCCCAGAGGTCGCAATCGGGTACCCGATACCCGTAGCCTACCCGATACCTGGCTACCCGTACCCGGCCGGGTACGGGTAGGCCGTGAGTCACCGTTTGTCACTCATTTCCCAACGTCTATGTCTCTTCTCACAATTCAAGTGCCTAGAATCAACCCACCCGCGCCTGCAACATGGCTTCATCCCAGAGGTCGCAATCAGGTACCCGTACCCTACACGATACCCGGCCGGGTACGGGTAGCCGGGTATCGGGTAGGGTACGGGTACCCGTTTGCGACCCTGGTACGGCCGGGTACGGGTAAGGAATCAAAACCCGTTTGCGACCTCTGCCACTCCCTCCCCCCCCCGTGTGTGTGTGGAGCGGTGGTGCAGCGGTTAGCGCTACGCTGCGCTATGAACCCGGCGACCCGGGTTCGATTTCCGCTCACGGCCAACACCGGTGACGATTATCTGAACCGGTCCTGGGCCTCCCCTAGGTCGACTCAGCCTTAAATGAGTACCTGGTGCGGTGCGTAAACATCGGCACTGGGGGGACAAAAAAGGCGGCCAGGCGTGGTGCTGGCCACCCACCCCCTCGTGTGCCGTTTCAGCCTTCATAGGTGCTCGCTAACAGCACTTGCCCCTACAGTCTGTGTGGGGTGCCACGTGGTGAGATATTAACTGCCTCACCCAGTATACAGGAGGTCGTGGGTTCGATCTCGACCCTGACCCCTGTACATTTGGAGTTTGCGTGTTCTTCCCGTGGTTGCATTGATTTTTCGCCAGTTCCTCCGGTTTTTCCCTCCAGATTTAGAATAAACATGTGTTTAGAGTTTTTGGCTGCGATCAATTTCCACAAAAGCGACTTCGCTGAGCTATCATTTGTGATATCCAGTTCGCTTCTGCAAAAGAGCTACATGGCTCAGTGGGCCTTAACTGGTAAAATAAAATGTTTAGTTTAGTGCCTTTGTACGTACACACGTGCGCTTATACATGTGTGTGTGTGCGCTTGTGTATACTGTTGGCCCTGAGTGGGAATTGGAACTTGGGTCGCCGGGTTTGGAGAGCGGTGGCGCGGAAGTTAGCGCCGCACTGCACTGCGCTACGAACCTGGCAGAGACCCGAAATTGATTCCTACTAACAGCCAACACCACCTAGGTCAGCTCAGCCTCAAATGGCTACCTGGTATGATGGCCACCCTCCCACCTCGTGTGCTGTGCCGGCCTTCATAGGTGCTGCTACTCGCTTGCGGTGCACCAACAGCCTGTTGACTGTACGGGGGGGGGGGGTCTTTGTACATTTTACAATGTACAAGCGCACAGGGGTCTAGCCCACGCATGTGCATGCGTGCGTGCGATTATTTGCGCTCGAGAGTGTGTGCGAGGCTTCTATTCACCGGTGCGTGCTTCCTCGTGCTTGCTTGCGTGCGTTGCGCATCCGTGTGCGTCGTGCATGTGCGCTTTGCACTTTGCACGTCCATTCGTGTGCGAACACGTGCAAGGACACGGGCATGCAACTTGCTCCGACTGAACATCTGTGGAAGGTCGTAGCTCATCGGATTTCTCCGGTCTAAATGTATTTATGTTGAACTTCTTTCGCACCGCACGTAGCCATCCGCGCTAATGAATCAAGATTCGGATTCTGCACGCGCGTGATAGTGCGCACGCGCGAACGTCTGCTCGTGCACGTGCTTGCTCGCTTGTGCGTGTTTACGCGTGTCGCTCTCCCACTCCCCAATCCCCCCCCCCCAACCACCGTCTCTCTGTAGCGGCCTCCGAGCTCCAGGACAATCTGGGAAGGGTCGTGATCCCCGGCGTCTTCCAGCTGCCGTACGACCCGTGCGTGCGCGCCGGCGCCATCGTCGTACGTGCCTCGCCCGCTCCACTCTGCTCCGCCACGCCACCAACGGACAATAGATACAAACTTCGGAGGCCGTTGAGTGGGTGGCACGGGGGGGGGGCAGATTTCACTGCGTTACTCCGCCGAAATAAACCATCACGTCACATCTTCTTGGTTCTTTTGGTAAAGTCACGTAGAAGGAAAATAATGAAATGATAAAAATAAAACATAATAAAATAATTCTCACGACGTTTCGGCCACCTGAGGACGGCTGCTTGCGTTGTGGCCGAACCGTCGTGAGAATTATTTTATTATCTTTATTTTTATTATTTTATTATTTTCCTTCTACGTCACTTTACCGAAAGAACCAAGAAGATGAATCCCTGCAGTCACGAAAGCTTTAAATCGAAATATCACGTCACATTTTTCGGTTTTCACCAGGATCGAACCCACGACCTCCTGCTGTGTGATTTAAAAATAGAGTAAAACATATATGCTCTTACCGTTCTTTCGGTAAAGTCACGTAGGTATAAAACAATTGTAGTTTATTTTCTACCTACGTGACTTTATCGAAAGAACCAAAGAGTATGGATTCCTGCAGTCACGGAATCTTCAAGTCTGGATTAAAACATTTATATTCAGTTTGCTTAGCATCCAGTAGTGCCTTGACATCATCTTCCAAAACCATTCTCTGAGACAACGCGGTGCACTGCTTGCTGCAAGAGTTGCGACGGGTCAAGCTCGGCCCCAAATGAGTACCTGGTGCGGTGCGTAAACATCGCCACTGGGGTTACAAAGGCGGTCGGGCGTGGTGCTGGCCACCCACCCCCTCGTGTGCCGTGCCGGCCTTCATTGACGCTTGCCCCAACTATACGGGGGGATCTTTGTATTTTTTTCGTGCGTGGCACGCTCTGCGTGACGTTGCTCCGTCTGGGCCTTTCAGATCGAGAAATGTAAGGTTCTGGCGAGCAAGAAGAAGCCGCTGTGGCTGGAATTTCACCGGGCGGATTCCACGTCGCTGGACGACTCCAACGTGAAGTTGATCTTCAAGAACGGCGACGACCTGCGCCAGGACATGCTCATCCTGCAGGTTGGAGCCGTCGCCCGTCCCTCCGCACGTGTCACGCAACTCAAACCCGTCTCTCTCTCTCTCTGTAATCCCCCGCGCTAGCGGCAGGTCCTTGGCTCGAGCCCCGTTTCTTAATTCCACCATGGCGGAGGAAAACAGGCTCCCCCAGAGGAAACCCACGCATAGCATGACAATGCTCCTGACTCTACCCCACAAATAGTTTTGCTTGTTGACCTTCTCCCCGCACCTCCGATTAGCACGGTTGGCCACGTACGGCGCGAAAGAAGTTCAGCGTGTGTACATACAATATCCTTGCTATGCTGCCTCGTACAAACACCATTTTGTTCGCCAAGCAATTGGACATCTCTGCAGAGCACATGGCTGTGTGACCCACCAATCACGTGGCGGACGCGCTGAGTGAGGAGTAGGGATGTAACGAGTTACCACCTCCTTTGATGCGATGTACTTTCACGTCTTCTTGATCGTGATTTGATTTAAGATTCCATTTGTATGTACGTACTATGTTGAACCTATTTCGAACGGCACGTCACCAACCATGCTCATCGGAGGTGCGGGGGAGGGACGACAAACTAGACTCAAAAAGCAGTTCTAAAGAAATGAGCGCAATGCAGTGACTGTCTTCGTGCCATTATGATGTGTGTGTAATATATAATTTTGGTGTACGGTACAATAACAATTTGGATCAATACAATGCCTATATTCAACACACATCTCAAGATGCCGTAGAGAAACGGTGGGACATGGGCATCCTCGAGAAAGGAGGAATGCTTCGCTTATTTAACAGAGCGAGACAGACGGGCGGAGCAACAGAGGAAGGGCTTGAGTCTTGACTTCAACTGGGGCAGAAAGTCGAGTGCATAGATGGCTGGGGGCGGGAGGAAAGGCGGTTCCATACGATGGGGACAGCAGAGGAGAATGAGCGACCTCCCTCTGGGTGCAGGTCGTCTCGGGGCTGGCAGGAGGCCTTCATTGCTGGAGCTGCGTATGGACATTCATAGTTGGACCTGGTGTTGTTGATGCTTTTGATGATGTTGATGGTAATGATGATGTTGATGATGTCGGTGGTGATGATGATGTTGCTGATGCTGTTCATGTTGGTGATGATGGTGATGTTGCTGATGCTATTGGTGATAATGTTGGTGATGATGTCGCTGATGCTGTTGATGTTGGTGATGATGATGGTGATGTTGCTGATGGTGTTGATGATGTTGGTCATGATGGTGATGTTGCTGATGCTATTGGCGATAATGTTGGTGATGATGTCGCTGATGCTGTTGATGTTGGTGATGATGATGGTGATGTTGCTGTTGATGATGGTGGTGATGATGACGATGTTGCTGATGCTGTTGATGATGTTAGTGATGATGGTGATGTTGCTGATGCTGTTGATGGTGGTGATGATGGTGATGTTGCTGTTGATGTTGGTGATGCTGATGACGATGTTGCTGATGCTGTTGATGACGATGTTGCTGATGACGATGTTGCTGATGCTCTGTGTGTGTGTGCGCAGACCTTAAACATCATGGACTCCATTTGGGACAGCGAGGGCCTGGACCTCTGCCTCCTTCCTTACGGCTGCATCGCCACGGGCTACAACACAGGTGTGACCATGTGCTTCCTATCGGTGCACCGCAGCCATGTGGCCCAGATTTATCAATCAACAAATCACCCACAATGCACTCGATCTTCATTAGACGTTGCATTTTAATTGGGGTTAAGGCCGGACGATTACTTGGCATCTGATGGTTCGACTTCATCAGAAATGTCACCGTTGCATCTGCGACCAGTCTCCAGGCGATTGTAGAGCTCAGTTCGAGAGGGAAGACGGCTGTGGTGTCACTTTGTGGACACGTCACCCCGTCTCGATGCGCAAACTCGAGCAGCGCATAGCGCCCTTCAATTGGCGGTCGACGTTCGAAGAACCGCGACCCTCAGAGGAATGGCGACGTCTTCCTGGTCACCCCCCCGCCCCCCCCAGTGAACCGTGGTTCAAACAAATCACTCAAGACGCCGGTGTATGGCAGCCAAGAGAAGTTTATGCGAACGCTGTTCCAAGAGGTCCCACGTTTGGCGCAACGGTCCTTCCCTGAGTTGCGTGATGAATGAATGAATTACTTGGATGGAAGACCGCCTGGGTTTTGGCAGCGGGGTGCTTAGGAGATGAGAGTGCAGCATTGGATCGTTGGATCTGTCAGTGTGGCACTTTTCACGGTTCTTGCAGGCAGTCGGGAATCGGTTTAACTTCCCAATCTAGGAGCCTCCGGGGAAAGAGCGGCAGCCGACTGAGAAAATTAAGCTCTGAGATCAGCTCATGTTGAGGTGCCTGGTGGATTGTTATATCATAGGGGCCACGAGGGATGGTGATGGATTGGGGAGGCCTTCAACCAGGCAGTGGATTGATGATGGCTGATGACTATGATAATGATCGATGATGAATTTTGCACGCGCTGTCCCGCTTCCGAGAGGCGCCTCGACTCGTAGCTACAGCGGAATAAGCCGAGCCGACGAATGAGGCCCGCGCTGCCCGCCCGTTACCCACACGCGGCACCCGCGGATGGGCGGGGTGGTGCCTCCCACAGGTGTCATCGAGGTGGTGTCCAACGCGCACACCGTCGCGAGCATCCAGGTGGAGAAAGGCGGCAACCCGCGGAACGACAGGTGCCTCAAGACGTGGCTGGACGAGCAGATGCCGCTCGCAGGAGAGGTGCGGGGTCACGGGGTCATGGGGTCACGGGGTCACGGGGTCGCGGGGTGCTGGTGGGGAGCGGACACTGGGCGAAGCACGGAGGCACACGCGGGTGTCGGTGATGCGACGCCAATAGCGCACTCGAGAATGAAATCATCTGGCCCTGACCGTGTCGCGCGTTGTTTTGTCACGAGAGCAGAACCTGCAGGCGGTGGAGAAGTTCATGCACTCGTGTGCCGGCTACTGCATGGCCACATACGTGCTGGGCATCGGGGACCGGCACAACGACAACATCATGATCACCAAGAACGGTGAGGGATGCCCCGCTTGGGCCGTGGCGGTGAGGTTGGCAATGGCCAAACTCGGAAGTCCCGAGGCTGACACCGCTCAGATCCTGGCTTCGAATCTTCAGTATCAGCCACCTCTCCATGGTTAAACCGGTTGTGTAAGTGTAGTGAGTTGATGGCTTCTGCGCGATCAGTGATAACCGTGCAAACAAAAAACCACATACAATCTGGTTTTTTGCTTAATTCAGCATACTCCGTCTCAAAAAATGTACTTTCAAAGAACACTATTTGTAGGGCATATGAAGGGATATAAGCACTTCTACGACATGATCTACCAGGGCCATCCTCTGACACGTGGTCTTAGCCCAGTCACGATAAAATGATAGCTGAGAAAAGTAAAATTGTGTAATTGAGTAAAAAAAAAAATTACCCATTGTAAATAAACTACGCTATTCGTGGCATCGATTGATCAGCTATAGTGATGGGGTTCGCCTCTGCCGGCTCTCGTTATCACGAGCGTAAGGATCGATCTTTGTACTCGAGTCAGCGGCGGCGTCACACCCTCGCTCGTCGGCGAAAGGTTTCGGGGGGCGGAGCAGTAGGCAGAAGCCTTCACCGCCGTGGCGCTGTGTGAGCAATCGCAACGATCGTTCGGCTCTGGCTGGCCCTGCCAGCTCCTACTGTTGTGGATGATGCTCCTACTGTTGTGGAGTGACTAATGCAGCCAGCTATGGCTGCGGAGTTTGGTAGTACATGTTGTTTACGTCGTTTATTGTGAAAATTCGGTCACAGTTCCTATGATCACTGTTTCATTGCTTTTATGGATTTTATTTGGGTGATTTTCGACAAGTGTTTTGGTTTGGCCATGTTTGTTTGTTGTAGTACAGAGTTAGACTGATGGCCTTAATCTAAGTTGTCTTGTGGTTGTTGTTGTTGTTTGACTGGGATATTTGCACAGGGTTGGTGTACGGTGATTTTTCTGCAATATTTTGCTGTCTTTACTTGCATTTTCTGTTCGCACATAGTCACTTTAAGATGTTTTCTTGTTCATGTTTTTGTTTTTTGTTTGTTGCGGTTGCACCCGAATCAAGAGCCGAATGGCTCACAGGGCTATACCTAATAAATGAAACTTTGAAACTTTGAACCGAAGCCCATGGGCTGATGGGGCCCCCAGGCACCAGTTCACGATAATGGGAGGGGAAATTAGAAGAGGTGGGGGGAGGAGGCGTTCTCTGCACCAGTGGTCTCTATGTAAGTGTGTGGGTCTCTAAGAGTCTCCAAGAGTCTATGGATCTGTGTGAGTGTATGGGTCTTTATGAAAATCTGTGGGTGTCTATGCGTCTAAGGGTCTCGATTTGAGTCTATGGATTCCGTGGGGCAACAGGCCCCAGGCACCGGGCTACAAAGATTTGAGGATGGACATTGGGCACATGGGGGAACCCCACTTCATTCTCCTGCACCTGGCCTCGTGCTGTAATCACGCTCAGCCACTGATCGGGGAGGAGAGAGGGTGGGGGGGTAATCACACACCGCGTGTGTCTGTGCCGGGTCCCCCGCGCAGGAAACCTCTTCCACATCGACTTTGGCCACATCCTGGGCAACATCAAGAAGTTCATGGGCGTCGATCGCGAGCGCGTGCCCTTCGTGCTGACGCCCGACTTCCTGTGCATCCTGGGCGCGCACAAAAACAAAAACCTCTACTTCCAGCGCTTCGTGGTGAGCGGCTGCCGCCCGCGACGCGTGGGGGACGGCGGCACCGCCGACCTCGCGGCTTCTGGATCATCGTTGAACAAAGGCGGTCACCCGCATCGTGCGGAACTTTCAGATGCGCTCGTTTTTAGTTTTTTTTGGGGTGAAATTGTGCACAGTTAGCCACATCGGACGTTAGTGCACCTAATCGGCGTGATTGTTGGTTCTGTGGCCGTCTGGAACGCTCTTCCTTTTCCTATAGTCGGAAGCCACTGGGAGCTATGCACTTTGAAATCATCAAGATTGGCAACTCGTTCCTCTAGAACTGCTCTTTGCGTTTAGTTTATTGCCCTTCCCCGGCACCTCCGATTAGCACGGTTGGCTACGTACGTTGCGAAAGAAGTTCAACGCGCATACGTGCTGTCGCTTGTGCCCGGTTAGAAAACCCACAGGCCGCCCTGGTTATGAATGCGCTGTGCGAGAACGGTTAATGTTCAGTACACGCCGTGTGTTTCACAGTGGACGTCAAAGATGTCCTCCGACTTCATTTGGGAACGGGCTGGGCCATTGCGTGCAGGCGTCACGGTCGAAATCTGTCCAAATTCCAAATGAGTTTACGCACAGCGGCAATCATCACGCCCCCCTCTATTGGCAGACTCGTGACCGATTGCAGGCCACGCGCTGGGTCACCTTGTGCCACACAGGGACAGCTGCTGCTGGGGGTTGCCCTTTAATAGTTTTGCGATGAGCTGTGCGATTCCACGTCACTTGTCGCGTGTAAATGCGCTCTCTGAGACGCCCCGGATGCAAGCGTGTTCTCTTTAAAAGCAAATTACCCCTGTCGCCACTGTCAGCGTCGGATTTATCGTTTGGCAACTGCTGGTGGCACCATTGGGTAAATATACGGACGTCGGATAAGAGCTTGAGTTTGTCAACAGAAGGGGATGGAGCGGTGAAATCGTTTGGGGCATCTTCATCCACCACTCCATTGACCATGTGCCCAATGTCGATGATTAGAATGATGACGACGATGATTTTAAGTCACAAGGCAACTGCACAAACAGTCGCCGGAACTGACACGGAGACAGAAGCGACGGATTGATCTTTTGCCTCTGACCTCTGAACCCCGCCCCCCCCCCCAACCGCCCCAACCAGGACACGTGCTGCCGCGCGTACCTGGCCCTGCGTCGCCACAAGAACCTGCTCATCACGCTCTTCAACATGATGGCGACGACGGGGATGCCCGAGGTGACCCCGCGCGACATCGAGCACATGCGCGAGGCTCTCGTCGTCAAGGCGTCCGAGGCCGACGCGGAGGCGCACATCCGCGGCGAGATCGAGCACTGCAAAGTCAAGGGCTGGACCGTGCAGATTAACTGGTGGATGCACCTTTTGGCGAGCCGCAAGGCCACCTAGTGGCACCCCACTCCGGGGATCGACGAGCGGTGTGTGGCAGAGGTCGCAAACGGGTTTTGATTCCTTACCCGTACCTGGCCGCACCAGGGTCGCAAACGGGTACCCGTACCCGTACCCGGCCGTACCCGTACCCTACCCGTACCCGGCTGGGTACGGGTAGGGTACGGGTATTGGGTACCTGATTGCGACCTCTGGGATGAAGCCATGTTGCAGGCGCTGGTGGGTTGATTCTAGGAACTTGAATTGTGAGAAGAGACAAGACGTTGGGAATTGAGTGAGAAACGGTTACTCACCAGTGACTCACGGCCTACCCGTACCCGTACCCAGCCGCACCAGGGTCGCAAATGGGTACCCGTACCCGTACCCGGCCGGGTACGGGTAGCCGGGTATCGGGTAGGGTACGGGTATCGGGTACCCGGTTGCGACCTCTGGTGTGCGGTGGGCAGCGATTAAACCATTAAAAAAACACTATAAACTATTTTTATTTTACCAGGTGTTAAGGAAGGCCCCACCGAGCTATTTCGTCGTTTTTTCAGAAGCGACCTGGCCGTCGTGGTTTATCGTCACGTGGAAATTTATCGCAGCCAAAATACTCGAGAGGCGTGCTGTCGATTCTAAATGTCGAGGGAAAAAACCGGAGGACCCGGAGAAAACCCGCGCGACCACGGGGAGAGACATGCACATCATTCAAAATATCAGCAGGTGTCGGGGTAGTGATCAAAATCCACGACTTCCTGTATACCAGGCGAGGTAGTTAACATCGCTTGGCCACCGTGGCGGCTGGGTATGTCCAGGACAGCGACCGCCTCGAGCATTCCTCTCGCAATGACTGAGGTGCCGATTGGTCACGTGCCAGGGATAATTCTCGACATGGCTGCTGGTCAGCATGGTCACTCGAGTTTTACCGCCGATGTGGAAAATCCGTTGAACACAGCGGAGGCTTTCACGACCGATATTATCCACGATACAGGTTTTTTTTTGTGGGTTAGATCGCGTAAATATATAAACGTGTCGTTCAACCCGCCACCATTCAACACAGCCAAATAGTAAGGTTTGTCACGTAAACAGAACATGCCAATTTGTTACTAGTACAGCACACCGGTGTGTTGGAGTGTAAATCCACAAAATGTACAATTTGAGTACGACGTTTCGCCAGTAATTACAACTAGCTTCATCAGGCGACAGCCAGATTTGTGGAGACAACCTGTTTCGTTCTGAAATAAATTGATGGATGTGATGTCGTTTTTTACGTGACAAACCTTACCAATTGGCTGTGTCGGGTGGTGGCGGGTTTAACGACACATTTATATTTACGCGATCTAACCCCAAAAAAACCTCTATTGTGGATGTGGAAAATGTTTCTCCACCAATCTCGCAATGGCTGTGGTCGGGTACGAGTCACATGATGCCCCTGTTCTACTCTCCGAGCAAACCCGGAGAAAGCTTTACACAACCTACGTCATCCAATGGGTCGTAGGAAGTGGTAGAAAGTGCAGTCCAACAATTTTCCCGCACTGCCCTCTGCTGCCCACAACATACATACGTACATACGTGTGTTGAACTGCTTTCGCACCACACGTAGCCCACCCTGATAATCGGAGGGGTGGGGGAAAGGACAACGAACTAAATACAAAAAGCAGTTCTAAAGAAATGTAGTCTCGGATCAGCCCATCACACGTGTTGTGCAAGGCGGTCGCCAATCCAAGCACTTGTCCAGGCTCAAACCAGTTTAGCTTCCGGTATCTCAGTGATATGGGGAGCATTCTGGGTACTTTGATCGTAGACAAACTTTAAATATATTAAATGTATCTATATATAGTCTCTATGAAAACATAGAAATTAGATATTTATTCTCACAGGGTGTTTTCGCTTATTGAATAGTATTCGTTAATTATATATCTATTTTAAGTACATTCATCAAAGGAGGCCTTCAGTGCCAGGTTACAACTGAGCCAATGGGTGCTGGGCCCGGCAAAGGGATGGAAGCAGTGGCAAGATGAAGCCACCTCGGATAATTCTCCGTCCCTAAATCTTGACCTTTGACCTCTGCCCCCTTCCAGCCAGTCGTCGTAATCATCGTATAATATCCGTCGGCCAATTCTCGTTTTAGAGTGATTATATTTGTCCAGGTGAGTTTTTCCAGTGAGTCTCATGACTCTTTCACTTGCGTCTTGTTCGATATGTTTGGTCAGCTTTTGTTGTTGTTGTAGCATTTCCCACCTGTGTTAGGATTTTCGAGAGCTCTCGGTACACGAGGGTAATCAGAGGCGACATAGTTTATCTCAGCCTCAGAGCCTCGTACGCACGGAGATCTTGGTTACGGTAACTCGTGTGGCACGCCACGTCCATTCCGCAGTACTCTTATTATCTGGTTGTACGAAATCTGCACTGGCGGTAATGGCGAGTACATGAATCTAACGCTTATAAACCTATATTCTTGGTTCTTTCGGTAAAGTCACGTAGAAGGGGAAAAAATAAAAAAAATATAAAACAATAAAATTCTCACGACGTTTCGACTGCAACACAAGCAATCATCGTCAGGTGTGAAAAACACAGCAAGAACCAAGAATATGAATCCCTGAAGTAACGAAAGCTTCAAATCTAACGTTTATAAACCTGTTCATAGCAATATAGGGTACGATGTATGCATGTTGAACTTCTTTCACACTGTGTGTTACCAATCATGCTAATCTGAGGTGCGGGGGAAGAACAACCAACTAAACACAAAGATACGTATCATTATTACGAATAGGCTAATTGTGTACTCCAGTGGTAGTGCCTTATGCTGATAATCTCTACTCCAAGTCAGCCGAGCAGGGTGGCCCACAAGATATCGAGTGGGAAATGAAGTCTCCAGTGCAAACGTGGACCTCTACCGGGGCATTTACCCTCGGCAGACTTGCCGAGTAACACGAAAGCGAGTGGGCGCCGTTGAACGATCGTCATCGATGTTACATGTCAGGGTGCCGAGTACGTAGAACGGACACACGAGATTCGAGATGGCCATCGGTTTGTCTTTCGAATAAAAAGTGCACGGCCTTTATTATTGTAAAATAATACCGCGTTCGTGTCATCTCAATCACATTGTCGTCGACGTTTGTTCATTCGGTTAGAGATATATTCTTCTTGGTTCTTTCGGTAAAGTCACGTAGAAGGGAAATAATAAAATTAAAAAAATAAAACATGATTTTTTTTTTATTTCCCTTCTACGTGACTTTGCCGAAAGAACCAAGAAGATGAATCCCTGCAGTCACGAAAGCTTTAAATCGAGATATATTATTAAATACCTGTGTGTGTGTGTGGTAAACAGGTGCTTGTACCCTGGGTGACGTGCCTTTATGCGCAGCTAAAGAGCACGCTGGATATGTCCATGCCGTTTACGCCGCCACGTATTCCTTTCTGCTGCTGCTGTTGTTGTTAAATGACCTTTTTATCTTCGCATCCCGAATAACAACGGCGTCGGGCGAACGACAGTTACGCCACAAAGCAGCGCCGTGCCCGTGACTCGGTAGAGCAACGGCAGTGACTCGGTAGGGCAACGGCAGTGACTCGGTAGAGCAACGTCAGTGACTCGGTAGAGCGACGGCAGTGACTCGGTAGGGCAACGGCAGTGACTCGGTAGAGCAACGTCAGTGACTCGGTAGAGCAACGTCAGTGACTCGGTAGAGCAACGTCAGTGACTCGGTAGAGCAACGTCAGTGACTCGGTAGAGCAACGTCAGTGACTCGGTAGAGCAACGGCAGTGACTCGGTAGAGCAACGGCAGTGACTCGGTAGAGCAACGTCAGTGACTCGGTAGAGCAACGTCAGTGACTCGGTAGAGCAACGTCAGTGACTCGGTAGAGCAACGTCAGTGACTCGGTAGAGCAACGTCATTGACTCGGTAGAGCGACGGCAGTGACTCGGTAGAGCGACGCCAGTGACTCGGTAGAGCAACGGCAGTGACTCGGTAGAGCGACGTCAGTGACTCGGTAGAGCAACGGGCAGTGACTCGGTAGAGCGACGTCAGTGACTCGGTAGAGCAACGGGCAGTGACTCGGTAGAGCGACGTCAGTGACTCGGTAGAGCAACGTCAGTGACTCGGTAGAGCAACGTCATTGACTCGGTAGAGCGACGGCAGTGACTCGGTAGAGCGACGCCAGTGACTCGGTAGAGCAACGGCAGTGACTCGGTAGAGCGACGTCAGTGACTCGGTAGAGCAACGGGCAGTGACTCGGTAGAGCGACGTCAGTGACTCGGTAGAGCAACGGGCAGTGACTCGGTAGAGCGACGTCAGTGACTCGGTAGAGCAACGGGCAGTGACTCGGTAGAGCGACGTCAGTGACTCGGTAGAGCGACGGCAGTGACTCGGTAGAGCGACGGCAGTGACTCGGTAGAGCGACGTCAGTGACTCGGTAGAGCGATGTCAGTGACTCGGTAGAGCGACGGCAGTGACTCGTTAGAGCAACGTCAGTGACTCGTTAGAGCGACGGCAGTGACTCGGTAGAGCGACGTCAGTGACTCGGTTGAGCAACGTCAGTGATTCGGTAGAGCGACGACAGTGACTCGGTAGAGCAACGGCAGTGACTCGGTAGAGCAACGTCAGTGACTCGGTAGAGCAACGTCAGTGACTCGGTAGAGCAACGTCAGTGACTCGGTAGAGCAACGTCAGTGACTCGGTAGAGCAACGTCATTGACTCGGTAGAGCGACGGCAGTGACTCGGTAGAGCGACGCCAGTGACTCGGTAGAGCAACGGCAGTGACTCGGTAGAGCGACGTCAGTGACTCGGTAGAGCAACGGGCAGTGACTCGGTAGAGCGACGTCAGTGACTCGGTAGAGCAACGGGCAGTGACTCGGTAGAGCGACGCCAGTGACTCGGTAGAGCAACGGCAGTGACTCGGTAGAGCGACGTCAGTGACTCGGTAGAGCAACGGGCAGTGACTCGGTAGAGCGACGTCAGTGACTCGGTAGAGCAACGGGCAGTGACTCGGTAGAGCGACGTCAGTGACTCGGTAGAGCAACGGGCAGTGACTCGGTAGAGCGACGTCAGTGACTCGGTAGAGCGACGGCAGTGACTCGGTAGAGCGACGGCAGTGACTCGGTAGAGCGACGTCAGTGACTCGGTAGAGCGATGTCAGTGACTCGGTAGAGCGACGGCAGTGACTCGTTAGAGCAACGTCAGTGACTCGTTAGAGCGACGGCAGTGACTCGGTAGAGCAACGTCAGTGACTCGTTAGAGCGACGGCAGTGACTCGGTAGAGCGACGGCAGTGACTCGGTAGAGCGACGTCAGTGACTCGGTTGAGCAACGTCAGTGATTCGGTAGAGCGACGACAGTGACTCGGTAGAGCGACGGCAGTGACTCGGTAGAGCGACGGCAGTGACTCGTTAGAGCAACAGCAGTGACTCGGTAGAGCACCGTCAGTGACTCGGTAGAGCAACGGCAGTGACTCGGTAGAGCAACGGCAGTGACTCGGTAGAGCAACGGTAGTGACTCGGTAGAGCAACGGTAGTGACTCGGTAGAGCAACGGCAGTGACTCGGTAGAGCAACGTCAGTGACTCGGTAGAGCGACGGCAGTGACTCGGTAGAGCGACGTCAGTGACTCGGTAGAGCAACGTCAGTGACTCGGTAGAGCGACGTCAGTGACTCGGTAGAACGACGGCAGTGACTCGGTAGAGCGACGTCAGTGACTCGGTAGAGCGACGTCAGTGACTCGGTAGAGCGACGTCAGTGACTCGGTAGAGCGACGTCAGTGACTCGGTAGAGCGACGGCAGTGACTCGGTAGAGCGACGGCAGTGACTCGGTAGAGCGACGGCAGTGACTCGGTAGAGCGACGGCAGTGACTCGGTCGAGCGACGGCAGTGACTCGGTCGAGCGACGGCAGTGACTCGGTAGAGCGACGGCAGTGACTCGGTCGAGCGACTCAGTGACTCGGTAGGGCAACGGCAGTGACTCGGTAGAGCGACGGCAGTGACTCGGTAGAGCGACGGCAGTGACTCGGTAGGGCAACGGCAGTGACTCAGTAGAGTGACGGCAGTGACTCGGTAGAGCGACGGCAGTGACTCGGTAGGGCAACGTCAGTGACTCGGTAGGGCAACGGCAGTGACTCGGTAGAGCAACGGCAGTGACTCGGTAGGGCAACGGCAGTGACTCGGTAGAGCAACGGCAGTGACTCGGTAGGGCAACGGCAGTGACTCGGTAGGGCAACGGCAGTGACTCGGTAGGGCAACGGCAGTGACTCGGTAGAGCAACGGCAGTGACTCGGTAGAGCAACGGCAGTGACTCGGTAGAGCAACGGCAGTGACTCGGTAGGGCAACGGCAGTGACTCGGTAGGGCAACGGCAGTGACTCGGTAGAGCAACGGCAGTGACTCGGTCGAGCAACGGCAACTGAAACGGTGTCTCGCGTGCGTCGATGAGTCTCCTTCGTGTTTGAGACATCTCGGACACCGGAGCGACGAACGATTAAGCGGACGAGGGATGGCACCACCCCCCTCCCCTCCCCACCCCGTTCAGGAACAAAGGTGGCTGGGAGTTGAGGGTGAGCTGCCTCTGATTAATAATGAAACCCGGGGTTTTTCTTTCTTTCTTTCTCAGAGCTCATTTAAAAGCATTCGCGTTTGACCCCAGAGCTCATCGCGTCCCAGGGGCTGTACAGATTAATAACTGCGGTTTTTCATTTTCGGTTTTTGGAGGCATTATTTATTTTTAGGTTTTAGTTTTTTTCATTTGCAAGTCGCTGATTGTCGTGAATGGGCAGGGTTGGCACACCTCGATGTAGGGTTTTTATGCTTTTGGGTAAAAAATAAACCCCCGTGGTGTCTTAAAACTATTGTATGTTCCGCTTTAAGCTTGCTTTTAATGACAAGTAAAATATTAACCCGAGAATAATGATAGGTGGGTTAATACAAACAAATTTAATTCTAGCTACAGCAAACCGCTATACAGACGTCGATGTTAACAAATGCACCGAATGCTTTCTACGAATGTATCGCATTGCACTGTGGCACAAACAGCGTCGTTTTTTACTGGTAGGAACCTCCTGGTTACACCAGCCCACAGGGGATTATTGTGTTCGTTATGCAGGGAGGGGCTGGGTGGGGAGGGAGGGGCTGGGTGGGGAGGGGCTGGTTGGGGAGGGTCGGGAGGGGCTGGGTGGGGAGGGTCGGGAGGGGCTGGGTGGGGAGGGTGGGGAGGGGCTGGGTGGGGAGGGGTGGGGCTGGGTGAGGAGGGGCTGGTCACCCCGTGGTGCCCTTTTAAACGTTTAACCTACTCACGCCGGCTTGTGCCCGCCCTCACAGTCGGGCATATTTGCGGAATACACCACGCCGCCGTTGACCCTGGCCATTGACCGAGCAACCCAACGTTCCTATCAGCTCCCTCCGCAGGACAATGTGTTTTTTAATCATGTGCTCTGACCCCGAAACAGGAAATGTGCACCACACCGGGCGGGTAACAATCCATCCGATGGGATCGGTTCGTGCTCGCACGATGCCCACGTCGCATCGTGCGCGCGCGAGAGTTGGTTGTTTACAATTCGTCCCGGCTACATTAAAATCATATATGGCAATTGATATATATATATTTAGGCAATTTGTATATTTAGGCCAAATGATGGGAAATTAGACAAAAATAACACAAACGAGAATTTAAAAAGTATATATCTAATTGCAACTCTTGAATAGTGACAAGGCATCTATTGCCCGTGGGGGCTCCAAGTCCTCACTTGCCTATTGGACACAAAGGCCTCGTTTACAGTCTTGTGGAATGCTTTCTATTGCAGAATTCACTGGATTATGGACGCACGTGTGCACACACTGCTACCGGATTATAAGACAAAACCACCAACTTTAATACTGCAATCTGGTTTTTATATTCTTTGGGTCTTTCCGTAAAGTCAAGTAGATATCTACGTGACTTTACCGAAAGTCCCCAAAGAATATGAAATCCTGCTGTCACGAACGTTTTAAGTCAAGATGCAATCCGGTTTGTTCATGTTTTACTGCCCCCCCCCCCCCCCATGTCTCCATAACAATTGGGAAATCACAATATATATATATGTTTCAGCGATTTTGTCAGGATGTGAATTGATCCTTCTTGCGTTTCATTAGCGTGGTACAGCGTGCTGGCTGGCTGTGCTTTGTCCAAGCTAAAGGTTCGCGCTGCTCCGTGTGTTACAATCTGATTGTGCTCGGATTTCGCAAATGCCACTCCACGCGAAGCCATTCACTATCTTGCACCTTTCCACGTGCACCAATTTTTCTCCCTTTAAATGAGAGATTTCGGTCATTTTACTGCGCACAAAGACGCCTCCGTGTTGCGTTTAACAGACATGGGGGGGGGGGCAAGTTCTGTTCGCGAGCGCCTATAGAGGTCGGCACGGCACACGAGGGAGCCAGCGCTACGCTTGGTCGCCTTTGTCTCCCTCGTGACGATGTTTACACACCGTACCGCGCACAGATGAAAGGGATGCGCTCTTCTGAAAACGCGCGTCAAACGAAATTTCGTGAATGGGAATGGTTTTTTCCATTAATTAATCATTATTAGGGATGTCTTTCGACAAGTCAGTCCAACTCGACTTCTTTCCTAAAAATGTACACAATGATCACAGCACAGAGATGATAAAAACGAACATAAATGTAACAAAATATTTACTCGTCATAAATATTAATATCTAACTATTGCCAATAATTTATTCTTATTTATTGATAAATAATTGATTTATCAGCGGCAGTTTCGTTGAGTGTATATTTTTTCTTCAATGCATGTTGCCTACTGTGACGTGAATTAGCAACATTGACGTTGCAACAAAAAATTTAGCAACGAAAAAAAACGAAATATGTGAAACCAGTGCAAAGGAGCGTTGGAACGATGCAGGCTTTGGAATTATGCCCGAGTCATAAAAATAGCAACGCACGGGTCGGGAAACAAACACGAATTAGAGATACCATATTGACCGTTAAGGAAATACACAATTTTACCTTAAATAAGATATTTAACCTGGAAATCCCTTGATAAGGAAAATCACGTGCGATAGTGTAGCGGTTAGCACGCTGCTCTATGAACCCCGACGACACGGGTTCGATTCCCCGCTCACGGCCAACACCAGTGACGATTATCTGAACGAGGCCTCCCCTTGGTCGACTCAGCCTTAAATGAGTACCTGGTGCAGCGGTGTGTAGTAAACATCGCCACTTAGGGGAGACGAAGGCGGACATGGCGTGGCGCCTGGCCACCTACCCCCCTACCCCCTCGCTTGCCCTCAACAGCGTGATCAGGCTATACGGGGCGGATCTTTGTCTTTGGTGTCCCAGCGGGTCAGGTGATGGACACTCAGTGGCCGGGGGGGGGGGGACATCTGTCCTCATTGCCAATCGCGGGGTCGTTTTCCCTCCGGCACGCGACAAAAGCATCGAGCTCGCTCTTTGAGCTCCCTCGTTACAGATCCATTAAGCCCGAGCGGCTTTTCAATTTTGCTCGTTTTAATTTTCATCTCAACACCGCCCCCGGTGTGCCCGCATATTCCCGTGCGCAAACATCGCTCGTAAATTACGGGGAATAAAGCGGCGATGATGGAACAACCAATTCTGCTAAATAAGCACCGCTGACAGCCGATAGACGTACACAATTAATGTCAAATAAATGAATCCCCCGTCGAATGAATGACTTCTCTCTGGCACAACCTCAAAGTTGGATTTAAAATGCAAACATTTATACTAGCGACGCGCATGCTTGGTGAGTGTGCGTGCTTTCGTTGGGTCGGCGTGTGGGTTTTCGGTGCATCACCACGTGACGATGGCAGCCTCTGACTTCAATTCGCATGGGGAGGGAGGGCATTTCACGTGCGATTATCTATTCATCCATTCATTTCTCATTCTCTCGCAGCACCCGCAGGTGGTATAGTTAATTGGATATGTGCTGTATTGTGTGTTTTATGCATCAAGCATTGAATTACCATTTGCACTCCACGTGGAAAACAAGATAGAACTTTGGCCCCAATTAAAGCCACTACCCACAGGCTCAACTAACCAATGCGCAAGTGCTCTGTTAGGCTGGCGATCGAAAGCCAGCGATGGAAATTCCCGCATTACTTTTTTGTGCATCGAGTCGGTTTCTCCATGAGGCCACTAACAAGCAAATGGAATACCGTACTGACAATCAAAATTAAATGAATACGCACATTAAGAAATGGTACCAAAACTAAAAAGCACAAACATCAAGAAGAAGGTTATCACAATACAAAAAAAATTACTCCATTAGACAAAAGAGTGTCAAGTTAGAGATGTGGTGTTGTACTCTTAGTTCTTTCGGTAAAGTCACGTAGGTAAAACAATAAATTAAAATCAATAAAAAATAAAATAATTCTCACGACGTTTCGGCCACAACGCAAGCAGCCGTCCTCAGGTGAGGACCAGGTCTACGTGACTTTATCGAAAGAACCAAGAAGATGAATCCCTGCAGTCACGAAAGCTTTAAATCGAGACCCTCTCACTGTTCGGCAGTGGGAGTAACATCACGGTACCCGGACGACCCCGGGGGAGGAGGTCCTCATTTCATTCCACGCGTTGTCACCGCCACAGGAGTACAACATTGTCCCGTGAGCTCCGTCGAAGATTGTCCTCCGAGCTTCGTCGCACGCGGTACCAATTGGCAGAGAAGTAAGACGGGAAATGCTCGGGCTCGATGTCTTTGAGTCTCACCACGAGCCAATTATCCCACTCTCTAGGACAAATTAGCGACTTAAAAGAAGCGATGCGTCCAATTAACAGATTTTTTGGACGCTTGCAGTTTTCCCCGAATCCCCTTTTTATTTTAAGGATTTTCTGTTTTCGAGGGGCGAAACATCGATTGCCAATTTACAGTTTGGTTTTATTGTGTTGGATTATAAACCATCAGCTCTTACTGCGTCCTAATTGCGATTACACACAGCAGACTAATGCCCATTTGCAGGTCACGTGTTGAGTCACCTGTTGCCTAGAGGGACAGACGCCACCGAGGTTTTCCTTTCAACTGCTCGAGATTAGAAGCGATGTTAAGCACTCTCAGACACCTCGGTGGAAAGGAGGTGGCCCTACATCAAAAGACAAATCACTATCCACGTCGTGGGCCCTGATGGGAATTTCCGACGTTAAGAATTATTAGTCTTGTGGACGCTGACGATTCCCAAAAAAAAACGATTTTAATTTTACAAAGATACTAAAATTTAGGGTTGGTAACGACTCTAAATTAAGCTCAACTATTTTTTTTAGGTCGGTGCGGCGATCTCGTTAATGAGACGTATTCTCCCGATTTTCGCGTGCCACTGGGCAATCCAATGAAAATTATTTTTTGTTGGCTAAAATAAAATTTCATCATGGGACCTCAAAGACAATGCATACATTATCAGAGTATTGTTTTTTGTTTGCATTTGACTGCAAGTATTGTGGTTATTGTAAGCATGATTCCTTGCAAAGGTGTCAGTTTTGTTGCCAGAAAAAAGGGGAAAACCCCTATTAGTATTAGTAAAATAAAATTGTGAATGACACCAGTGGCGTGGTGGGCATGGTGGGCATGGAGAGGGGGGGGGCATGTCCGACTCGCTCGTGATGCCACTGGGTCATGTAATGACGAGTTGGAAGATCGTTAAGCTTGAGCGAGGTACTCAGTAAGCGGAACTCAGTTTGAATATTATACAGCGCCATTCACACAAGGGCCCCACAGCGCTTCATAACAATCCCAGGAAAAAAACTCCTGAACGTTAAAACTAAGAGGAACACAACCCCTACACACAGGCGTATTACGTCAATGCATTCGTTGGGGGGTAGTTGTTGTTGCCAAAATCGAGTGTTTCAAACAAACCAAAATATATAATTTACCGCCGTTTCTTTTCGTTGCTTCCCTTTATTTGTAATCAACAACGATAACAGTTGACATAGGTAAAAACACATTTCGTGGGTAAATATCAACAATTCCTACTCGACGTGAGAAACGTGCTCGTCTACATCGCTCCTCCACTAACTCTGTGCCCCCTCCCTTCCTCCTCCACAAAGCTGCCCCTTGCCCCCCATCACCACCACAACATCCTGCCCAAGATCAACTCCCTATCCATTGGATTCCTTTGAAACGGGGGCCTCGCGTTGCCCGCTGTTCTATTGTGAATGTCAGAGCGGATTGAACTCGCACCAGGAGCGATGGGTCGAATTGCCACGACACAAAGGGTCACATTTCTCTCGTGACATCTCGTAAGAAACGCAGCACACTTGCAAAATGACAACTCTCTCGGCCATTGACACCGGTGCAGCGGTCGAGCTAGAGAGGAGTTATGTGGACCAAAAAAAAAACGACATTATCACGTTTTGTAGATAATAAACACCTCCTAGGATCAGGTGCGAGATCGCCTCGCCGTGGCTGCGTGAACCCCACGAGTGATTCCCAGCTGAACGTGGCCACCTTTAGTCTGCTCGCGACACCAATTTGAATATACAACAAAGATCCCCCGTGTAGCCTTGACAGACTGTAGGGGCAAGTGCTGTTAGCGAGCACCGATGAAGGCCGGAACGGTACGCGAGGCGGTGGGTGGCCAGCACCACGCCCGACCGCCTTTGTCTCCCCAAGTGGCGATATTTACACACCACACCAGGTACTCATTTGAGGCTGAGTCGACCTACGGGAGGCCCGGGACCAGTTCAGATAATCGTCACTGGTATTGACCGTGAGCAGGAATCGAACCCGGGTCGCCGGGTTCATAGCGCAGCGCGCTAACCACTACACTACCGCTCCCCACACATACACACACATACATACGCACATACATACACACATACAAACATACATACAAAACATACACACGAGGCTGGCCTCCAGTACAAGGCACCGCTGTCAAGTGACGTCCTTGTGTGTCTGTGCGTGTTTTATCTCGGTCTCTCCTACGTCGACTGGGTCTTAGATGAGCACCTCACGTGGTGTGTGCGTACACATCAGCACCGGCGAGAACCACCCTCGTAATGATATTAAGGCCGAACGTGTGATCCGCGCACCACGTGCTAGCGCGCGAGTTCGTGTGAACGTCGACTCGAGTGTCCCACGGCGCGTTCCACCCTCGACCAAAAAGCGTTCGCCGTCGTGACAAAGCCGCGATCGTGAAACCCTTGACCCCTCCGAAACGGGAGTCTCCTGTCCGGCCCTTAGGGCTGCTTCCATCCTGCCTCCGCGTGGCGCCCGGTTGCCGTGAGGCCCCCCCGACCCCCCGACCCCCCAGCCCCCCCAGCTAGGGGTCGGCCGAGAGACCGGGTTGTAGTTGGAACCTCGGTTGCGGCGGGGCCACCACGAGTTGAGTCTCGACCAGCGGGCGCCCGACGGACGCGTCCTCGGCGCGCAAAGCCTCAACGCGCCGCCTCACCGCCCCGAGCCCCAGGCCGACCCCGGCCCGGACCCCTCGGGCCGCGAGCGCCCGGCGAACTTTCTGCCTGGAGAAGGCATAGAGCAGCGGGTGCAGCACGGGGCCCGCGTAGGCGGCCGCCAGGCACGCGGCCCGGGGCCTGGCGAGGGCGACGCGCGACGACCCCCGCGGGTCGGGCCCCATCCAGAGCGCCGCGGCGTTGAGCAGCGTCAGGGGCAGCCAGCAGAGCGCGAACGTGGAGACGATGACGAGGGACATCCGGAAGAGGCGCCGCTGGTTTTTGCGCCGCTGGCGGTAGCGCTTGATGGCGCGGTGGAGGGTGAGGATGACGGACACAGAGGCGCCGACTCCTCCCGCTCCACCTCCACCTCCTCCACCAGCGCCACCACCGCGAGCTCCTTCGCACCGCGCGGCGCACGCAACGCGCAACGGTGGGTGGTCATTGGCGGCGACGTTGGCGCCTCTGGGAGTTCCGTTGCGTGCGAGCGCCAAGCCGCTGATCCCAATGCTGTTGTGGCGGCTGCAACGGTGGTGGCGGCGGTGGTGGTGGTGGTGGTTGTTGTTGTTGCTGCTGCTGTTGCGCCCTCGCGAATCTGGCCGCGCCATTCGGCTCGGCACCACCCTGATGCGCAGCGCGCGCACGAGTCTCGAGTAGAAGACGAGCATCGCCACCGCGGTGCCTGCACAGATGGGGATTTGCAGGGCGAGGTGGTAGCGCAGCCAGTGGCAACCCGCCATCATCATCGGCAACTGATGCAGGGGGGCATTCTGATCCTCTTGCCGCTGATGAAGCTGTCGTTCCTGCCCATTGCGGTCGTGGTGGGACTGCTGCTGCCGGTTGGAAGTCGTCGCGTTCGGGGGGGACGCGACTTGGCCGCCCGCGGCGAAGTCGCCTGCCGGGGATAAGTTCGACTCGAGGAACGGGGTGAGGAACGCGACCGCGGAGAGGAGCCACACGATGGCGAGGGCGCCAGCGGAGCGCGCCCGCGTCATGAAGCGCTTGGCGGGCCTCACCGCGATGTCGTAGCGGTCCAGGCTGATGGCCAGCATGTTGGCCGCCGTGGACACGCCCGCGAAAGCCACGCACGCCTCGTGGGCCACCGCCAGCTGCGATCCTCTGGCGACCGCGGAGGACCTCGGCGGCTCTCCGTCGATTGTCCACCCCCAGCCGTCGCCGCCGCCGCCACCGCAATCATCCCCGTCCACCTCCCAGAGCAAGGAGGCGACGCTGAGAGGCGCGCACACGGCGCACAGCAGAGCGTCGATCACGTGCAGGTTGACCGTCACGAAGATGCTCACCGAGTTGACGAGGTGCGAGCGGCGCTGCGCGTAGAAGGCCAGCACCGTCAGGTTGCTGCCGAGGCCCAGGGCGATCTCGAGCAGCAAGACGCCGGCCACGGTCGCCCTGAAGGCCCGCGGGTGGCCTTGGTCTTCGCCAGACGTCAGCGTTGTGGTTGACGAGGAGGCGGTGGTGGTGGAGCCGCTGATATTTCTCATCGCTTTGGTGGTGGTGGTGGTGGTGGTGGAGAATGAGCAACAACAACAAACACAGAATCAAGTCGTGCGCCCGGTTCTCAAACGTTCTAGATTCTCGACGGGATCTCCCAAACGAAGTGGGATTGAGTCTGGTTGGTGCTTTGATGGCAGGCCACGTGCTTGGGAATACGATCCCGTTCAGGCTAAGGCCACGAGGTGGCCAGGAAATGGCGGTGCGGCAATGGATTCTTTAATCAATCTGTTTGACGCCTTAGTGTCTACCCCTCCTTGTGTGCGCCGTGGGGTTTCTCCCACCACTCTTATTATTTCCTCCCGGGTGCCCAACTACCGGACGTCTGTGAAAATTAGCTTTGTAGCTCATCAGATTCCTCCGGCAGTACAAATAAATATTCTGATTCTCAAACACTCGTTTAATGTGACTGAATGTGGGGCCCTCCTGAAAATGAGCCTTGAGTTTCGGCGAGGCTTTCCTGCGTAAATAAAGGGCATGAGAATGGACGTTATACACCTTGCTATTCATATGGGTTTCAATTCCATAGCCTCACTGTGACCGCCGCCTCCTCCTCCTCCCCACTCATCCATGTGCTCATACAGTCGTTATTTGCCAACAGCAATGCTCCTGCTGCAGTTTCTACTGCTGCTAATGCTGTTGTTGCTACTGCTGCTAATGATACTGCTGCTGATGCTACTGCTGTTGTTGCTACTGCTGCTAATGCTACTGCTACCGCTGCTAATGCTACTGCTGTTGTTGCTACCGCTGCTGTTGCTACTGCTGCTAATGCTACTGCTGCTATTGCTACCGCTGCTAATGCTAATGCTGTTGTTGCTACTACTGCTAATGCTGCTGCTGTTGTTGCTACTACTGCTGCAGTTGCTACGAATGCTATGGCTGATGCAACTACTGTTGTTGCTACTACTGATACTACTGCTGCTGATGTTGCAACTACTGCTACTGCTGTTGCTACCACTGCTGCTGCTGATGCTACTGCTTCTGTTGTTGTAAATTGTTGTTGCTGATGTTGTTTCCACTGCTGCTGATTTTTCTGCTGTTGCTCCTGTTGCTGCTGTTGTTGCTGTAGCATCAGCTGTTAATGGCGTTGATTTTACGTTTGCTGCTGCTGTTGTAGCAACCGATGCCCCTGCTGTTGTAGCAACCGATGCCACTGCTGCTGCTGTTGCAGCAACCGATGCCCCTGCTGCTGTTGTTGTAGCAACCGATGCCCCTGCTGCTGCTGTTATTGCTGCAGATAATGTTGCTTCATTGTGATCGCGATTGCTGCTGCTGCTGCTGTTACTATTGCTGCCGCTGTTGTCGATGATGTTGATGTTGACAACTAGGTTGAGCGATGTGCGATGGGTGGTGAGGTTGACTGTGCGATAATTAACCTGGGAACACAAACAACAACAACAACAATGACGCGTACGTCTGACCGGTAGACCACAGACATCGTCAGTGGTTAACATAGCAGTGGTTAACACAGCAGTGGGACATTGGGTTAGATTCCCGTGCCTATCTGTGTGGAGTTGGTACGCGTTGCTCCCCCCTCTGTCCTGCATGGGTTTGCTCTGGGTCCACCAGTTTTCCTCCCGTCGTAAAGAAACGTGCAACATATGTGGCCTCTGTTAAACATCCCAATGCAGCGGTCTGGTGAAAATTGGTCTCCAGACTTTTCTTTGTGGCTAACGCTGGATAAATAACCGGTTGTTATTATTATTGTGGGCAGTAACAGGGGGGAGGGAAAATCAGTAGCATTTCGATTGAAAGCTTTCGTGACTGCAGGGATTCATCTTCTTGGTTCTTTCGGTAAAGTCACGTAGAAGGGAAATAATAAAATAATAAAAATTTAAATAATGAAATAATTCTGCTTTGATTTAAAGCTTTCGTGACTGCAGGGATTCATCTTCTTGGTTCTTTCGGTAAAGTCACGTAGAAGGGAAATAATAAAATAATAAAAATTAAACATAATAAAATAAAATTCTCACGACGTTTCGGCCAAAACACACGTTGCCAAGCTTAGTAACAGTGTTCATTGGAGCGCTGTCTATCAGACAGCTCTGTCTTCACCTGAGGACGGCTGCTTGTGTTGTGGCCGAAACGTCGTGAGAATTTTATTTTATTATGTTTAATTTTTATTATTTTATTATTTCCCTTCTACGTGACTTTACCGAAAGAACCAAGAAGATCAGTAGCATTGTGAATGAGTTCATCAGTATCGTCTAGAAACAACTGCAGTCAGAGTAGAATCACCATCGTCAGCATTAATGAGGCCCATCAGCAGCAGCAGTACCATTAATGACATCACCATCAGCAGGAACAACAACAACAACAGTAGCAGCAGCATCAACGATGTCATCGTCATTAATCAATAACCATATTGGCACGCAGTAGAACAATAATCTTAACCGTATTGCAGTAGAATCATCAATATCATCATCCTCAGCAGCATTAATTGATTCACTATCATCAGCACCAGCATTGACGGTGGGCTCATCGCAATCATCATCACCATCATGTGCAGTGTCAGTAATATGGACATCGGTGATCGCCCCGTGAATGCACCGGGCAATCCCCAGGCTGGATAGCTTCAGCGTCTCGATTTAAAGCTTTCGTGACTGCAGGGATTCATCTTCTTGGTTCTTTCGGTAAAGTCACGTAGAAGGGAAGTAATAAAATAATAAAAATAAAACCTAATAAAATAATTCTCACGACGTTTCGGCCACAACGCAGGCAGCCGTTCTCAGGTGAGGCTCCCCCTCCAACCCAGCTTAAATATACGCTCCAAGCCTGGGGTGTTTCATTCAGACGCTGTCTTCTCGACAGACCTGTTCTTCACCTGAGGACGGCTGCTTGCGTTGTGGCCGAAACGTCGTGAGAATTTTATTTTATTATGTTTTATTTTTATTATTTTATTATTTCCCTTCTACGTGACTTTACCGAAAGAACCAAGAAGAGGCTTCAGCGTCGTGTCGAGCCTTTCTGACATTGAACCCCGTGACCGGAGCCTCCTCACCAAGGGGGTCTCCGATTAGGCACGAGGCTCTTGCTGAGAGCGCGTCTCGGCAAAAAAGGTCATCGGATCTTGTTGAATTATTTAAAAAGTGCACATTTATTTACAAACACCGGCTCGCTTTGCCCGTCCGTGGACCGAAGCTGTAATATTTACGAGCAGAGTATCATTGTGGCTTGTGTCAATTTTAATGGCGGTGAATCTTGCACGAAAGTATGTCATTAAACACTTCACTGCATTTCACTCTAGCACTGTTAATGGCAGTGATTATTGCACGAAACTAAGTCATAAAACACTTCAATTAATGTCACTAGCACCGGATATAACTGACCTTCAATTTGTTCAAAATCACTGCTCTGATACTTTATTCTCTACTGCTTTCGGTCGCTGGGGTTGAAATTAATGGGAATTCGATACAATATGTAGAAAATCACCGAGAAATGTCTATTTTACCATAACGTAGAGCCATAAATTAGACTTACCTTTTGTCTCAAGTGCTGAAGAAATAAATAAAGACACCAAAATCCACTTTGTTGCTGCGTAGAATTATTTATTAGATTCACTTTCAATAAAGAAATGTCAAACTTAAAGCGAATTTGCGAAAAAAAAATGTCTTTCCGCTCGACCTTCTTCTGCGTGAGTGTAAAAATCCACCGGCTCATGAATATTAATGACGGCGGGGGGCATGTGGAGTGACGTCACACGCTCATGAATATTAATGACGGGGGGTGCGGCATGTGGAGTGACGTCACGCGCGTTACACACAAACATACATTCTTGGCTCATTATAGTAGTAATGCCTCGGCGGGGCAGGTTCACGTTCTCTCGGTGGGAGATGTTAACTACCTCGTCTGGTATACAGGAGGTCGTGGGTTCGATCCTGACGCCTGCTGTTTATTTGGAGTTTGCGTGTTCTCCCCGTGGTTGCGTGCAGGTTTTCCCCTCCACATTTAGAAACACACGTTGAGAGTATTTGGCTGCTATAAATGTCCACATGATGAGCCACTTCGTTGAGCTGTCGTTTTTGACCAGGTCACTTCTAAAAAGAGCTACATAGCTCAGTGGGCCTTACCTGGTCAAATAAAAAAATAGTTTTATGGTTATTAAATTTATCCCATTAGCACGGTTGGCTACGTACGGTGTAAAAGAAGTTCAACATACATACATCATCATCATAATCACGATCATCAGCAAAGCCGAACAGAGCGATGCCTACTACAGACAAGATCCTGCTTGGGTAATTCCAATCCCTGTTTACCAAGTCCCCAAAGCACAGTGCCTTTCAATTGTCACTTCCCCCTCGTGTATTAATGTCGCTGTTTTCAGCCAGCACGGCCTGTAACGGTGTTCCGGGAATTATTTTGGTCACGCCACGTCCATCTCGCTGCCTTATTTTGTCCTCGAGAAACTGCGGTATCATATTGTTATAGGGATGTATGGCACAATAACAATATAGGGTACCTAAATACATGATTATTATGGATAGGCGTATCTTGTACCCTAGTGGTGGTAGTAGTAGTAGTGCCTTACGCTGATAAATTCCTACTCCAAAGCAGCCTAGTAGCTTTCTGGAAAATATCAAGTGAGAAAAATAAACCCTTGATGTTGTATCACCACAGAGTCCGTGCCTTGTGGATTAGTAATGCTACTTGGATCTGATCATCAAGTACTCGTTTGAGGCTGAATCGACCGAGGGAAAGTCCAGGCCATGTCCAGATACCGATCGTCTACCAGGGTGTCTGTGTGTGCGTGCACAGGATGTGATCCCCTATAAACGATCATCATCATCATCATCATCGTCAGCCGCGATATATCCACTGCTGGATGAGTACCTCCCCAAGCCGTCGCCCTATCTCACGACCCTGCGATGTAACAATCCAATGCGAGAGCTGCTCGAATCGCTCCATCTCCCCAGGGGACGCCCTCCCGGACGTGTTCCATCCTTCGACTGCCACTCCAGATTTCGAGTGCTGGACATGGGGACGAGGTTTCCAATGGCTCACAAAATGTGATGCAGCGCAAGACACGGCCCTGCCATAGCACCTACTGCTAGGTGAAGGCATCCGGACGCCGTGACGGTCACCAGGGATATTTTCTTCTTCTTGGTTCTTTCGGTAAAGTCACGTAGAAGGGAAATAATAAAATAATAAAAATAAAACATAATAAAATAAAATTCTCACGACGTTTCGGCCACAACGGAGAACAGGTCTGTCGAGAAGACAATGCGCTCTTCCCCCTCCATCCCAGCTTAAATAGTCGCTCCAAGCCTGGGGTGTGTCATTCAGACTCTGTCTTCTCGACAGACCTGTTCTCCACCTGAGGACGGCTGCTTGCGTTGTGGCCGAAACGTCGTGAGAATTATTTTATTATGTTTTATTTTTATTATTTTATTATTTCCATTCTACGTGACTTTACCGAAAGAACCAAGAAGAAGAATCCCTGCAGTCACGAAAGCTTTAAATAGAAATTCAGGGATCTTTTTTAATAGCCACTGGCGGGATGTGGGCTGGTGATGGGGATTTGACGGGTGATTGTGAAATCTATAATCTGGTATCACTCGCCACTGATTGAATTGTTAGCCGTGGCCCGGGAATCGAACTTAAGTGGCCGGGTTTACGCCCATTGCGTTAACCGCTGCACCACCGCTCCATCCCAATACACTCTAATGAGGCATAATAGCGAAACGATTTAATGACATTTTATTTGAAAATGTGGCGTTCAATTTTCCCCGTGTCTACGGCAGAATCAGCGTTGGATACATCCCCTTTTAAGTTCATTTACGCAGCCAACCGTGGGTTGCCCAGGAGAATTAGGTCTCGTTTGGTTGTCGCCTCGTTCTAAATGAAGTAACAGATGAATTAATGCATTTATATTGCTTAGTTACAAGTGCCAATATTCTCGAGTAGTGCCACATCGTTCTGCCACCAATCTCTCTAACATAGTGAAGCCAGACTTCACTATTTCGATTTAAAGCTTTCGTGACTGCAGGGATTCATCTTATTGGTTCTTTCGGTAAAGTGCCGTAGAAGGGAAATAATAAAATAATAAAAGTAAAACAATAAAATAAAATTCTCACGACGTTTCGGCCACAACGCAAGCAGCCGTCCTTGCGTTGTGGCCGAAACGTCGTGAGAATTGTATTTTATTATGTTTAATTTTTATTATTTTATTATTTCCTTTTTACGTGACTTTACCGAAAGAACAAAGAAGAGACTTCACTATGTTGACCGTGAGCTTGGAGCGGGGGGAGGTGCTTTACGAGAAGGGATGATGTCCGGTGGTCGAGTCTAATGTCAGAGTAGCAGCCAAAGTCGGGGAAAATCCCCACGACACCACACGCAGACGGAACGGTGAGATGAGCTC